ATCCATCCATCCATCCATCCATCCATCCATCCATCATCTCTCTTTCTCTCCCTCCCTTCCGCCCTCTATTTATTTTATTCAATTTCTTTTGCCACCCATCTCAAATACGTGTTTTTGTAAAGTTTTTCTTGGTTTGATACTCGAATGTATGTTTGTAAAGCAAAACTCCATAAATATAAACAATTAAGATGTTTTTTTCTTGATCGACCTCTGAGGCTGCTCCTTTATTTCCCCCTTCCCCACCCCCCCAAGTAAAATATCACCACCGTCGGGATGAGACTTTCAGGCCATGCATGTGATGGAATCTTACCTTCCCACTTCTTCAGCAGGCGGCCAGAAACATTTTTCCACTGCAGATCAGCTATAAAAAGGATGCGGTTGTTATAATGCACCTTGAAACTGGTGCTGCTTTCTAGAGAAGGGTAGAAAGAACTGGAATGCTGCAGCCGAGTCCTATAATCCAGATTCTTTTCAGGCACTTGAATCATGAACTAGAAGGAAGAATGGGTTGTGCCCATGTTATAGGAGAAGAAAGTCTTGGATGCAAGAAGGGGTGAAATCCAGCAGGTTCTGACAGGTTCTGGAGAACCGGTAATAGAAATTTTGAGTAGTTCGGAGAACCGGCGAATACCACCTCTGGCTGGCCCCACCCCCATCTATTCTCCGCCTCCCAAGTCCCAGCTGATCAGGAGGAAATGGAGATTTTGCAGTATCTTTCCCCTGGAATAGGGAGGGAATGGGGATTTTGCAATAACCTTCCCCTGGAGTGGGGTGGGAATGGAGATTTTGCAATATCCTTCCCCTGGAGTGGGGAGGGAATGGAGATTTTGCAGTATTCTTGCCCTGCCACGCCCACCAAGCCATACCATGCCCACCAAGCCATACCACGCCCACCAAGCCATGCCCACAGTACTGGTAGTAAAAAAAAATTGAATTTCACCACTGGATGCAAGGCAACAGTGGTTACAGGTAGCCCTTGATTTACAACCAAAATCAGATCAAGGAGACCCCATCTTTATGAACTGCTCCAAAAGGGCTAGAAGATCCCCAACTCAAGGTTTGTTACTCTATCCTTCCTTCTTGGTACTAAAACTAACTAAAGGAAGTCCATAAAGTCCACTTAAAAAGACCTAAAATGGACACCTAACATCAAAAAAGCTCAACAAAGAATGTTCTTTCTGCGCCAACTCAGAAAGCTCAAACTGCCCAAAGAGCTGCTGATCCAGTTCTACAGAGGAATTATTGAGTCTGTCATCTGCACCTCCATAACGGCCTGGTTTGGTTCTGCAACCCAACAAGACAGACACGGACTTCAGAGGATAATTAGGACTGCAGAAAAAACCATGGCTACCAACCTGCCTTCCATTGAGGACCTGTATACTGCATGAGTCAAAAAGAGGGCTGGGAAAATATTTACAGACCCCTCACATCCTGGACATAAACTGTTTCAATGCTTATCCTCAAAATGACACTATAGAGCACTGCACACCAGAACAACTGGACACAAGAACAGTTTTTTCCCGAATGCCATCACTATGCTTAACAACTAATTCCCACAACACTGTCAAATTATTTACTAAGACTGTATTGCTATTATTCTTCTCTTCCTTACTAGTATCTATCTCTTCGCTCGTATCTTTCAATTTATATTGTTTTTATTTGTTTCCTAGCATGATTTGATAGCTTATCAGTAACCTTGACTATCACTAAGTGTTGTATCTTTTTATTCTCGATGAATGTATTTTATTCTCTTTATGTACACTGAGAGCGTATGCACCGGAGACAAATTCCTTGTGTGTCCAATCACACTTGGCCAACAATGAATTCTATTCTATTGTTTGCAAAGTTGGTTGGTGGCTGACGCTTAAGTGGAGATCCCAGTCTACCTCGCCTTCTACTCGCCTTCCAACACCAGACAAACCCATCCAAAAACGTGACATGTTCAATCCTGCTATGCCTACCTCCATGAAGTAGTTCCTCAGAGTGGCCTGTGAATGATTTTTGAACATCTGGCTGATGATCACCTTCCTCATATTGTTGGCTTCATCCCAGTGTTTCCCGTAGTTAGCCTCCAAGCGGGAGTGCAGCTGGCTTGCAGTGTCTTCATGGTGCAAATGGACCTGGAGAAAGGTTGCAGGTTGAGCATTTAACATTCTTCCCTCGTAACAACTTCTCTTCCAAGAAGAATCTTGGAGAAAATCCTGGGTTACGGAATTTGCACCAGGTCCTAGTCACCCGTTGTAGAGAATAACGAAATGAGCCACGGTGGCGCAGTGGTTAGAATGCAGTACTGCAGGCTACTTCTTCTGACTGCCGGCTGCCTGCAATTTGGCAGTTCGAATCTCACCAGGCTCAAGGTTGACTCAGCCATCCGTCTTTCTGAAGTGAGTAAAATGAGGAGCCAGATTGTTGGGGGCAAGAGACTGACTCTGTAAACCATTTAGAGAGGGCTGTGAAGTGGTATATAAGTCTAAGTGCTATTGCTATTGCTCTTTGTTTCCTTCCTTCCTTCCTTCCTTCCTTCCTTCCTTCCTTCCTTCCTTCCTTCCTTCCTTCCTTCCTTCCTTCCTTCCTTCCTTCCCTCCCTCCCTCCTTCCCTCCCTCCCTCCCTCCCTCCCTTCCTTCCTTCCATGGTGGCGCAGTGGTTAGAATGCAGACGCTTTCTTGGAGCCTAGGGAGGATGAAAACGGCATCCCCCAGCCTCCTGGAGACCCTCCGGAAGCCGGAAACAGGCCATTTCCCAACTTCTGGTGGGCCCAGAAGGCCCAAAAATCAGGTGGCCGGCATGTGCATGCGCGCTGGAGCTGACTTACGGCGAAGCTCGTGTGCCCACAGATATGGCTCCGTGTGCCACTTGTGGCATGCATGCCATAGGTTCGCCATCGCAGCCCTATACCATTTCAGACCCCCCTTACTATGTTTTGCACCTTTTTGGAACCAATGCACCTCTTTACCTTGTGATTGTAAGTTAGACTCTGAGTACAGTGAAATTTGTGCTCTAGATCCAATCGGTAAACATCAGGCCAGCTGTTCTCCTGCTTTAACCTCTGAGCCATGTTGCATTCATGCTGAAGCTTCTTGGCATCTCCTTCTCCATGCATGTAGGAATAGACAAATATATACATTACAAACTGGAGTGATGATTTTTGACAGCCTTCTTGTCACTGCGTTTTTTTATTTACCAGCTGAGCTCATCATTTCTGGACTATCAGACTTTCCGTAGCTTGCCAAGAATCCTTATCAGTAAGCTAAACTGCGCATGTCCACCCACATTCCTTCTCACTCTTTCCTTTGTTCTCTTGCCAGAATGGTCCGGCTGAGAAATAGCCGGCACGAATTTTTTCAATAATGTAACTAATTAGATCAGTTAGATGTTTTATTTTCTTTATAACAAATAAATGAGTTTTCTTAGAAGAAATATCTTCGGGTTTTGTTTTCTTAAAGTATGCTTGCAAGGAAAAGTCTCGATCCACCCCTCGTACTCAAGGTGCGATTATCCCAAAAGCAGAATGGGATTAATCAGCGCCCTGCCTTTCCTGATCCAGTGTTTCCCCAAGAAACACCTGCGAGCTGCACTGGCTCCCGGTGGTCTTCCGGGTGCGCTTCAAGGTGTTGGTGACCACCTTTAAAGCGCTCCATGGCTTAGGGCCGGGGTACTTACGAGACCGCCTTCTGCCACCAATAGCCTCCCACCGGCCAGTACGCTCGCACAGAGTGGGCCTCCTCAGGGTGCCGTCCGCCAGACAATGTCGGCTGGCGACCCCCAGGGGGAGAGCCTTCTCTGTGGCGGCGCCCACCCTCTGGAACAACCTCCCCCCAGAGATACGTACAATAACAGACCTCCGGATTTTTCGTCGGGCCCTGAAAACCCATTTATTTCAACTAGCTGGGCTGGCTTGAGTTAAATTTTAAATTGATTTTAAATTGGGTTGTTTTAATTTACAGCCAAAATATTTAATTATTTTAAACTGTTTTTAAATTTTGTATGTATTGTCTTTTACTTTGCCTGTTCACCGCCCTGAATCCTATTTGGAGAAGGGCGGTATAGAAATAAGAACAAATAAATAAATAAATAAATAAATAAATTTAGATCAGTTCCCAACATCTCTAATGATCATGGAACCTGATCCCATAGATCTCCAGCTTTCGTGCTATTGACTAATATTCTACTCGGATTTGGAATGGAGTAGCCTGATCAAATTGTCCATAAATCCTTTTAAACGTGTAGTATATAGATTTTTTCCATTTTTCTTAAGAAAACACGTTAAGCGGAGCCAACCACCTGACCTGACTCGGTTTCACGACCATTTAATGCAGTGGTGAAATCCAATTTTTTTTTACTGCCGGTTCTGTGAGCATGGCTTGGTGGGCATGGTGTGGCTTGGTGGGCGTGGCAGGGGAAGGATACTGCAAAATCTCCATTCCCACCCCACTCCTGGGGGAAAGATATTGCAAAATCTTCATTCCCACCCCACTCCTGGGGGAAGGATATTGCAAAATCCACATTCCCACCCCACTCTGGGGCCAGCCAGAGGTGGTATTTGCCGGTTCTCTGAACTACTCAAAATTTCTGCTACCGGTTCTCCAGAACCTGTCAGAACCTGCTGGATTTCACCCCTGGTTTAATGCTGTTGTTAATGAATCACCGCAGTTGTGAATCGAATTATAGTATCCTTAAGTCAACTACATGGTTATTGAGTGAATTTATTCTCTGGAATGGGTTTTTTTTTTTAAAAAAAATACCACCCATAGAGATGAGAAGGGAATTTATATACAGATATATATATATAAAACACCAGTATAGTACCAAACAATCCATATTTAATTCTCAGGATGTTGGACCAGACTTGTCCTCGTTTTTGCAGAAGAAAAATGACGTGAGATCCAAAAACGCCAGGAATGTGGGTTTCTCCATCCAGGGAATAGTGCCTTAAGTCATTATCTGCCTTTTTCTCGAAACACACTAAGAAACAAACACAAAGGCAACCAAAATCAGAAATGCATTAAGTAGGAACAGGAATACAGGTAGTTCTCGACTTACAACCGTTCGTTTGGTCAAACTCAGACACTTGGCAACTGGCATGTACTTAGGACTGTTGCGGTGTCCCAGGGTCATGTGATTCCCTTTTGCGACCTTCTGACAAGCCAAGTCAATGGGGGAAAGCCAGGTTCTCTTAATGTCTGTGTTACTAACTTAACATCTGCAGCTATGCACTTAACAACCGTGGCAAGAAAAGGTTGTTAAAATGGAGCCAAACTCACTTAACAACTGTCTTGCTTAACAATAGAAGTTGTGGGCTCAATGGTGGTCGTAAGTTGAGGATTACCCCAGGGGTGGGTTCTAATTTTTTTTACTACCGGTTCTGTGGGCGTGGCTTATTTTGTGGGTGTGGCTTGGAGGCCATGTGACTAGGTGGGCGTGGCTAGCTGGTCAGAGTCATTTCTGGAAGGTCCTCGCACTTACGGCCAGTCCTCGCACTTACGACCCGACTCATTTGTTTGCTTTTAACACTGATCAGCTGTAGGGTGGCCCTTTGAAGCCCCCCCCCCCGGCAAGAGTTTAAACAGTTTTTTCCCCTCTAGTCATCAGCTGGGACTCAGGAGGCAGCAATAGATTGGGGGTAGGACCAAATAAAAGGTAAGAATAACGTGGGCGGGGTGGGGGGGTGGGAGGAGGGGAGGAGAACCGGTTCGGTGACATCATATCGTCACCGCTACCGGCTCGGCCAAACCGGACCGAACCGGGAGGAACCCCCCACTGGATTACCCATATAAACAATCAGGCAAGCAGTGCTGAAGGGGGTGGTGGAAAGGGGCAATTTCAGGGATGGGCTGCTGGGGGTTTGCAGGGGTTCGGGAGAACCTCTAGCTAAGATTCTGTGCAGTTCGGAGAACCCCCAAATCCCACTCCTGACTGGCCCCGCCCATCCCTCCCCTCCCCTCCCAGGAGTCTCCACATGGTCCATTTTGAATGCAGGTAAATGCAAGGTGTGCATGGAGGCTCGGGGAGGGCAAAAAACAGGCCTATCAAAAGTTCAGGAAGGCCGGAAATGGCCCATTTCTGGCCTCTGGAGGGCCTCCGGAGCCTGGGGAGGCTGTTTTTGCCTTCCCAGAGGCTCAAGGAAAGCCTCCAGAGCCTGGGGAGGGCAAAAACGCTCCCCCCCGCCATCGTGCAGGTGGCCGACCTGGCCACACCCACCATTGCCATGCCCACTCTGCAACCAGGCAGAGAACCCCTTGCTAAAATTTTTGAAGCCCACCCATGGGCAATTTCTTTTTTGAAAAAAGAGCATAACTATACCCTCAATTTCAGAGCCCTTTAGGAGTTTCTTTTTAGCCATTAGGAAATCATGTGTGTGTGTGTGTTTGAGGGAGGGAGGGTTAATTATTGGCTTTGTTTCTTCTCCTTTGTGCATTTTTAATGAAAATTTAGCATTCCCAGGCCATGACTTGCGATCAAAATTCCAGACTTGCTTGCGGTCGTAAATTGTACACTACCGGAATAATACTTTTCCACATTAGGTATTGCTTTTCCCCCCCTTTTTTTTCTTTTTAATCCACATAGCTTTTGCATCAGATTTATTTAGGCAAGGAGGAAGGCTTTAGGTCTGTCTCCAGTTTTACCCAGGTTGTCTCTGAGGCTGTGGCATCCTTACCTGCAAAGGACGCGGCATCCTTCAGCAGATTGATCAAGGATACTGAAAATGCTACCTTTTGGCTGGCCAGTCTCGTGAGATTTCCTGCAAGGACAACAGGACTTCCGTGCCTTAGCAATTTGGCTTCCAGACGGATTGCATATCTCTGCTCTCCAGCCACGGATTGCAAATCGGTCCTGCCCTGCAGAAATTAGATGTATCTAATCGATTTTGGTGGATTAAAATATCTGGTCAGAGACCCACAAGAGGCATTTCCTCAATAGAGGATACACTGGCTGGGTTTTTGGTTCCAGACCAGGTGAGGCACTTACCTTGATGTAATAAATGGTGTTATCATTGACTATCAGTTCCAAATGCCCGACGCGAGAGTATTTTGAGATTTCGATTTTGCCTGGTAAAGGCAGAAAAAAAGGATAAATTAATTCCCACTTATATTTTCTCATGGATAGACAGCCTAATGCAGTGATGGTGAATCTTTTCGGCACCATTCTTCCGAGTCATTGTTCTGTCCCTGTCTCACACAAGCACACAAACAGACAGCTGGGGGTTAAATAAACTGGCAGACAACCAATTCTTCCGATAAGAAGCTTGGCAGCAACCCAGTAGCTGCTTGCCAAGAACTTTACTCATAAACAAAATACACACAGTCAAGAATTGTCCAGTTCATAAAATAAATCCAAGGCCGATAATGTTGTTTCCAAAGATGCAATGTGACTCAATAGTAGTTAGTTTTGTCCGTCACAGAGTCTGAATGGCCACCTCACCCCCTTTTATACCCTGTGGGGTGTGGTCCAGTAACTCAGCTTAATCTCGGGCACGCCTTTTCTTCTGTTGTGCGCGCTTATCTCTGTGACGCTGCCGAGGATCCAGCCAAGACTCATTTCCCTCATCACTGTCCACCTGTGGCTGCGTGGACGTGCTTGGCCCCGGCCCTATCTCTTGCCCTTTGGCGGACACCGAAGGCATTGCCAGAGAGGAGGGTCCTGGAGAGGGAGGCCTTGCCAACTCCTCTCCTTCACTCTCGGAGTCCTCTCCTGCGGATGACACAGGCTCAGGTAACGGAGCCACAACAGTTATCTGGGCTATGACCCGGAAGAGCAGCTGCCCAAAGAGCATGCGTGCAGCGGAGAATTAACTTCTGGTTTCTGATTACTGGTGCGCAGGCACGCATGACAATCAGCTGGCCAGCGCGCATGATCACGCCGGAAAATGGAAGACCAGCTCTTCCAGTTTCCCACACTGCCACACACATGAAGGCCAGCTGATCATCACACACACATGTGCACCAGAAACCCAGAAGGGAAACGGGCGATGCCACGCGTGCCAGGCAACATGGCTCCACATGCCACATCGGGCACGTATGCCATAGGTTCGCCATCACGGGCCTAACGCAAATGGAAGGCAACTTTAAGACATGTGGACTTCCAACTCCCAGAATTCCTCAGCCAGCCTAAGTTTTAGGTCACAAGATCTTCTCACAAAAGATCCTTTTCCTAACTGCTGCTTATTTTTCCTCCGGTTACCTAAGATAGAGGTCGAAATTTGTTATTTTTAAAATAAATAATTGTGAATTGCCCATTCTTTTGTCAATCTTCCAAAGGTTCTTTCAGAAGACCTTCAGTTGACTTCTCCCCTTTTCAGTTTCCAGTTCTAGGAGACTTGGGGTCTAAAATTACTTCTTTGCCATGGAAATCTGTGCAGCTTTGATCAGTTAATTCAAGAGCTCTTAAATCTCATGCTTTCAAATTTTGCAGGAGATGAGGATCATATGATGATGATGTTGTTGATTAGGGGAAAGAGAAAGGGCAGGGGAAAGGAGAAGGAGAAGGAGGAGAAGGAGGAGAAGGAGGAGAAGGAGGAGGAGGAGAAGGAGGAGGAGGAGGAGGAAGAAGAAGAAGAAGAAGAAGAAGAAGAAGAAGAAGAAGAAGAAGAAGAAGAAGAAGAAGAAACCTAAATAAATATGCTACACAGCATTGAAGAATAAATTTTAGAAGCTCTATGCTTCATGTACGGTGATGACTTAGATCTCCCAAAGATGGACACCAAGAAGTTCTAATTGGTCCTCAGTTGTTCTCACCATTCAGTAGCATTTTTGTCTTCAGCTTGATGAATTCAATTCTGATTTTTTTCTGAGGGATGTTCCAGTGGAAATCAAAAGCCACATTTCTCTTCAGCTCTGATTCCAGACTCCCCATAAAGAAATGGAGCTCGGCTTCATTTGGAATCCAAGAACTTTTCTGGAGAAGAAGAAAGACACGTCATAAGACCAATAATACCAAATGAAGTCTCAAAATGTGAATTTCAAAACTGACTATAGGTTGCAAACTATAGAAATAGTCCTCGACTTACAACCATTTGCTTAGCAACCATTTGAAATTACAATGGCACTTACATAAATGACTTAAAACCAATCTTCACACTTATGACTGATATAGCATCCCCATGGTCACATGATCAAAATTTGGGTGCTTGACAGATGTTTACAATGGTTGCAGCATCCTAGGCAGGGATGAAATCCAGCAGGTTCTGACAGGTTCTGGAGAACCGGTAGTGGAAATTTTGAGTAGTTCAGAGAACCGGCAAATACCACCTCTGGCTGGCCCCAGTGTGGGGAGGGAATGGGGATTTTGCAGCATCCTTTCCCTGGAGTGGGTGGGAATGGAGATTTTGCAATATCCTTCCCCTGGAGGGGGGAGGGAATGGAGATTTTGCAGTATCCTTCCTGTGGAGTAGGGAGGGAATGGAGATTTTGCAGTATCCTTCCCCTGGAGTGGGGTGGGAATGGAGATTTTACAGTATCCTTTCCCTGCCATGCCCACCAAGCCACACCCACCAAGCCACATCACGCCCATCAAGCCACGCCCACAGAACCGGTAGTAAAAAAAAATTGGATTTCACGACTGATCCTAGGGTCATGTGATTGCCATTCCCAACCTTTCCAACCGGCTTCTGACAAACAAAGTTAACAGGAGAAACCAGATTTGCTTAACGACCTCATGATTCACTTAACAGCTGAAGCGATTTGCTTAACAACAAGCCAACAGTTATACAATCAGGTGTGGCTTAGAAACGGAAATTTTGGTTCCAATTATGGTTTTAAGTCAAGGACTATCTGTCCAACAAGAATGAGTTCTTAGCATTATACCTGTTGTTTCTGTCTACCTGTCTATCTCTAAACCAGACAGAAGTTAAGAACCAGACCTGAGCAACATAATGATATGCTGCTTTTATTAAATACTGCTGTAGGTTTCTGTCCTGCTTTCTTAGCATAATGGCGACTTTGACCGGTCCAGGGAAGGGAAGAACGAAGCTGCTGGTCTTGTCGTCAGGGAGAAAAACCTCTGAACACAGCTGCCAGCCAAAAGTTTTCGACGCTGCCGTTAAAACCGAAAAGAAGAAAACAATTTTTAAAAGTGAAGGACATTCTTTGGTGTCGTTTGTCCAGGAAAATTGTTGTGGCCCACCAGTGGCCAGCAGAGTCGAACACTGAGAAGGTCGGGGAGGAACTTGGGCCAGTCCTGGGGACCAGGGAAAGCTCAGACGAGGGCTCTGCATCGGAGGCAGAGAGGGAGATAGACAGCAGTGAGGCAGAGGAACAGTTGGAGCCTGTTCCCAGTGTGCGCATGTGCAGAGCTGCCAGAAGACAAGAACTCAGAAAGCGGGGTCGACTCAGGAGTAAAGCCACACCTTGAAGGTGATTGGCCCCTCCCACAGGAAATTAAAGAGGAACGAACAGGGAGTGAGCTTTTGCAGGAAACAATTCTTTACTTACTTACTTTACTTTACTTTATTCGATTTCTATACCGCCCTACTCCCGAAGGACTCAGGGCGGTGCACAGCCAGACAATAAAACACATCCATACAAAATTTAAAAGTAGAATAAAATCAAATTAAATAATTTTGGCTCATTCATTCATTCATTCCGTGACTCTGAGAGACTCTGTTCCAAGTTTTGCTTTGTACTACGGTTGGAAACAAGTTACGTGGCAGCTTGCCAAACGAGATAAGGTGTGTTGAGAAATATTCCTTTGAAAAACTGTTTGGACAAGCCTTGCTGACTGTGAATGAAAGTAATTCACAGTCGTGTAAATAAAAGAGGCTTTGCGGCGACCAATTCCTTCCTCCTGCTTGTTAAGGGAGCCTAAATCAGAACAAAAAGATTCTGAGCATCTATCAGCCATATCTTGTTCTTAAGATGGAAATGCCTTGTGCAAAATGCCTCGTGATGAGACCATCGCTTCCAGATTGCGTGAAGTTTCTACCTGCAGCGTTATGTTGCAAGTGACTTTAAAACAGGGGATGGTTTAAAAGGATCTGCCTTGAAAGCATTTCTGATTTTTCTGCAAAATGCGACACTGGAAAGTGATGGGTGCAAAATTTACAAGTTAGCTTACCTTCCTCGCTGGTGCAAAGTTCAGTTTGGCCCGGAAAATGGTCACTGGTTTTCGTTTTCTCCCTTGCAGTAACGTAGAGTTTAGAGCTGTAAAAGAGGGAGAGAATCTGAATTCTTATAATGCAGCTCACTGAACAGTTTTGATACACAGGAATCACCAAAGCTGTTTCGTGTGACTATTTGGCACATAATTATCCTACATAAATAGCAGTGTCTCACCACACTTGATCATCATTTCAGTTTCGGTTGATGTAGTTCATTTTTATTTATTTATTTTTGCTTCTTCTCCGGTGATATTGTATTGCAAACTAGGACATACAAAACCTTTGCTAGACCAATTCTCGAATACAGCTCGTCTGTCTGGAATCCGCACTGTATATCGGACATTAACACAATTGAGTGAGTCCAGAGGTATTTCACGAGAAGAGTCCTCCACTCCTCTGCTCTCAACAGAATCCCTTATGCCACCAGGCTTGAAATTTTGGGCTTGGACAACCTTCAACTCCGCCGCTTACAGTCTGACCTAAGCATAGTACACAAAATTGTCTGCTACAACGTCCTACCTGTCAATGATTTCTTCAGATTCAACCGCAATAATACACGAGCACACAATCGATACAAACTCAAGGTAAACCGCTCCAAACTTGATTGCAGGAAATACGACTTCAGCAACAGAGTGGTCAATGCCTGGAATGCACTACCTGACTCTGTGGCTTCTTCCCCAAACCCCCAAAATTTTAACCTTAGACTGTCTACTGTTGACCTCACCCCATTCCTAAGAGGTCTGTAAGGGGCGTGCATAAGTGCACCAGCGTGCCTACCATCCCTGTCCTACTGTCTCCATTTATTCATACCCATTTCCTGCATTCATAATCATGTTTATACTTATATCTGTTATCTTATGCATGTTTGATAAACTAAATAAATAAATAAAATAAATAAAATTTTATTAGTGCCTGGATCGATTCCTGGAAAGCTGAATATTTTATTTTAAGCATAATTCCCATCACCACAAAACTCCCTGCGTTGCCTGGAGGATGAGCTGAGATTCCAGAAACATTTGACTGATCCTGGTTCTGTGTGTTTTGTGTCTGTTTTACCTGAAATGTAGAATTTCCATAGCGTCTTCGGGAGTGTTCCAAAAAAATTTAAATTCTTTCCCTTTTTTCACCTGAATTCCACCATCAAGTTTGGCCAAGGATCTCAAGATGGTGGACCATTTCAAGCCAGCGTTCCCCAGAACTCCTACAGTTCCCATCTGGGCAGAAATCTGTAGGATAACACTGTCAAATTATAGAGAGAAGAAGAGATTTCATTGTAAGAGTTCGATACAGAGTTTAAATGTCTTTTTAAAAAAATGTTTTTACGTGGCTGATGGCGTCTCAAGTCTTTGAGATAATTTCTCTTCCAACCCTTCTACAGGTAATCCTCAATTTATGATTGCAATTGAGCCCAAATTTTATGTTTGCGAGACAGTCGTTAAGTGAGGTTTTGCCCCATTATACAACCTTTCTTGTCACAGTTGTTAAGAGAATGACTGCAGTTGTTAATTTAGTTTTAGTTGTAAAATGAATCTGGCTTCCGTATTGACTTTGCTCGTCAGAAGTTCACAAAACTTCTGGGACCATAGAACACTGCAATGGTCATAAATATGAACCAGTTGCCAAGTATTTATGGAGCTTCTCAGTCATGGTTGTCCCAAAAGTGCTTTTTCAAGTAGTAACTGGACTTTCTGGAATTTCTTTGAAGACGTTTCGCTTCTCATCCAAGAAGCTTCTTCAGTTCTGACTGGATGGTGTGGAATGGAAGGGTTTATGTTCCTTCTGGACAGCTGGCCATTTGCATTTGTATCACATGACTGTGGGAATGCAGCAATGGTCATAAGTGTGAAAAACAATCCTAAATCACTTTTTTCGGTGTCGTTGTGACTTCAACCGGTCACTAAACAAATGATTGTAAGTTGAAGACTACCTGTATTGGGTTGGAAATAATGCAATAATGAAGATAATTAGTATTTGGAAAGAAAACACAACTCTGGAAGCTCACTACCTTGGCTTGAGGTAGCCATTGATGAAGAAATGGTTGTGTTTCTTGAAGTTTGTGTCTCCTCTGGCAGTCAGGTTGACAGCTGCCGAAGCATTAAAACCCAGGAGGACAGGAAACCCTGAGATGGTTGGAAACAGCACTTCTTCTGTTGCCAGACTCAATCTTTTATTCCACTGGACTTCTTGGCCCTGTGGGGAAGTTAGTAAAAATGATGATAAGTCAACCAACCTGTGGGAGGGCCTCATGTAGTGGCATAAAGCAATAAAATCAGAGATGGGATTCAGCCGGTTCGGAACGATTCAGGCGAACCAGATGTTAATTTTACATCCGGTTTGGCAAACTGGTAGTTCCGATGACCGGCTGGCCCCGCTCCACCCTGCCCCTCCCCTCCCAGGAGTCCCTATGCAGCCTGTTTTGGATCCCAGGTAAGTGCAGGGGACACGTGGAGCCCGGGGAGGTGGAAAACGGGCCTCCCAGAGGCTCAGGGAGGCCGAAAATTGGCCTATTTCCTGCCTCCAGAGTCCGGGGAGGTGGAAAACAGGCCCTCCACAGCCCGTTATGTCTCCCAGGAGGCGGCAGGGAGGCCTACTAGGCCCAAAACAGGGTGTGGGAGGAGCAGCAACCCCCCCCTCCCGGGACCGATTTTTGCTCCCAGGAAGGTGCATTTGTTTTTTAGATTTCTATACCGCTTCATAGTGCTTTACAGCCCTCTCTAAGCGGTTTACAAAGTTAGCATATAGCATATTACCATGAGCCCGAGTGCTGCCTTCATACCCCTTGGCCACACCCACTATGGCCACGCCCACCCAGCCAGTCATTAGGGCAGAGAACCGGTTGTTAATTTATTTGAATCCCACCACTGAATAAAATACCAATTTTTAACATGACTTGGAGTTATTTTCTCTACTACAGTCAGGTACGGATGCTGGAAGTGGGGAAGCAGAGTGGAAGGAACCTTCTCAAGAAGTTTGATGGTTGTCCTACTGTAAGGCCCCAAAATGTACTTGAGTCACCAGAATTCCAGAGAGAGAGAGACTCATGATGAGGCTTGCAAAAAGTAGCAGATTTTATTTATGGCCAGAAACAAAATACTGGGTAAAACCGTTCCAAACACATACAAAAGAGACATGTATATGGAAAGGCCACATCTTGCGGAAGGTATGGCGTCCTTTTATACCTTCAGAGGCATTAGCTTAATACCCAATTCTGGCCCCCTGGCCCATGCCTTTCCTGTAGTCCTGCATTGGCTGTGTAGCAAGGAGCAGAGGCAGGGGGGCTGAGCGCCTAGCAACAGAAAGAAGCTGGGTGTATAGCAACTCCGCTTCTTGAGATATCCACCAGGCACAGAGTGGTACAGAAAAACAACACAGAGGTGAGATCACCGGTAGAAGCAAATGGCAGAGGCAATTCCAATTCTTAGCAAAGCAATTCTTACAGAAGCAAAACAGCAAGTCAAACCAATTCTACTGACTCTACTATTATGTCCCACTAATTCTACCGGTTCTATTATTACTATGTCCCTTCACTACTGAACTTTTCTAACCGTGCCAGAGGCTTGGAGATCGCCATTTAGAAACGATTGCACTAATCGCAGTACTCTTACCTTCAAAACTTTCATCGTTAGCTCCGCCAGGTTCAAATAGTAATGTTTTGCTTGGCTTCTGAGATCGCCGCAGTCAAGAATCATCAGCTCATTTCCAAAGATTTTGAGACTAAGTTTGCATTTGGGCTTCTTCTTCTTCCCCATTTTTTTGGTGAACTGAAGCATAAGTAGAAAGAGAGAGAGAGATGCTACTCAGACATGGGAACTCTCCCAAGACAATCCTTGTGCAGATATACGGTAGGTGATCCTGAATGGTACAAGCGAATACCCACAGATGACACATTAACGTACCTTTTTCACAAAACCATTAATCTTCTGGTATTGTCCACGTGGACAATCACTTTCTGTTCTCAGTGCAGTTTTATTTCCTTTAGGTAGGTGACTTTTCAAATTGAATTGCTTGAATGATGGCTTATTTTGAGGAATCTTGTTCACCATCTGCATGGGAGATTCTGGCTTGACATGCCTTCCTTTGGTGTCTTGAAAGTCAAAAAATGTCCGGACAATATCTTCCAAATTCTCCAATCTGACTCCAACCTAAAAAAAAAAAAATGGTTGTATGATATTTAGAAGGCCACAAGCTCAGACATTCTGCTGCCTCAACTAAAGAACCATGTTGGCTTCCTTTGTTAAAAAAACCCCCTAAATGCTTGGTAGACCAGTTACCTGTTTGCTTACTTCCATATTTTGCCATTGAGGTTCTATACGCTTTCCTAGCTGACCCCATCACATGAGAAGGACCATCAATGAAAGGGTTTATTCAATAGTAATATGACATTGGTTGAATGCTTTTCTTTCAGCACTAAAGGAAGGTATTTTTATTTTCTCAGGCATTTTAGGAAACCTGTCAACTCGCAAAGCATCCCTGGCCTGCTCTCGAGTTGCCATAGGCAAGGGGGATGGGAAAATGGCGAAGCAGCATGGCAGCCAAAAAAAAAGCACATTCCAGACATATCTCTCTCAAGGATGTCTCCCTGGGTTACCCACAGCAGCCAGAGGGGAGTGATCTCTACAACCTGTGAAATTTCTCCGTTTGTTGAATGTGACTGATGACACATCCTGGGGGGGAGGGGGGAAACAGGGTCAAGATTGGGTCGTAAACTACGTGGGGTCAGAGTTGGCTTCACTTGGAGCGTGCTGACATGAAGCTCCTAATAAATGACTGGATTTCTTTTGAAGCTTGGCTCGAGGCTCATGATTTAATTAGGGCATCCGTCAGATCCCTGAAAAACCTTTAGAACGATTGAAAAACAATTTCAATAGTTTTTATAGTTATTCTGATTTTATGCTTCATGTTTATTATTATCATCAGTACACAAATTACTATAATTGATACTCATTTGTCTTTTGGTGCTATTATTATCACTTTATATTGGCTAGTGTGATATTTTATATGAAAGTTTTGACTGGTAATTGTTCAGGAGACAGCTGCATAAATAAACACTTGCCATACACCCATCATCGACAACAAGAACTCTCTCTTTGCCTGATAATAGAAGAGCTATTAAAAATAAATTATGAAAAGTTCTGCCTTATTTATTTCTCTCCAGAGATAAATCAGCGCTAGTGGGAAGAAGTAGTTTAACTTCTTTTTTTTTCCAGATAGTTTGCTGAAATTCTTGCAAACATGTTAGGAAGACTCTGTTATGAGTCTAGCTTAGGGGGAAAAAAATTACTCTTGACCTGAATTCATGGACTTTATTTATTTATGAAAATTTCACTTTCTCTCAGAGACTCTGGGTGGCTTACAATATATTTTCAATACATCCATATGTAGTCAGAAAACTAATTTTCTAGCTTTGGGGAAAATGACCACCAACAAAATACAAAAAAGATTCAAACTGAAATGGTGAATTCTAATTCTGCATATGTAAGATGGAATTGGTTGATTCCATCTTACATATTCCATGGAATTGGTTGATATCCTGCCTCTCCCAGGAGTCCCCATGCAGCCTGTTTTGGATGCAGGTAAGTGCAGGGCGTGCACAGATGCTCAGGGAGGGTGAAAAATGGGCCTACTGGAAGTTTGGGAAGGTTTCTGGTCTCCAGAGGGCCTCCGGAGCTTGGGGAGGCCATTTTCGCTCTCCCAGAGGCTCACCGTGGTGCAGGAGGCTGACAAGGCCATGCCACCATGGCCATGCCCACCCAGCAACTGGGCAGAGAACCCCTTGCTAAAATTTTTGAAGCCCACCCCTGGGTAAAAGCCAACTGACCGCTGCTTATCGAGAGGGAGGGACATCAGCCTGGGGATTCTCGTCATGGTTGGATCAATGACCTGACTTGGGATAAAGAAGTTTCTTCTGTTCCTAAGAATAGAAATCTGGATTCTTGCACGTGTCAAATTTACCCGCAGTTATTATGCCTAATAACTGGTTCATGTGTCCTTCAGGTCACTTGCCTCTAAGAGATTGATAGCCCGTCCCAGCAGATGGATTGTGAAATTGGTCAAGATCAAACGTGGGATAAAAGAAGCAGGTGAGAAGATGACCTGGGCCTCAGCATTTCCACTGGCCATCGCTGGAATGGAAAGAGTTGCCAAAGCATATCAGTTAGAAGAAAAACTTGTCTTATTGAAGTGTCCAACTACAGTATGTATACAACAGATATACCGTGTTTCCCCAAAAATAAGACTCAACTGGAAAATAAGCCCTAGCATGATTTTTTCAGGATGCTCGTAATATACGCCCTACCCCCTAAATAAGACCTAGTTAAGATCATCAGCCAGACAGATGCATTTAGTACCGTATTTCACTGAAAATAAGATCTAACTGGAAAATAAGCCCTAATGTATCTTTTGGAGCAAAAATTAATGTAAGACACGTGTCAACACGCGAAGCTTTCCCGACCTGCTCACAAGTTGCCATTGGCAGGTGGATGGGGGGGATCGAGCCTCACAGCTGCATCAAGGAATTTGCACCTCAGTCAAAACAACGCACATCCCAGCTGGCCAAGGTCAAGGCCATCTCCACAGAAACAAGTAACGGCCAGATGGAGTGACTTCTACGACCCGCGAAATTGCTTCATTGGGGAATGTGACTGATGACACACCTTGGGGGGAGGGGAAAACAAGGTCAGAGGCATGGCACGAACTGAGTGGGGTCAGAGCTGGCTTCACTAGGTCCGTGCCAACATGGCGCTCCTCATTATCAACTGGATTTTTCTTGAAAACTGGCTTGAGGTTCCTGCTTTTATTAGGGCATCGGCTGGAACCCTGACAACACGGTCTTATTTTTGGGGAAACACGGTATATATCTGCCCTTTGTGTCTTGATCAGTGCAGGACATATTCTAGATCAGGACCTCATGGCAGTGCGACTGAACACAATTAATGTTGCTGGTGTTTGGGCAAGATTTGTTTTACTTGTACATATTTTAACCTTTATTTTATATTTGAAATTTGATGTTGCTTCTGACACATACAAACAAGCAAGCAAACTGTGCATCTTCATTATGCAGGTTCACATTTCAGATATGTGATTGAGTCATGAAGTGACTCAACTTTTCTACACAGGTAGAAAACACCTGTATTTAAAAAGGTTCTAAACATTCAGAAATAACATTCAGATTCTGCAGACACGATGACCGCATATATTTTTTTTTACAAACTGAAAAAAAGATCTAGAGATAATTTCAGATGTCTGAAGAAATGTGATTCAAGCCAGAGCTCAAGCAGTCAATTATTGGTCATTGTGTATTGCCCAAGGCTTAAGAGTTAATGCATAAAAACCCAAGGACTTAATCTTCATTCATTCATTCATTCATTCATTCATTCATTCATTCATTCATTCATTCATTCATCTTAAAACATGGTGCTTAATGCATTTAGCTACCTGAGTGGAAGGTAACATCTGTGTAGGAAGAAAATTTCCACGTTTCCCAATCAAATTCCTTGGGAATGATGTCTTCAGGCAGAGACTTCCTAAGATGCTGTTTTAGTGGGTCTTCTGTTCTTAAGAGCTCAGAAAGATGACTCCAGACAAAAGAGCCCACTCCAAAAATATATACAAACACACACACACACAAAACAAGAAAATACAGTTCAATTATTGGGAAAACAGAAGTTAAACCCGTTGTGGAATACATCATTACATTGATGACTTCAGAGATGCTGAATTACTACGGTTACTTTCATCTTGCAAAAATCTAAAATGTTATGACCAGATTCTTACATCGGGATAATCCATCATGTATTTTGATTATCTGAGGATGAATATTTGGGGCAAACTCAGGCACTGTTCTTCATCAACTATAGTGTGTGGCTTTCTGTACTAAGTAAAGCCAGAAAATTGCAGATTATTCAGTCAACTGTTTAATCAAGCTGAGGTTTAACAAAGATAGGTGAACAGACCTATAACCTATCCACAGATGCTTTGTGCATTATAGTTCTAAGCATGGGGATGCAGTGGCTCAGTGGCTAAGAGGCTGAGCTTGTCGATCGAAAGATCGGCAGTTCAGCGGTTCGAATCCCGAGTGTTGCGTAACAGGGTGAGCTCCCGTTACTTATCCCAGCTTCTGCCAACCTAACAGTTCCAAAGCACGTAAAAAATGCAAGTAGAAAAATAGGGACCAGCTTTGGTGGGAAGGGAACGGTGTTCCGTGCACCTTTGGCGTTGAGTCATGCCGGCCACATGACCACGGAGACGTCTTCAGACAGCGCTGGCTCTTTGGCTTTGAGATGAGCACCGCCCCCTAGAGTCGGGAATGACTAGCACATATGTGCGAGGGGAACCTTTACCTTTACCTAGTTCTAAGCATGTCTTTCTATAAGTAGTGTCCCATCAAGTTCCATGGCACTTTCTCCCAATTATATACGGATATGTTTGCAGCAGTGGTGGGTTGCCCCCGGTTCGCACCGGTTCTATAGAACCGGTAGTAAAACCGGTGGGAGGCCCTGCCCACTGACTCTGATGTCATGAAAATGCTTCTGTGCCGCGCGGCTCTGTTGCAAACCAGTAGTAAAGGTAAGTAGAACCCACCCCTGGTTTGCAGCCTAAATAATGCAATCATGTATTTATTCATAAATAGGTCCCTTACAATTCAGTGAAGCTTGTAACCAAATTCTTGCACTTAGGATGATAGCCGAATCTTCCAGAGGTGGGGGAATATCTAGGGAAAGACCTCCTCTTACCTTGACTGGATCGCTCCTCCTGCAAAGTCCATTTAATGTGATTGAATAAGTCTTTGCTAGGACATTTCATGGCCATAAGATACGAAGCAATTCTGATCTCAACGTTCTCATCGTAGGTTTGAAACAGACGGAGCAATACAGCACGCTAACATGAAAGAATATAGGATAAAGAAACAGTTTATCAAATGTTGGTCACATCTATTCATATCTCGTTTCAATTTCCCAACAACCTCCTGTCAGGCCTGGAAGCCCTCTTTTTCTTTGGATCTTCAGGCCTGCCACATTTACTACTGTGGGAAACTGGGAGGGGGGATTGTATAGAGCTAGGGTGATATGTAGTCATAATAACATTCCTTTCTCAGAGAGTCAAGGACATCATGCCCTGCACCTGGAAGGCTGGAACTGGGAGGCATCTCCAGTTGGGATGGTGCTTTGATTGGACCAGTGGTGGGTTCCTCCCAGTTTGGCCCGGTTCGCGAGAGCCAGTAGTGGTGACGATATGACATGATCGAACCGGTTCTCTGTCTTCGGGAGCTGGGCCCTCCCGCCCGCCCCGGTGTTATGCCGACCTTATATTTCTTCTTTTTTCGCCCAACTGAGAGGTGCGGCAGAGCGGATTGCCGCACCTCAGCTGGGCAGATTTGCAACGCATTTGCGCAAAGCACAAGTTTGGCGCGCGGGCGAGCAAACCGAGCACGCGCACGGCGATCACGCGCAAAGTGCACGACCGAAGAGAACCAGTAGTAAAGCCGGTTAGAACCCACCCCTGGATTGGACCTTGTGAAGGACGTGTGGGTGTTGGGCAGGGACTTTACTTTTACTTTACTTTTTACTTTTATTAGACTTCTATATCGCCCTTCTCCCGAACGACTCAGGGTGGTGTACAGCCATATTAAAACACATAAAATCACAAAATTTAAAAACCATTAAAATCAAAAATACAAAAATTTGGCCCACAAATTAAAAACTGACATACACCCAATTAAAATTCATATTCATGTTAGGCCAGCCCGGCTTGTTGGAACAAGAGGGTCTTCAGGGCGCGGCGAAAGGTGCGCAGGTCGGGGATCATACGCACATCTAGGGGCAGCTCATTCCAGAGGGCTGGTGCCCACACAGACTTGGACTTTCCTTTGGGTGGGGAAAACCTGGAAACTTTCAGATTCGGGTTTTCCCAGATGTGCCAATATGACATCTCTAATAAAATGGAACTTTGAGGAACTTCAAGCCTCGGAGTTTTCTTTCCTTGGGGGGTGTTACTTGGAACCCTGACATTAACCCAAATCTGAAAGTTAACAATGAGCCTTAGTACAAGATTTTATGAAGGCTTGATATTCAAATGTAAATAGTTCTTGTTTTCTGCAGAAGAAACCAACAACTAGGTTCGTGATGGTGAACCTATGGCATGTGTGCCACCTCTGGCACGCAGTGCCTTCTCTGTGGGCACGCGAGCCGTCTCCCCAGTTCAGCTCTGCTGCGCATGAGCGCACGCCTCCCACTTGCCAACTGGACTTTGGGTCTCTGCCGTGCATAGGCCGCATGCAGGGGGTCACTCATGCATGCACGAGGGGCGGGCCGTTTGTGTAGGGGCCATGTGCACATGCACGGGGGCAGGGCATGTGCAGGGTTGCATGTGCATGTGGGGGCGGTGCATGTGTGGGGCGTACACACATGCATGGGGGTCAGGCCCATGAGGGGGCTGTACGCATGCGTGGGATCAGGGCGCATGTGGAGCTGCATGCATGCACGGGGCCGCATGCACGGGGGGCACATGCCCGTTGCATTTTGGGGGTTTGCGCGCGCTTTGGGCGCTCGGTCCATAAAAGGTTAGCCATCACTGTACTAGGTGTTAGTCAAGCAGCCCTTTATTTCATAACATGTCATTAAAACATACAGGTTATGGTAACCATAGTCCTAAAAAACAATTATGCCTTTGTAAGTGATTTTTTTTGGGGGGGAATCCTAGGTTTTAAAACATGGCATGGAAATTGAAAATTTCAAGTAAAGTCTTTAAAGTAAAGTAAGGAAATGATGATAAGATGGTAAGGTAAGATAATATCAGACATAAGAAATAATAAGAGAGAAGAGAGAAGAGAGGGAAGGGAAGGGAAGGGAAGGGAAGGGAAGGGAAGGGAAGGGAAGGGAAGAGAAGAGAAGAGAAGAGAAGAGAAGAGAAGAGAAGAGAAGAGAAGAGAAGTTAACCAACATATGGTACAACTACACTTAGAATATTGCACTCAGTTCTGCTCACATCAAAACAGTGTTATAGAATTGGAAAAGAGTAAGGATGACTTAATACAATTGCAAAGCTAGAATCCACTTTCCCTCTGAGGAAAGTTTATAACAACTTGGTTTACCTATCAGCTAAGCTCTAAGGATTTGGGCTTTCACTGTGGAAATTCAAACACTGGGGTCTGAAAATCATGGCTTAGATCTATGTCCGATTTGAGTCCTTATTATCTAACAATCAAACCATGAATGGCTTCTTAAAGAACCATGTTAAGATAACCATTGTTACCATTATAGCATTTTAGCTAAAATCAAAAGCTAGTGAAGAAAGTAAAGCAATACTGTAGGAACCCACTTTCATAATACTAGATCCCAGGATCATCCAATGAATAGGAAGAGAGTTGGATCCTGTGGCCCTATATTCAGATCCAGCAGTCATGTCTTTAACACCTCATTTGCTCCTTTTTTTCTCTACCACGCGGATGTTGTATTTTATTCAAAATGGGATAGGCAATCAACTCTACATCACCTACGTTGGCTGCACAGGGGATGCGCCGGAAAGCTTCAATGGCTGCCAGCCGGATTTCAGTTGGGTTGGTTTTCAGCACCGCACAGGAACTCAAGGGTGTTGTCAAAGACGTTGCCGCCAGCCCTGCATTTCCAATTGCATTTAAGATCAGTTCCATCTGAGAAGCCAAAGTGAAGTTGAGTGAGGCATCCCGCAAATAAAAATAAAATAAAATAAAAATAATAGAAATGAAAAAAGCCTTTGAAAGAAGCTTCAGAAAAAAAGCCTTCAAACAGAGCTTCAGGAAAAAAAGCCTCAGAACCAAAGCTTCAGAAAAAAAGCCTCCAAACAGAGCTTCAGAAAAAAAGCCTCTGAAAGAAGCTTCAGAAAAAAAGCCTCTGAAACAGAGCTCTGTTTCGGAGGCTTTCAGAGGCAGAAAAAAAAGTTTTTTCTGAAACAGAGTTTCAGAAGTTTCAGAGGCAGAAAAAAAAAAAAAAAGCAAGGCACAGAGCTCACAACCAAGGAACCTGTTGCTAAAATTCACCTCTGGGAACAGCTGATTGGCGGAATACCCCCAATCAGCTTTTTTCTTATTTTCCTCCCCAAAAACTAAGGTGCGTCTTATACTCCGGTGCATCTTATACTCCGAAAAATATGGTATTTTGTGTTGGGGGGGGGGGAAGGCTGCACTAAGGGAGGCTCATCCAATCTCATTATATGCATATTATGCATTGACAATAAAGGTTTGAACTGAATTGAATTCTTTTTCTTCATCTTTAACCAAACACAAGACTCTACCTGAGCAGTTCCCTCTGATTTGGACCTGGCACATTTCCCTCCTAAGCGTCTTCCCAGAATTTTCATAATCCTCAGTACTGCTGGTACTTGATCGCAGTTGGTTCTTTTGGAGCAGAAGTGATGCAGCAAAGACGTTAATCCTAAGAATGCTATTTGCCGTTCTTTGGGTAACTCCAACAGAGGCTGAACAAGAGAGAGATAGGAAAATAAATCCATTATATTATATAATTGGGGGGTGGGGGAATCAAGTTAGATTAAGACCTGGAGACAAATGTAGTGAAGAACCTCAAGAGAGAATCTGGAGAGCATGGCAGAAGATCAAACACTGGGTTGTATACTATAGACGAATGGTGGTACCTAAAGAAAGGTATCTGATACCAAACTTAATCAATTATAAAGATTTGGAGGGACCCAGGAGCTGAACAGAAATGTCTCTATTCTTTACCTCCTTTCTTTAAGTTTGAGCCTTGATGCTTTTGACATATGGGCTAAAGTTCTGATTCTCAAATTGATTCTCTCTTTATATATTTATTTTTCAAACGTATACCTGCACACCCCTGACAAAGCTAGCTGATAGGGGTGTACAACATTGGACAACCAGAAACAGCATTAAAACAATAAACCTATCGATAATCAGCAAGAAAACCGATCCTATCACAATTAAAAATAGCCATGTGTTCAAATACGTGAGTTTTAGGAAATGAATACCATCTTATGAACACAGGTGTACAATGATAAAAGTTGACATCCAAAATATCTACGGGACATTGTATTAGTTGTTCCTTAGATAAATAATTATATTTATATAAGAGAGCCTTCTCTGTGGGGGCACCTACGATCTGGAACGAGCTCCCCCCGGAGATACGGAGGATCCCGGATCTGCGCACCTTCCGTCGCGCGCTTAAGACTTTCCTATTCCATCAAGCTAGCCTGGTCTAAATCTTCTCCCCTTTTTAAATGTAAATTTTAATTTGTTTTAAATTATGGGGTATTTTAAATTCAGCCAAATTATTTAATTCGTTTTTAATTCATTTTAAATTTTTTGTATTTATGTGTTTTATCTCGTGGCTGTTCGCCGCCCTGAGTTCTTCGGGAGAAGGGCGGTATAGAAATTTAATAAAATAAATAAAATAAAATAAATATACATTCTATACTGTACCTATGACTAGGTTTTCAGATAAAAGTTAAACCATATGTACTGTTTAAGATATACAGTAAACTGGATAAATCATTCAGTATGCCCCAACCAGCTGGTTGGCTGGCCAGCCAGCCAGCCAGCCAACCAACCAACTGACCAACTGATTGACGGACCAACCAACCAATCAACCAAACAATCAAACAAACAACCATCCAACCAACTTTATTGTGGATTGAAATGGTCATCTGCTTCATACAACATGTGATTTTCCTGATGATTCTGGTTTACCCATTTTGGTTTCTAAACCTTGGTTTTTAGATTAGTCTCTTATGTGAGTACAGCTGATACATCTGCCCAAGCAGCCACAACCAAGCCATCCGTTATCCTGCTTACAGCTAAAGCATCCATCATGCCTGCAGTGGGCTCTGGGATGAAGGCGAGGGACCTCAGGAAACGATCGATGCGGTCCTCATCTACTTCTTGCAAAAGAATCAGCTTTTCCATCAGGACAACGCAGGGTTCGGTTGCACAAAAGGGAAGGGCATCCAAGAGAGGCCGCCTGAAAGAAACGTGAGAACGGTAACGCAATTGAGGTATGTAAAGCATGGACAGTTTGCTAGGTTGGTTGTTAGGTGGAGACTGATAGATTGATAGGTCTGTCGAGTTGAGACTCGTTAGGCCTATCCTGCTTAGGTAGGAAACCCTATAGCATTCCAGACAAATGGTTGTCCAATATCTTCTTAAAAACTTCCAGTGTTGGAGCATTCACAACTTCTGGAGGCAGGTTGTTTCACTGATTCATTGTTCTCACTGTCAGGAAATTTCTCCTTAGTTCTAGGTTGCTTCTCTCCTTGATGAGTTTCCACCCACTGCTTCTTGTCCTGCCCTCAGGTGCTTTGGAGAAGAGCTTGTCTCCCTCTTCTTTGTGGCAGCCCCTGAGATATTGGAACACTTCTCTTATGTCTCCCCTAGGCCTTGTTTTCTTTTTTTTTTAATAAGCAAACTTTATTAAATTATCAAACAATTATAAAAACAGTTAAAACCATAATAAAATATTCATATACATAGATCATGATGTCAGCGTTGCAATGCTGGCATAGAGAGAGGGCAGAGGAGAGCGAAAGATAAACTCTGAAACTTTTGCCTGCTAAATTCCTTTGAAGCCCGGTTGTCGTGGAAATGAGGGGAGGGGGCACATTCCTGTGAAATGACGAGGAAAAGAAGTCTGAAGAATGACTTGGAAGACAGCCAATGAGAAGCAGAGATTTGGGGATCGGAAAAGGAGGAATTGGGAGGCAAAAGGTCAGTCTTGTCCATGCGGAGTCATGATCCAGTGGCTGAGCTCAATTAAAGAAAGATTTCCTTAAAGATTGGCAGTTTGGAAATTCATTTAATTTTGAGATAGCACCGCAGTCTGACAGATGGACAAGACTCACCTTTCCCAGCCAAACAGTCTGACACATATCTTGTAACTGACATTTCATTTCTATTCTTTTACATAGCTATATATATATTCTTCTCCTCTACACATTATATATTTCATAACCTAGTCCCGCATTCATCCTCATGACGGTGAAGTCATTGTTAGTATTTATATGAAATAAGCATGGAAATACACTCCCAATTATCAGTTCTTAATTTAAAACTCACTCTTTACTAAGTATATCCTTATCCACTTTCTTTTCACTTAATCCAATCATACCACTTTTAAGGTATGGGACAAGTGGTATGACTGGTCCTTGTTTTCATTAAACTAGGCATACCCAGTATTTGATATAACAGAAATAATTCAGTTATCTCTTCCTTGAGTTTTTTTCCTCATGAAATTCCACTAAATAGATCTCTCAGTAAGACGCTACCAAATTCCTCTGGGGACCGACCCAACCATCTACTGCTTAGGAGGAAAAGTAGCTCTGAGCACTAGGCTTGGCATAAAGTGCATGAAAGGACCTGTTCAACTCTCTTGCACTCTGTGTGTCTGAACATATCTGGAAGTGTTTTTGACATGAAATTAGATAAATCTCTTTTGCATCAATAGGTAGAGTATCTATTGCCCTAAATCAGGGGTCAGCAACCCGTGGCTCTGGAGCCGTGTGTGGCTCTTTTATCCCTCTGCTGTGGCTCCCTGTTGCTGGTCAGCTCCACAATTGATAGGGCTTTCGGTTAGGACAGGTAGAGGAAAAAGGACGCTGTGCTAGGAGGAGACTCTATGGTAGGGGAACCGGACTTCCAGTCAGCAGAGGAAAAAGGACGCTGTGCTAGGAGGAGACTCTATGGTAGGGGAACCAGACTTCCGGTCAGCAGAGGAAAAAGGGCGCCATGCTAGGAGGAGACTATGATGGGGGAACTGGACTTCTGGTTGGCTCCAGAATTGAATGGGGGCTTCTGGTTAGGACCTTTGTGGCTCTTTGAGTGTTTAAGGTTGCTGACCCCTGCCCTAAGTGTAAACACCCATTTATGTGGAGCAGAGTGAGAGATCTTGTGGTTGACTTTGATAAATCTTAATTAAATGTTCCATGTTGCCTTCTTCTGAGTTACTTCTGGGCCCATATTTAGCCACCTTACCAGTTATCTTGACATTTGGAAGAAGGACTCTTCCACAGGTCCATCAAGGCATCGGTGGAGACCTGCCGAAGTGCAAACACCAAATTCAGGAACAGATCTGTAGGCTGCGGAGAAAAAGAGGACCTGGATTAGGGTTTAATACATTTAAAAATCAGTAGTCTGGAAAATGTCTCCCAGTACCAAATTGGATGAAATGCAAAACATCATAACCATGTGTTGGAAAGGATGTATTCTCAAGGGACTAAGAAAAGTGCTGGAAAGGAAAATGAAGTCTTGAAAGCAGGTCTGATAACTCCATCTCATTATAGTTTTCTTCATGACTGTGATGGTATGTGCGAAAGACCTTGAGAGAAGGAGCAAAGAAATGCTGTCTAGGGAATGGTCAGAAAAGAGAAAGCATAGCCTGCAACTGAATAATGGGCTAGGTAAGAAGCTTGGAAGGAACCTCCTTAGTTTCTCAGACTGTGAAAGAGACGATGGTAGATCTGTACTTTCAAGCTTGAAGATTGATGTCAAGTACTGTAGATCAGATAGGAAACACAACCGGATGAGCTGATTCTATTTTATTTTAAAGCTACATTAATAGAATCTTCCAAAACCTAGCTGTCTTGAAATTTATAATGCTGGGAAAGGTAGAAGGAAAAGGAAGAGAATGAGTAGAAACAAGGTGAATAGATTCAATTATAATGTTGATGGATACACTGGTAGAACATCTAAAGAAGCAGTTGGGGATGTTTCATTCTAGAGAAGAGAAGAGTGATTGGTTTCAGTCAATAATTACTTGATGTCAGTACAAAAGACCAAGTCCACATGTGGAGAAAGACTCAAACTGATTTATTTCTAAAAACTGTGCACAGGAACCTCCTCCACTAATAGTTAGCATCTGCTTAGAGTTAGATAAGGGTCAACAGCACTCAAGGGAGGAGGGGTGGACTTAGTTCACTTGTGGCTATGTAGGGATTCTAGGTTGATCTCTCATTTAACGCTCACCCTGTCGGGTGCAAGAAATAGGGAATCAGGGTTAGATCCAGTGGTGGAATTCTGTGAGTGTGGCTTGGTGTGCATGGCATGGTTTGGTGGGCGTGGCAGGGGAAGGATACTGTAAAATCTCCATTCCCACCCCCACTCTAGCGGAAGGTTACTGCAAAATCCCCATGTCCTCCCGATCAGCTGGGACCCGGAAGGCAGAGAATAGATGGGGGCGGGGCCAGTCAGAGGTGGTATTTACCGGTTCTCCGAACTACTCAAAATTTCCGCTACCGGTTCTCCAGAACTGGTCAGAACCTGCTGAATAGCACCTCTGGTTAGATCCAAAATGGGAATAAGTTTATTCCATGCTTCCTCTAAACAAGAATGGGAACTGTTTATGGTCAAGGCGAATTGGTGGTAGATAAGAGTCAACAGAATCCAAGGTAGATTGGACTGAGATCTCTTGTGGGCATGGCATGCTTGACCCCTCCCTTGGGCTCAGCTTGGTCATCTCCTACATGCCCCCAGATTCTGCCATTCTTCTCCTACACGTTGATGATACACAATCAGCCCATTAAAAGGCTAAATAAGGGAACAAATACAAGCTTTCTGGATTCTTGCCTTTAAGCTATGTATCACTGATGCTTTTCTACAGCAGCATCAGCAATGAAAGAAGAAGTGAACCCAAAATCTTGTCCCTTTTGAGGGGAATCTAACCCAGAGGGAGTTCCCACCCCCCAAGCCAACTCTTTCTTTCTTTCCTACCTCCCTTTCTATAGCTTCCTCTTTCTCCCTGTCTGCCTTTTTGCTCAATTCACAGCCCATTATTTAATCCCATTTACATTCAATCTGATCCTACAATGGGTGGGCAGCAGCTCTATAGAGGCTCCCCTCTGAGTGACAAGCATTTCCTCCTCTGCTTTCAATGGGGGACGAGGGAGATTCCTCCCAAGCTTCTTTCATTCTTGTTTTGCTTGCCTGAATGGCCTGTATAATCTCACCCTATTTGAAAGCAAAAAATAATAATAATAGCAGGGGACAAGGGAGACTATGCCTGGCTGGTAAAGACAGGGTTTCCAAGGTGATCTTGTGGACAATTCCCATAAGCCTCTTCCTAAACAAGAGGAGGTTTTTTTTTTTTTAAAGGATGCAGATTTGGAGATAAGGAGAGTAAGTTGGAGCAGAGAAATATAACACAGATGGCTAGGCCTACAAGATGCGGTCGACACAGGATAAAGGGAAAATGTAGGTGGTCCTCAACTTACAGGAGTTTGCTTAGTGGCCATTCAAAGTTACAACAGCACTGAGAAAAGCGACTTACGGATGTTTTTCACACAACCATGGCCACGTTCCCATGATCACCTAATCCAGGGGTCTGCAACCTTAAACACTCAAAGAGCCATTTGGACCCGTTTCCCACAGAAAAGAAAACACCGGGAGCCACAAAAACCCTTCCCGTGCCTGACTATTTCTTGAGCGGCCACAAAACTAGCCTATGTAGTTGAATTAAATGTTCTGTTTTCTTCTGAAACTTTTCTTGGATTTATCCATGGTTGGCCTCCCGGGGGTTGAAAAGCTCAATAAATCGTATGCTGGTGGGTGCCGCACATTGTCGGTGGTGACACATATTTTGAGTGACGGAGCCGCAGTAGAGGGGTGAAAGAGCCACATGCGGCTCCAGAGCCACAGGTTGCTGACCCCTGACCTAATCAAAATTGAGATGCTTGGCAACTGACTCACATGTCAGTGTCCCAGGGTCATGTGATCCAGAGGTGGGGTCTACATAATTTACTTACCGGTTCGCCCAGCACTGAAAATGTGAGCGCACCTCCACGCATGCACACGACCTTCCGTGCATGAACTTTGCTCACATGTGCGGCTTCCATGCATGCACACTGAGGTGGCTCAGTGGCTAAGACACTGAGCTTGTCGATCGAAAGGTCGGCAATTCAGCGGTTCGAATCCCTAGAGCCGCGTAACGGGGTGAGCTCCCGTGACTTGTCCCAGCTTCTGCCAACCTAGCAGTTCGAAAGCAGGTAAAAAATGCAAGTAGAAAAAATAGGGACCACCTTTGGTGGGAAGGGAACAGCGTTCCATGCACCTTTGGCGTTGAGTCATGCCGGCCACATGACCACGGAGACATCTTCGGACAGCGCTGGCTCTTTGGCTTTGAAACAGAGATGAGCACCACTCCCTAGAGTCAGGAACGACTAGCACATATGTGCGAGGGGAACCTTTACCTTTACTGTGGAGAGAACGTCTGCCCAACCTATTTTATTTTATTTGGAAAGGGATGAAGGCAATCTTGAAGGTATGAGTTGGGGTACTCTGTGTGGCCAATCATGATAATTCAATAAACTACCTCGGTATCCATGGTAGGTTTCATGCAGAGCTTCTGAAGAACATTAGCTACTTCTTCCATTTCCTCCTCTTTGGACAATGGTGCCATTTTCTCTTTTTGATAGAGCAGGCTGCTTTCATAGATGTCACTAGTGGGTACTAGAGAAATGAAACCAGCATTACTTTACACCGAAAGCATCGTTCAAAGATGTTTGTTCCCTAATATGGAACAGTAAGTTCCATTCTTCTTCCTTGATGAATGGAAGTGTCAAGGTTCCAAGTAATATCTCCCCAGAATGAAAAAAATCCAAGGTTTCCATATTTCATCAAGATCTCTTTATTAGAAACATATCAAATTGGCAAGGTCATGGTGTAATTCCGAATCTGACCTCACTCTGGAATTTCACCCACTAAAAGCAAAAGTTTGAAACGCCCTCCCCCACCCCAACTCATGGTCACAATCTCTAATCAGCTCATAGTCCATCGTTCGATGACTCCAAACTCCACCTTCTGCCAGCTGCAAGCACCTTCTCAGTTCCCGCGGGAAAGAATGCCAACTAACCACAGCATCCCCCCTTATCTCTACAACCCTCATTTCTACTGCTAGAACGCGGCGTGCCTGAAGCATCATTAAAGAAAGCTAAGAAAAGAATAGGCAAGGACTACAATAAAATAGGGACGCAGTGGCTCAGTGGCTAAGACACTGAGCTTGTCGATCGAAAGGTCGGCAGTTTCAGCCGTTCGAATCCCTAGTGCCGCAAAACGGGGTGAGCTCCGTTCCTTGTCCCAGCTTCTGCCAACCTAGAAGTTCGAAAGCACATTAAAAAATGCAAGTAGGAAAATAGGGACCACCTTTGGTGGGAAGGGGACAGCGTTCCGTGCGCCTTTGGCGTTGAGTCATGCCGGCCACATGACCACAGAGACGTCTTTGGACAGCGCTGGCTCTTCGGCTTAGAAACGGAGATGAACACTGCCCCCCTAGAGTCAGGAACGACTAGCACATATGTGCAAGGGGAACCTTTACCTTTACCTTTTTACAATAAAATATGGCTATACATACGTCAGCTTCAGGGTCGACCAGAAGTACCAAACCTGTTTTATTTTGGGATCCAAGGAGAAGCAACATCCGCTAACCACTGTCCAGAGACAGTGAATTAAAGCAGTAACAAATCACCGTTCTTTGGCTCTACTCAATAGTAGGGTTGGCCATGCCACAGTCATCCCATTAATTTATTCTTGCTTGGAGGCATCAACCAACCTTTTTCCTGGGATATACTATGAGCTTCAGTTCGGAAGAGCTTCAAGTCTGTCCGAGTTTGCATCTTCACTCCACTGCCCTTCCTTGCAGGAGGTGTAACAAGGTGGTACTCCATACATTTGATTTCCGCAAGGATCCCTTTCTCCTCAAATCTCTGGATACATTCAAGTTTGGAAGACAGAAGTTGCTCCTGGGGGTGAAGCAGACACACGTGATCTAATGGATCAGTCATGAAGATCTATTATCAATAGCAATAGTACTTAGACTTATATACCTCTTCATAGTACTTTTACTCTAAGCGGTTTACAGAGTCAGTCTCTTGTCTCCAACAATCTGGGTCCTCATTTTACTGGCCTCAGAAGGATGGAAGGCTGAGTCAACCTTCAACTGGTGAGATTTGAACTGCCGAACTGCAGCTAGCAGTCAGCTGAAATAGCCTGCAGTGCTGCACTCTAACAACTGTGCCACTTCGGCTCTTGTAATCAAAACCATTTCAGATATAATAAAATGGAGGGCAATTATTTTTTCATTTAGGGATGCTATTTCTAACTGGCATCACAGTTGCTAAAAGCCACCCCAAAGCAGGACACAATTAACAGGGGGAAAAAAATTAAAATTAAAGTTACCGATGCATTGGGAAGAGCCACAGATTTCAGAGAAGTAAATCCAGAAAAATGGTGAGAACACAAGTTGAAGTCTTTCATCTTCAGAAGGACCGAACCTTTCTGTTGGTACTGAGTGGGACATTTCCCTGAAATATCCACCTGAAGTCACAATAGGTAAGATAATAATAAATTGAATTGATCTTGAATAAAATTGAATAAATTGAATAAATTGAAGGGACCTTGGAGGTCTTCTAGTCCAGCCCCCTGATTAAGCAGAAGTCCCTGTACCATTTCACACAAGTGTCTGTCCAGTATTGTTTTCCTTTGTAAGGAAAACAAAGTCAGGATTGCTTTGGATACCTTAGTTACCCAAAACGTAATAATAACCCAGTGATGGCGAATCTTTACAGCACCGGTCATGTGGAAACATCGCACGCACATGCGTGCTTGTCAGGGCCACGCTCCGGAAAAGCCGAACTTCCGGGTTCTAGCGCGTATGTGTGCCCGACGATCAGCTGCCCGGTGCCTCACTGCCATGTGTGTGAAGGGATTGCGCTCCGGAAAAGCTGAACTTCCAGGTTCTGGTGCACATGCGCACCTGACAATCAGCTGGCCAGGGTGCATGCGCACACTGGTTTTTGGCACTGCCACATGTGCGAAGAACAGCTGATTGTCACACACACATGCGCGCCAAAAACCCGGAAGACGAACAGGCAAGGCCGCATGTGCCGGGCAACATGGCTTTGTGTACCACGTTGGGCACGCATTCCATAGGTTCTCCATCACGGTTCTAACCCATAGCTTAGCAGAAATAAAGGAGATGGGTGAGAAATGGTACTAAAATGATAGCGCAGGAATGAGACACTTCTGGGCCATAAACCCCATCCAGTTTGTCAGGCTGACTAATCTGAGTTATCTTTCACTGTCCTGGCTGCCTCCCATCAGACCTATCCAGGGGTGGGCTTCAAAAATTTTAGCAAAGGGTTCCCTACCCAGTTGCTGGGTGGGCGTGGCCATGGTCATGGCTGGGCGGGAGGCATTTCTGCCCTCCCCAGGCTCTGGAGGCTTTCCTTGAGCCTCTGGGAGGGTGAAAACAGCCTCCCCAGACTCCAGAGGCTTGTTTACGGCCTTCCCGAACTTCCAGTAGGCCCATTTTTCACCCTCCCCCATCCTCTGCATGTGCCCTGCACTTACCTGCACCCAAAACAGGCCGCATGGGGATTCCTGGGAGGGGTGGGGCAGGGTGGGCACGGCCAGCCAGGAGTGGGATTTGGGAGTTCTCCGAACTGCACAGAATCTTAGCTAGAGGTTCTCGCGAACCCCCAGCAGCCCAACCCTGGACCTATCAAAGCATCACACTTAATGACATTGTAATTGGGATGTTGCATTGGTTTGTTCCTCCGGTGCCCTCCTCTTTCTAAAAATGGCAACAGCTTTTTAGAAGCTGAGATATAAACAGTGATAGCAGTGGGACATAGGAATATGGGGTTACCAAACTCACAGCCTTATGAATGGGTTAAACTCAGTGTTGTGTTTTAAAGAGCTTCACCTCTTCCACGCTGTTGTTGGCAGCGGCTCCCAACGATGATGTCTGGAGACCACTCAGAACCCCCCGTTTGATGTTTAGGGCCCAAGTTGACTCATTCTTCTGGGGAAAGATCTTCAGAACTTTCCCATTGTGAAAACAAAACCACAGTGGGTATCGCTCCAAAATTTCCCTAGAAGACAATAAGATTTCTTTTTTTTTTAAAAAAAATTGTAAGCTAAGGAAATGCGAACACATTATGTGAAGACCTAACCCCCTGGCGAAGTCTACAATGCTGGAGAAGGAGAGAGAAGAAGAGGATGACCAGCAGCAAGGGGATGGACTCAGTTATAGTGTGCCATTGGAAGGACTGAAGGACCAGGTTGGAGACAGATGGTTATGGAGAAAAACTATCTATGTAGCCTTTAAAAGTTGACATCAATTTGCACATAATCAATCAATCAATCAATCAATCAACGCAAAGATGTAGTTCTCTGCAAAAAGCTGAAATACTGGGAAAGATGGAAAGAAAGAGAAGAGGTCAACCAACAGCAAAATGGGTAGACTTAGTTATATGGTGATGGGAGCACCATGGGAAGACTGGGATCCCAAAGTAGCATTCTACTTAGTAAATTTTTTCCCATCTTGCTCAAAGGTTTTTATTTTTTTAAACCCAGAACTGTTTTACCTTAAACTGTCATTTTCATTCATCAGCTTCACCTCGGATTCAAAGATGTTTTTGATCTGTACTCCTTGCAACTAGGGACAAGAACAGATGTCAACACAATATAACTCCCAAAACTGCTGAAGTAGATAGATAGATAGATAGATAGATAGATAGATAGATAGATAGATAGACAGACAGAGATAGAGACAGAGATAGATAGAGAAATAGATAGATACTGTAGATAGATAGATGGACAGATAGATACTGTAGATAGATAGATACTGTAGATAGATAGATAGATAGATAGATAGATAGATAGATAGATAGACAGACAGACAGACAGACAGACAGACAGACAGACAGACAGACAGACAGACAGACAGATGGATGGATGATAGGTAAACAGACAATAAATAACCTAGGGTGGATGGATGGATGGAAGAGAGAGAAGAGAGAGAGAGAAAGAGAACCTACGATGAAGGAATGGGAGGTGGGTAGATAGATAGACAAATAGACCCTACTCACTTTTAAAATTCGACGACAATTTGCCAATACTTCGACCACAACTGTACTTTCTAGGGTGATGCCACTTCTCTGGTAGGCCCTTCCTTGAAGGAACGTAGTGGTAGATGTTGAGTAGCTATAGCTGAACCTGGATCCCACGGAAACAGTTGGTGTGCTAAAACCTGTGAAAGCAAAGAAAGGTTCTGAGACAATGTCTTGATGATGCCCAGTTGTTTAAAGCAGCTTTCAACGAAATCATTTAGGTTGATGCAATAAATTAGTCCATATGTTAGAATATATTTCTATGCAACAACTACAGTAGTATTTAGCCAGTAGTTGGCAGTGTACACAAGTTTGGATCTATGTTATATATCCTATGATTTTTTGTTCTAAGTAGAATTTCCTTTTTCCTGTTACAGTAAAAGTTAAGCAGTAAAGCACATGGTGACTGTACTCTTTAGTGTTTGCTCTGTAGTGCTATATATAAACAGAATTTATAACACTATATGATCAGGCATTAGAGAATATTAGATAGAGAGCTTTTGCAACTCTTCCTGAGTGTCTACCGGATATGGTCAAAACAATGAAGATGGTAGCTATGAAGATACAGTCAAAGTTCCACCCATTTTTATTGTATTATTAAGTTCTAAATATTTCAATATAATTTTTGGAAGAGACATTAGAGTGGACTGCCTTGGGAGTGCAAACACCAGAAGGAATATTATGTTCTGATCTTTTGGAGACAGAGAAGGCGTCCTACATTCCTGGGATCTCATTTTATGAGTTTCAGTTTCATTAAAACTGCCCAGAATATCATCGGGCTCCAGCTACCAGCCCTGGATGACATCTTCGAATCTCGCTGTTTGAGGAAGTTGCATAACATTCTCAGAGACTCTTCCCATCCTGCTTACAATCTTTTTGGACTGTTGCCTTCTGGCAGAAGATACAGAACAATTAAAACTCGGACCACACGTTTTCTGAATAGTTTTTATTCCAGAGCTATAATTGCACTCAATAATGAACTAAAGGGCCACCATGAGTGAGCTGTTGGACAGCATTACTTGGTCTGTTGTGTGGATGCTTGGGTGGTTTAGGGGTGGGGAATTGTGGTGGGTGGGGGTGTGTTTGGGGATTGTTGTATGTGTTGGACCTGGTCTTTGGGTGTTAAGTGAATTTCGTTGTATGGGTATACTGTGTAAATACATACAATGACAATAAAGTTAATGTGATGATGATGATGATGATGATGATGATGATGATGATGATGATGATGAAGTCCTTAGCGAGCTATCAACTCAGAAGAAGAAAGCAGAGGGGTTGCCCATCAAAGATTTGCCCTGGTCCCATCTATTTCTTTCATCAAACCAACCCATCATGGTTCAAACCCATCGTCCCTCAAGGTGTTAACGTGTCTAATGCAAGGATGGGTTCTACTTACCTTTACTACTGGTTTGCAACGGGGCCGCGCGCGCACACTTGCTTCGCTCACGTGCGCGTGCGCATTCTTCTATGCAAGCGGAGAAGCTTCTGCACATGTGCAGAAGCGTTTTGATGACGTCAGGGTCAGTGGGCGGAGCCTCCCACTGGTTTTACTACCAGTTCTATAGAACTGGTGCGAACGAGAGGCAACCCACCACTGGTCTAATGCTTCTATAGTTCAACTAAAGGTTTACTTCTTAAACGGACAGCACACATTCAGATGGTGGATATGTGGATTAACCAGTGAATGGACACAGAAAGGGGCGAGCAGATTAATATCTCTTATATTTGGGCGTTTTCTTACTAAGAATTTGCCTCGTCATCTTACCTGCACACTGAGACGAACAAGAGTATCTGTGCTTGAAATTTTCTGGGTCTCCTACAACGACAAACCAAGAGCAACAGTCGAAAAAGCATTTGCAAGGAATGCCAGGGTAGTTTTGACTTGGCTGTTTATTTATCGTAGGTCTAGGAAAACGTTCAAGGAGCAACATAACATTTGCAGAAAGTCATGCCGGTCGTCTTGGAAACCGCCACGTTTGCGCAAGGACGGGATGAATGGATTCAGGAGCGGGAGAAACAGCTCAGTTTTGAGAACAAGCGTCTGTTGTAGCAGAACGGGCTCCCAGCTTCAAGGCCAGGAGGATTAAGGCATCAACCACTTGTCTGATTAGCCTTGGATGGGATCCAAGGTCTCACCTCCACTCTAAATATATCATCAGCTGGAGGGCTTTGCATCGGGAAACTACAGTCTATGTCAGTGGTAGCAAACCTTTTACTAACTGAGTGCCAAACAGGTACGTGCTTTGCGCATGTATGTGCTATCCGCACTAATGCATGACTCCTCCCCCATGCCCTGCTTGTGCAACCGCACCATTTGCACATGCGCGCGGCTTTCACACCGCTCCCCTGTGCGCTGTGTGCACAATGGCACCATCTATGCATGCACACACGTGCAATTGTACCATTTGTGCATGTGCATGGTTTTCACATGTGGAATGCACGTGTGCGAACGCCATCAACGCAAACGTGTTGGGCATGGTGTGGCGTGGTGGGCGTGGCTTGGTAGGCGTGGCAGGGGAAGGATACTGCAAAATCCCCATTCCCTCCCCACTCCTGGGGGAAGGATATTGCAAAATCTCATTTCCCACCCCACTCTGGGGCCAGCCAGAGGTGGTATTTGCCGGTTCTCCGAACTACTCAAAATTTCCGCTAACGGGTTCTCCAGAACCTGTTGGATTTCACCCCCGGTTTAATGGTGGACAGAACCACATGGTTTTGAGGTCCTGGGCAAAAAAGGCACATGGGTGAGAGAGAGAGAGAGAGAGAGAGATTTATACCCTCTGTTGGGCTTTGAATTTGAGCTTGTATTCTGATTGGTTGTCAGAGTCCCGTGGGGTCATGCGGGGGTAACTTTGTAGGTTGTCTTTTGACTCCCAGGCTTGGTTGAGCCTTGCTGGGTGATGCCGTCTCCCCAGGTGCCATGTGGCGAGTTCTGTTGCTAGATGGGTAGAGGGCAAATCCTACCTTTTTTGGATCTTGGGTGAGGGCATTTGCTTATGAATAGACCTAGCTATCTCTTTATCTCTTAAGTGCTGACGTCTGCTGTGGGCTATTGAGAGTGTGGAGGCTATTAAGAGTGAGCCTGCTTCCTGCCTAAAAAAACATGTTTCTCCATTTCTCACCCAGGGAGGTATAATATTCTGCCTTTTTAATATTTCCTAGAATGTTTCATTCTTCTAGGAGAGGGGTGGGTGCTAACTCCTTACATTCTGAACAGGAGCCCTTTTGTTCAGTGGCTGTGGTGGTCAGAAAGTTTTGATCTGTACATGGACATTCCCTCCTCAGCCTCTTTCTTACAGCCTCAAGAAAACCTCACTATTTTATTTACAGTAGTGGCCACAATTGTGGAAACCTTTTGGGGAAAGTGTATTTTCTAAAAGTAGCTAATAACACCACTTTTTTTTTTGGAGTAGTACCATAAAATTAGATATCAATGGAAAGATAATTGAATCAAGAATGTAATGCAGGGGTGAAATCCAGCAGGTTCTGACAGGTTCTGGAGAACTGGTAGTGGTTCCTTAATGCTTGGGTGAGACCTTTAAAAGTTTTCCCCCCTCCCAAAATTCATACGAAAATAAGCATGCAGGCATTCTGGCTAATATACATTTCCTTGAATGCTATTTTGCACAGACAAATAGGCAGTCTTCACACACCCACACACCCAATACCCTGAATTTTGAGCAAGCCTTCCTAATATCCATGTTTAAGAAAACACTTTTCTATACAAATTTTCTACTTCTTTTTGTTTTATATTTTTTATTAGACTTTTTGGATGCAATAAACATATGCAAAAAAAAAAAAGATAGTGAGAAAAAGAGAAAAGGAAAGAAAAGGAAACACAGAGTAATGCCTTTTGCTGTTCTATGGAGTAATTATCATCTCATTTTCCCCCACAAAAAGGGCTCTGGCCCTTTTTAACCTCGAAATGAATCAGTTCGGTCTTGTCTTCTTTCATCAAAGAAAGTCCATGTAAGAATTTCCAGTTATTCAGAAAAAAAGTATTTGGGGTTTGTTTTTTCCCCCTTCCTGACCAGGTAAACGGACTTCAGGTTTGACTGAAGTATTCACGACCAGAATAGCGAGAGAAACAAAAACGGCAAAGCCAGATATGTGGCATCTTAGGTAAGATTCAGAATGCGTGGAAGATTGACAAAACTGGTATTCAAAGCAAATGAAATCATCTCTCTTTTTGAGAGACCTGATCAACCACCTGGCTGGCTTTTGAACCCTTGAAGTCGACAGGTGTGATTTCACTCAACTTTGGCCAACCTTGGTAGCTTATCGCCAGATCCCTCCCATATGAAATACTGCAAAGTCCTCCGTTAAAATAGCACGGCTGGATAAAATCAGATGAAATCACTGGCCAAAGGACACACACACACACACACAGAGTAAGTGAGTTTCCACGGTTCCTTCTACTTACGCTTTGAGATGCCAGCCACAAACAGAGAGAACAGAACCATCACTTGCTGTAGCTCCATGATTTTGGAAACCAGCTCGGCCTTAGCAAAATCACATCAGGCCTCGTCTCTTTTCAGAGGCAGCTCTGATGCAGGAGGGCAGTGAAAGCAGATCCCCCCCACCTTTTACAAAGAAGGGCTTGAGTATTCCAGCTCTTTTTGCAAGGTGGAGGAGGGGCTGGGAAGGAGTGAGACAGAGAGGGACAGAGAGAGAGAGAAAGAGAGAGAAAAGAGAGGGGGGGGAAAGAGGGAGAGTTGACGATGAGAGAGAGAGGGAGGGAGAGTTGACAATGAGAAGGCATCTCAACTGCCCTGCGCTAGTTGATTTTTGCTTCAATAGATGATTGCATCAAGGTTAGATCAAGGTGTGTTGGGAACTGAGCCATTGTGGGAACATGAGGTGAGGGGACAATAGTATCTTCTGGGAGGCTGACATCTAATGAGTTTGCAATGTATACAAAAATATACCAAAAAAATAGATGTTGACACTCCAGAAAGAATGCAGAGAAGAGCAACGAAGACGATTAGGGGGCTAAAGTGTACGATGAATGGTTGCAGGAATTGGAAATGTCCAGTCTAATGAAAAGAAGGACTAGGAGTGGCATGACAGCAGTCTTCCAATAATTAAGGGGCTGCCACAAAGAAGAGGGAGTCAAGCTATTCTCCAAAGCATCTGAAAGCAGGCGAAGAAGCAATGGGTGGAAACTAATCAAGGAGAGAAGCAACTTAGAACTAAGGAGAAATTGCAATGACAATGAGAACAACTATCAGTAGAACGACTTGCCTCCAGAAATTGTGGATGTTCAATCCCTGGAGGCTTTTAAGAAGAGACTGGACTTCCACTTGTCTGGAATGGTATAGGATTTCCCTTGCTCAAGCAGGAGTGGGTTGGACTAGAAGACCTCTAAGGTTCCCTTCCAACTCTGTTATTCTGAGGTGCTGCTATTTCAACCTGTCTCCAACAGGATACAAGAGTTGGCTTTGCTGATCAGTTTAGCATGTAACCATTTCTGCAATTGCGTTGCTTTAATTGGGGACAAAGCCACAGGGCAGCGAAAGAGATTATGGGTAAATGGATGACATCTTTGACACAATCACACCAAAAGGCAGGCCGTTGCAATGCATCCTGGCAATCATCTGAGCAGTGTTTTCGGCTGACAGGGACAGCGTCAGCGACGGCATCTGGTCAAGCCAGGTGTGGCTCAGTACTCGCAGCACGGATCATGGTCAGAGCATGCTGGTTTCAGCATTGTGGTACAGCAAAGGGCCATGCTGAAATTAAGCTGGGGAGATTCAGACTTCTGTCCTCCATCTGCTAGGCGCTTACGCAGCGAGAGAAAGAGCGTCGGTCATTTCGCAAGCCAAGGATTGAGCTCTCCCTGCCCACAGCCAGAAAATTAAGAAAATGTCCTTTTTCAAACGAAGCAGCCGTTCAGTCTGTTCTTTCCACTCGGTCACCTCAGCAGCCCTGAGTCCGCCGCCATTTTGTAGAAGAGTCCCTTCTGGATTCTTAGCGCTTCTGGGGTGTCGAATTCGGCCACTTGTCCGTTTTCCATCACTAAAATTCTACAAATATGAGAAACGAGCAAGGTTAGTCTACAAGACCAGTGTGTTCTGGCCCGCCAGGGGCCAGCAGAGCTGGCAGCAGACTAGGATTGCCAGGTCTGCTTCCAAAAAATAGCGGACAAGCGGGGGGGTGGGTTAAGTAGTAAAAAAAATAGAAATTTTTTTTACAATTAAATTATATATTTTCTTACAAACATTTTAACACGCCGTTTTAGGTCAGTCGACACAAGCTACAATACATTTTAAAAATGTGAACTGTACATAATTTTATAATATATTTTTATTTTAATCTCATCATTAATTTTTTCGGAGAATCGAGTTCAAGGGATATTCGATCTTTGTCTCATTCTAACTTATGAAAAAAAAAGACAAAACGCGATTCTCCTATCCTTAGTCTCTTAGACTGTACAGCTTTAGATTACGTACCATTTCATCGTAAAGCTTTTGAATAAAAAAAAAGTCCACTATTTTGTGAAAAAAAAAAATAGTAAACATAATGTGAAAAAAGCGGACTGTCCGCTCAAATAGTGGACACCTGGCAACCCTACGCAGACTCGGACACTAAGGAGGTTGGGGAGGAACATGGGCCAGTCCTGGAGTCTGGGGAAGGTTCTGATGAGGGCTCTGCATCGCAGGCAGAGAGTGGGACAGGGGCCTCGGACAGTTATCACCTACCTTCGGAGTCGGAGATAAGTGAGGCAAAAGAACAGCTAGAGCCTGTTCCTGATATGCGCATGCACAGAGCTTCCAGGAGAATTCTATTCTATTCTATTCTATTCTATTCTATTCTATTCTATTCTGTTCTGTTCTGTTCTATTCTATTCTATTCTATTCTATTCTATTCTATTCTATTCTATTCTATTCTATTCTATTCTATTCCATTCTAATATCGGCACATCTCCCTCTGGTTTTTCAGGCCATTTTATCTCCTTTTTTTCTATTTCTATTTTATGTATTTATTTGTCTTGAGAATCTTCTTCAAAGCCATCTCTTACCGGTCAAATTCCATCATGGCATTTAGCCGATGGGCGATGGTCAGAACTGTGCACTCCTTGAAGTGATTCCTTATGGTGGCCTGAATCTGCAGGTCTGTTTCAAGATCCACAGCTGCGGTGGCCTCATCCAGAATCAGGATTTTGGCTTTCCGAAGTAAACCCCGAGCCAGGCAGATGAGCTGCCGTTGACCAACACTGGAAGAAGAATAGTGGGACAATTAAAACCTGAGATCGTCCCTGTGTAATGAATTGGAGAGAGGAATCCAATACTTCTGTCTACCGGACACACTTCCGTGGATCATGAGAAGGGCCTTGTATCACTTGTGAAAGGGGAAACGAGAAGGAGATTCTAGTTGTAGGAATATCTGGAACACTAGGGAGAGTGTTGAGCTATAATAACCATGATAAATGGGACCGGTAAGAATTTGAAGTCAACTACCGCTGAAGGACTACAAGTTACCCCTCCACTCCGGTGTTTCTCAATCTTGGAACAACAACTGATGACTTCCTTTTACCGGTCCACAATAGAAAGCATCCTCACTTATTGCATCATGGTAGGGCATGCCAGTTTGACAGCCGCGGATAGAAAAATATTACCGAGGGTGGTGAGCCCGGCATAAAACATTGTGGGCTGCCCCCTGATACCACTAGATGAGACCGCTAGGGCTCGCTGCCTTAGGAGAGTGAAGAAAATTCTCAGGGACAATCTCACCCTGGTCACCACTTCTTTACCCTCCTACCATCGGGAAGGCGATATAGAAGCATAGCCAGCTGCTGATTGTGAATGTATTAATAGCAGCTAGAATTGTGTTTGCTAAAAACTGGAAAAACGAGAAAATACCAACGCAAGATGAAGTTATTAAGAAAAGAATGGAGTGTGCTGAAATGAGTAAATTGACATTTGAAATTAGAGAACAAGAAGATAAACAATATTATAAGATATGGGATCTATTTTATCAGTGGCTAGATAAAAAAAAATATGGAAATGAAATATGGCTGAGATTTTTACAACACAAGAATTGTAGAATTATATAAAATATAACATAAAGATGTATTATTATTATTATTTGAATGAATAAGGATGATGAAATGGATGTCACAACATACATTAATGCAAATTTTAGAATACTGTGTATGAAATGAAGGAAGATATAGCCATAGTTTTATAAATGAATGTTGAGGTTAATAATTCATAGATACATATTAGATTGACAACATGATAAGTTAGATAAACTGTAAGCTATGAATAGATGAAGAAACACAAAAGACTTGTAACCAACCAACACACTATTTGTATTTGTAATTGATGATGATTTTATGTTTTTATGTTTGTTTAAAAATTTAAAAAAATTCTCAAAAAAAAAAAAAAAAGCATAGCCAGCTGCACAAACAGGCTGAAGGAACAGTTTTTATCCGTGGGCTGTCAGACACCTGAATGCAAAATAACTACGTAGTATGATGGACTGCAGGGCCGGTGCAACGTGTAACATGTTCACACTGTTGCAATAGGACTGGGTGTTTTGTTAATATGATTTATTGGGTTAGGGATTTTCTGTCTTCACTGTGAGTTGTATTGTGTTGGGTGTGGGAGTGCACTGTGGGAGCTCCATCAATCTCATTGTACATATATTGTGCACTGACAATGAAGATTTGAATTGGATTGAATTGGAGACTTTAAGTGGTGTGGACTTTGACTCCCATACTGATCTGATTTCAAAACAATTCTTTAGAATGCAAACATGGCCTCTAACTGATTTAACAATCCCAATTAAGTGTATTTATTAGTAACAGACCCGTACTTCCATCCAGATATCTCTCCCTCCCCTCCGCTCATCCTCAGCCAATACTGTATACATCTGTTGCATCCAAAATAGTCTGGATGAGAGACCCGTTAAATTTACATTAATTTGAATGGTATACAATTTGCCGCAACTGATGGCATTTACATAATGATGCCATTATGCAAGTGGCCTCAATCACCACTAATGACAACAGTTGCAATTTAACCCCGAGTGACGGGCAATGCTTTCCTCAAACAATCTGTCCAAAGAAAAAGTTCACCACGCTATTATTTTAAGTGCTTTTTAGTGGTCCTATCTTTGAGGATAACCGAAATGTTAGGAATAAATGTTAGGATTTACCGTATTTTTTGGAGTATAAGATGCACCGGAGTATAAGACGCAGCTTAGTTTGGGGGGAAAAAATAGGGGAAAAAATAATCTGCCTACCAGGGATTCATCTGGCTAGCCTCCTTAGTCTGGTTAGCTTCAGCACATTAGTTTGCTTTTAAAAGTATAATAGTATACTTAAAAGTATGCTTGCGGATAAAAAAGCTGAGAGGAAGCAGCAATGAGAAAAGCAGGCAAAGCACGTGGGGGCGGGGGAGATCGTTTCACTCGGCTAGTGCCTAGTTAGGGCTGAAAGAAAGCTTCTAAACAACAGCTGAGAGTCGGAGCAAAGCATAGAGATCCCTTCACTCGCTAACGTCTCGTTAGTGCCTCATTAGGGCTGAAAACAAGCTTCGAAAAAGCTACATTCGGAGTATAAGATGCACCCAAATTTTCAGCCTCTTTGGGAGGGGGGGGAAGGTCAGTGGTGAAATCCAAATTTTTTTACTACTGGTTCCATGGGCGTGGCTTGGTGGGCATGGCTTGGTGGCCATGGCAGGGGAAGGATACTGCAAAGTCTCCATTCCCATCCCACTCCAGGGGAAGGATACTGCAAAATCCCCATTCCCTCCCCACTCCTGGGGGAAGGATATTGCAAAATCTCCATTCCCTCCCCACTCTGGGGCCAGCCAGAGGTGGTATTTGCCGGTTCTCCGAACTGCTCAAAATTTCCGCTACCGGTTCTCCAGAACCTGTCAGAACCTGCTGGATTTCACCCCTGGGGGAAGGTGCGTCTTATTCTCTGAAAAATACGGTAAACATCAGCTAGCCTTTAGACCTAATCTTCCATCAATTACAAACCATCTCAAAAGAGTAAACCCAAGTCTAAACAAGGGGTGCTCATCAGAAACGTTGATGAACCCATAACTCAAAAAATAAAAAAAACCACAAAATAAAAAACCCCAAATCACAGCAGGAGATATTTTTCCTCTTTCCATCTTGGGCTTTGAATACCTGAGATCTCCACCTCCTTCAGAGCACTCGTAGGCCATCTGACCTGGCAGATCTGAAACAAAGGTCTTGAGCTGGGTCTGCTCCAAAGCGGTCCAGATGTCCTCATCTGAGCATTGATTCAAGGGATCGAGGTTCTCTCTCAAAGAACCCCCAAACAAGACTGGGTCCTGAGCACAGGGGGAGAAGAAACACAAGATATGGAGTCTATTTTCCATAGAACAGGAGTGAAGATATCCTTGGGGATTCAATACAGGGGTGAAATGCTACCGGTTCAGACCGGTTCGGGTGAAACTGTAGTAAAAACTGCTAGCGGTTTGGGCGAATCGGTATTTCTGACGATCAGCTGGGCGACAATCAGCTGTGACGTGCAATTTATATTAGCTAGAATCGTCAGATTTCCTGCTTTCTAGCTAATCTAAATCGCGTGGCACAGCGGATTTCCCCACCTTGCTGTTGTACTTAACTTTGCAGACTCAGAAGGCTTCAAAATGTTCTTTCTTTAGCACTGCGCGGGCGCGCCTCAGGTGCGCATGCACACGCAAAGCGCGCGCTCGGTAGCAGACTCACAGAACCAGCAGCAGATTTCAGAGGATTTCACCCCTGATCCAATAGGCGCTACTGGATCAGGCGATGCGGTCTGAACTGGGAGCATTTCACCCCTGCTCTACAGCCACAAGAGACCCAAGTCCACCCCTCATGAATTCTGTTGACCCTCATCTAGTGCCAGTTTGGCTTGACTGTTAGTTGACCAGATTCTTGTGTATGGGGAGTATGTAATAAACTTTTAGTGCTGGAACTCAACTGAAGTTAATTGCGCCTGACAACTTGGTGTCATTGTGGTGTCCCATGCAGGGGTGGGCTGCTGGGGGTTCGCAGGGGTTTGAGAGAACCTCTAGCTAAGATTCTCTGCAGTTTGTAGAACCTCCAAATACCACACCTGGCTGGCCCTGCCCACCCCACCCCGCCCCTCCCAGGAGTCCCCACGTGGCCTGTTTTGGACACAGGTAAGTGCAGGGCATGCATGGAGGCTCAGGGAGGGTGAAAAACAGGTCTACCAGAAGTTCAGAGGGCCTCTGGAGCCTGGGGAGGCTGTTTTTGCCCTCCCAGAGGCTCGAGTAAAGCCTCCGGAGCCCGGGGAGGGCAAAAACACCCCCCCCCAGCCTGGTGCAGGAGGCCAACTACGCCACGCCCACCATGGCCATGCCCAGCCAGCAACCAGGCAGAGAACCCCTTGCTAAAATTTTTGAAGCGCACCCCTGGTCCCATGTCCACTCAGAAAATGTCCTATAAAATGACAAGATGGACTGCAAAAAAGATCTTGATCCCAGCTGAACATCATAGTGAAAGACTGAATGAAACATCTGGTGTCTGTTGAAGACATGGCTTGGGATATCAACATTATTGGGGGTGAATAGAACGATAACAAGTGAAAGTGACAGACTGAGTTCATACCTGTGGGACAATCGTAATCTTGCTTCTCAGGTTGTGCAGGCCCATTTCGGCAATGTTGATTCGATCAATGACAATCTCTCCATCAGCGGCTTCCACAAGCCTCAGAAGCCCCATCACAAGGGACGATTTCCCAGCCCCTGTTCTTCCAACGATGCCCACCTGCAAGAGAAAAACAGAGGTTGGGGAAGGAAGGACCTCCCGATGGGAAACAAGGAGAGAGATCCTGCTTTCTCAAATACATAGGAGTCTATCCTTATTATGTTCTCACCACAACCACCCCATGAGCTTTGCCTACTAAAAATATAAACCCAGTTCAAATAAACTTGTGGACTCACCGGTCCAGTAAGGACTTAGATCTGTATCTCACAGGTCTAAATCCAACAGCTTAACCCCTACTGCATGCTGGATGTTTTAAGGGACCAAACTTTCTAGTGAAAGGAAGAAGACTTTGGACTAGATCAGGGGTCTCCAAACTTGGCAATTTTAAGTCTTTTGGATTTCAACTCCCAGAATTTCCCCCATGGTGGGGAATTCTGGGAGTTGAAGTCCAGACATCTTTAAGTTGTCCAGGTTGAGAAACACTGCTCTATATATGTCTTACCTTCTCTTGCGGTTTGATCTTTAGGTTGATATTCTTCAGAGCTAGACTTAATTCTGGCCTGTATCGCAAACTATAGCCTCTGAATTCAATTGCCCCTTCAGTGGGCCAGCTGCCACCTTGGAGATGATCATCCAAGGTCCATGGAGCCTGAAACAGATGTAACAACAATGCTAGCTCATAGTGTTGTGGTCCGCCAGCAGCCTACAGAGCTGGCAGCAGATCGGACAGTGAGGAGGCCGGGGAGGAACATGGACCAGTCCTGGAATCTGGGGAAGGCTCGGACGAGGGCTCTGCGTCGGAGGCAGAGATAGGGCCAGGGCCATCTGGGAGTTATGCACAGACTCCGGTGCCTCCAGAGTCGGATATCAGAGAGGCAGAGGAACAGGGGGACCCTGTTCCTAGTGCGTGCATGCGCAGAGCTGCCAGAAGGCAAGAACAGTTAAATCTAAAGGGACGACTCGGGAGTAAGGCCTGGAGATGATTGGCCCCTCCCATAAGGCTTAAAAGAGGAGCAAAGGCACGTGGGCCCTTTGCAAGAAAGCAACGTTGTTAATTCTGTTCCCAGTCGGCATCTCTTGTTTGTTTCTGAACTTCATGGGGCTTTGCCAAGTAAGGCCTTCGGCAGGGTGTCAAAGAAGATAAAGGTTGGTGATTATCTCGAAGGACTTCTTCCAAAGGACTTGTTTTGCAACTAATTGGGACTCAGCTGGGAATGAAAGTAATTCTCAGCTGTTACAATGAAATAGGTTTATTTGGGACTAATTGTGTCTTGTAATGACTCAGTAAGTCTAGGTCACAGCACATATTAGCAAATCCCAAAAGAAGCTCCAAGAGGCAAAACTACAAAAAACAAGATATGATTGCAGCAATAAGGACTTAAAAACTACTTCGGTTGGCTTTTTTCAGGAGGGCCAATGACAGACTTGCTTCCGACTCCACAATTGGGATATGTACTACATTGTGCTAAACCATAGTATCCCACTTTTCATTGTGGTGTGGTATGATGCATGAATGGAATTATTCTGATTTGCCAACTAGAGGGTGTTAAGTCATATGCATGACCTTGAGGGATGAAGGGAAAAGATAGCAATAGCACTTAGACTTATATACTGCTCCATAGTGCTTTACAGCCCTCTCTAAAGGGGTTACAAAGTCAGCGTATTGCCCCCAACAATCTGGGTCCTCAGTTTACCAACCCTGGAAGGATGGAAGATTGAGTCAACCTTGAGCTCATCAGAATCGAACTCCAGACTGTGAGCAGAGTTAGCCTGTAATACTGCATTGTAACCACTGTGCCACCAGGGCTCACATAAGATGCTCCTTAGAGAATGATTGGGATAAAAAGGATAGGAAACCACAACTGCTTAACGGGCAAAGAAAGAAGGTTAAGTTAAGATCCATCTAAGGTTTTAGGCTGTTAAAAGTGACAGCAGGAGACTGGCATTTTCAGGCTTGCAAGATTCTATTAATGCAGCCTTACGACGAAGTCGAATTAGATCATTTAATGTTGTTCATGCATCATACCGCACCGAAAGGTGATACTAGGTCATTCAAAAAGGATCTGAGGTGGTGCAGTGGTTAGAATGCAGTATTGCAGGCAAATTCTGCCCATTGGCAGCAGTTTGATCTTGACCGGGTCATGATTGACTCAGTCTTCCATCCTTCTGAGGTGGGTAAAAGGAGGAGCCAGATTGTTGGGGGTAATAGGCTGATTCTGTAAATCACTTAGACAGGGCTGCCAAGGACTACGGAGTGGTATATATCCAAGACCTACGCATCTTCCGCCGCGCCCTAAAAACGTTTTTATTCCAACAGGCTGGTCTGGCCTAACTCTCCCTTTTAAATTGGCCTTTAAATTGGCTTTAAATTGGGTTTTAAATCTCTTTTAGTTAAATTGGATGTTTTAATCTTTGAACCTAATCCTAAATTATTTAATATTTTTTAATAGTTTTTAACTTTTGTATGTCTTTGTATTTATTTATGGCTGTTCACTGCCCTGAGTCCCTCGGGAGTAGGGCGGTATATACATATGAAAAATAAATAAATAAATAAATAAATATATAATTCTAAGTGTTATTGCTATTCCTTCCTTCCTTCCTTCCTTCCTTCCTTCCTTCCTTCCTTCCTTCCTTCCTTCCTTCCTTCCTTCCTTCCTTCCAATCTAAGTGCTATTGCTATTTATTGCTAGTTTAGGGCTGATAGACAGGTAGATAGACAGACAGACAGGAGTTTCAGGGTTAACTAAGGAAGTGAGCTGGACCATTTTGTGACCGAAGAGAAGAAAGACTTACCTCTTTGGGGGTCTGTGAATAATCTCTCACTCTTTCCACAGACATGATGTGGTTATCAATTTCCGCTGAGGCACGCACCATCCAGTTCAAAACGCCAGTGATCTGGTAAGAAGAAGAAGGGGAATCTATGACCCCGGGCCACTGAAAGCTCCTACCAAACCTCAGAAGTTAAATGTGTTGCCTAAAGTTCTATTACGCTGCCTACCCCCTGTCCACTGCGGAATGGGACTTTTCGCCTCCTACTCTTTCTAAGGCTAGGATACCCGACTGAAACAAAAACTCCTTTGGAGGAAGCCGGCTTCTGGCTGCCAGCATTGGCAACTAGCCAATTCGCTGGCGGCTAACTGTCCCAGGAGGTAAAAAGCCCAGGATTAACAGTGTGGTGTCGAATGGGCTGTGCCGAAGTGTGTGGGATGGAGGGGCTGTGGCAGGGATGAAATGTAAAATTTGTTACACCCGGTTCTGTGGACATGACTTGGTTGGTTGGGGGGGTAATGTGACTGGGTGGGTGTGACCAACTTTTTTTTTTAACTTTTCAAAGCATTTTTTCTAATGCTTTGAAAAGCCTCTGCCGATCAGGCAACTCAGCTGGGATCGTCAGAGACTTTTCAAAGCATTTTTTTTTACCACCTCTTCAGCCGAAGAGATTGCAGAAAAAAATGCTTTGAAAAGCCTCTGACGATCCCAGCTGAGCCGCGCGATCCTCAGAGGCTTTTTTTTTTTTACTTTTAAAAGCATTTTTTTTGTCGGAAGAGGTTGTAGAAAAAATGCTTTTAAAAGTAAAAAAAAAAGCCTCTGATAATCGTGTGGCTCAGCTGGGCATAGTGTGTGTGTGTGTGGGGGGGGGTGCAGGGATTTTTGCTACCGGTTCTCCGAGCCACCCGCCGCCATTGCTACTGGATCGGGTGATCCGGTCCGAACCAGGAGCATTTCACCCCTGGGCCGTAGCCGACGGTCCGTGGCAAATGAGCAGGGGCGTGTCATCCAAGGAGAAAAGCTAGAGGAGAATCCCCCGAGGCAGAAGCCTGGCGGAGAAGCAGGCACGGCCAAGGGTAGGAGGCGAAAAGTCCTAAACCCGACCACTGACCTCAAACTCTATTTTAAAGCTGGATCATCTCTTATTTCACAAGTCCCTTCCAACAGGGACTTGTACGACTTTAAATCACCAATGAAACTGACCCAATCCAACAGAAGAAACAGGAAGTCAATAGTAAGTTCTATTACTATATTATTATATATAATATTATATTATTATAGCTTGTAATTATTATTATATTATTTTTTTTAAGACAAGTTTTATTAAATTTTTCTTTTACATACATATTTTATGAACAGTGTTTTGACCGGGTCACATCTTTTACAACTTATAACATAATTATATATTGATTTTTATAATCTATTGATTATATACAGTATTACCAGCCCAACGTTCAAGAGCATGCAGTCTTTTGGACCCTTTTATTCATTTATTGCTATGGTTTGTTTAATGCTTGTGCTATTCTGTGAAGCCCAATATTTAATTTGGAAAAAAAATATGTATTTTTTTTAAAAAAAGTTTTGTCTGATCACTCATGTTTGCTTACAAAATGGTACATCTTACAGATTTGGCAAGGGATATGTAAACTTAAGAGCACAACTGTACTATCTAATTTACAATTACGATCTAATAATTTTAATTATTTTTAAATATTCTCTGTCTTTGTGTCTTTAATTAGGCTGTACACCGCCCTGAGTCCTTCGGGAGAAGGGCGGTATAGAAATAAAATTAATAATAAATAAATAAATAAATAAACTGTAGTACAGTCCTAAATGAAATTAAAGTCCTGAACAGATTATATGAAATCAAAATCAAGCAGAAGCTTTTTAAATACCCCAGAGATTCTCCAGGAAATCAGGGATTAATTCTACCTCAGTAGAAGACATATACACCAGCTCCAATTATTTGAGAATCAGGTGAAAAAGGGGAGGAAGAGGAATCTACAGCTGGTCCTCAGCTTACGACCCCAAGGGGGGACAGGAATTTCCATTGCTAAGCAAAGCAGTTGCTAAATGAATCGAGCCCAGTTTTATGATTATTTTTTTTTAAAAAAAATCATAGTTGTTAAACAAATCACTGCAGTTGTTAATTGAAATCTGTAGTCATTAAGGAAATCTGACTTCCCACATTGACTACGCATGTGGGAAGCCGGCTGGAAAGGTTGCAAATGGCGATCATTTGACCCATCACATTCTGAGCTTACCTGAAGAGCGCAGGAGATGGAGAAGCCCACCATGCCAGGACTGAGATGGGGTTTGTACACCACAGCGAGTAAAGCTGCAGAGAGGACAATGGTGTTTCCCAGAATCTCAATGTTGGTGGCAAGCCATCTGGAATAGGAAAAGAGGGAGAGGAAGGGAGGAGGAAGAGGAAATGGAGAATGGATGGGGAAGGGAAGGGAAGGGAAGGGAAGGAGGAGAATGGATAGGGAAGGGAAGAAAGGGAAGGGAAAGGAAAATGGAGAAGGGATGGGGAAGGGAAGGGAAGGGAAGGGGGAAGGAAAGGGGAGAATGGATAGGGAAGGGAAGGAGGTAGGGAAGATAGAGAATGGATAGAGAAGAGAAGGGGGTAGGGAAGATGGAGAATGGATGGGGAAGGGAAGAAAGGGAAGGGAAAGGAAAATGGAGAAGGGATGGGGAAGGGAAGGGAAGGGAAGGGAAGGGAAGGGGAGGGAAAGGGGAGAATGGATAGGGAAGGGAAGGAGATAGAGAAGATGGAGAATGGATGGGGAAGAGAAGGGAAGGGAAGGATGGAAGGGAAGGAGGAAGGAAAGATGGAGAATGGAGAATGGATGGAGAAGGGAAGGGAAGGGAAAGGGGAGAATGGATAGGGAAGGGAAGGAAGGGAAGGTGGAGAATGGATGGAGAAGGGAAGGGAAAAGGGGAGAATGGATAGGGAAGGGAAGGAAGGGAAGGTGGAGAATGGGTGGGGAAGGGAAGGGAAAGGAAGGGAAGGAAGGGAAGGAAGGGAAGGAAAGGAGGAAGATGGAGAATGGATGGGGAAGGGAAGGGAAGGAAGGAAGGAAGGAAGGAAAGAAAGAAAGAAAGAAGAAAGGAAGGGAAGGGAAGGAAGAGAAGAAAAGGAAGGAATAGAAAGAGGAAGGAGGAACATGGAGAATGAATGGGGAAGGGAAGGGAGGGAGGGAGGAAGGTAAGGTGGAGAAAAGAAGAAGGGAAGGAAAACATTGTTCCAAGTCTCATTAGGCCAAGAGAGCTGCCATTGTCACCTTCAACAAGCCGCCTCTGAACAAGGTGCTTCCTCCCTTCCAGCCACGGAAAACTCTTTATACCTGTCAGCGACCACTGCAGGGAAAGAGACCTTGTGGCTTTCATCGACTTTGATATCATTCCGGACAATAAAACGCTGCTGGACTTTGAAAGCACGAATGAGGCAGCTCCCCTCAAAGGTTTCCGAGATGTTGGAATAGATGGGTGAGCGGCTCGCGGCTTCCAAGCGTTTCAGCTGGCAGGAGGTGGTGACAAAAAAGACCTGCCCAGAGAAAGGGAGAAGAAGAGCCCCTTCTAAAGTGGGAAAGTCCACATTTACTGGACTTCTTGAGCTTGGCTTGGGTGGGAGCTGAGGTTTAGCTGGGTGGCACAAGGGAGGTGGGAGGATGCAAAGGTTTCTCCTACATTTCAGGAGAAGATTGGGTACTTCAGCAGGTTGTTTGTCGGAAAAATGTCCTCCAAGGAAAGGAAGGAGGAAAGTGAACAGGGCTTTCTCTTCCTTGCATAAATTTTGGTTGAAAACATTTGCATGGTAAAAAGCCACCAAGGCCTCCATCAGGGAAACTTACCTATTATATTTCTATTTCTATCAAAGAGATGTCTGGGTATTTGTATATCTAGATAGATAGATCTAGATCTATCTATCTGTCTATCCATCTCTCCATCCATCCATCTCTCCATCCATCATCTATTTATCTATCTATCCATCCGTCCATCCATCCATCCATCCATCCATCCATCCATCCATCCATCCATCCATCATCTATTTATCTATCTATCCGTCCATCCATCCATCCATCATCTATCATCTATCATCCATCTATCTATCTATCTATCTATCTATCTATCTATCTATCTATCTATCTATCATCCATCCATCCATCTTCCATCCATCTATCCATCTATCCATCTATCCATCTATCCGTCCATCCATCTATCATCTATTTATCCATCCATCCATCCATCCATCCATCCATCCATCCATCCATCCATCATCTGTCTGTCTGTCTGTCTGTCTGCCTATCCGTCCGTCTATCCATCCATCCATCCATCCATCAACCATCCATCACATACACACAACCATATATACATATACATATACATATACATATACATATACATATACATATACATACATACATACATACATACATACATACATACATACATACATACATATATATATATATATATATATATATATATATATCCTGAAACCGCTACACACCTGAAAAGCAATGTATAAGGCTGACAGAGGCAAAATAGCCACTAAAACCATCGGTGTGGCCACCACAATCACAACGTAGATCTCCAGAAGGTTAAACAGGAAGCTCAGCAGAGACTTCAGCTTGTCCGGGATGATGGAATCAATTGCGTCCATTTCTTTGGAGAAACGGTTGAGTAGGTTACCGCTGGGAGTCTGCTCAAAGAAGATCATTGGAGACCGGAGAACATCCAACAGGAGCTGCTGGAAGAGCTTACGGGAAGCCACGATCCCGGCCAAAAACACCGCAGCAATCGACCCGAATTTCCCAATAGCTGCAACAGGAGATGAAAGATTCCAGCTGTTTCACGCAGTAGATGTCTTTTTCTTATCAGGATTATCATCATGTAAACGTGAGATGGGCAGCTATATACCGTATTTTTTGGAGTATAAGGCACACCTTTTTCCTCCCTAAAAAGGGGTGAAGCTTTAGGTGCGCCTTATACACCGAATGTAGCCCCGCCCACCCACTGGCCCCCACCCTTTGGCCTCTGCCTCTCAGCAGTTTACCTCCTTGCAGCAAGCAGCAAGAAGAAACAGCTCGTTTCAGCTTCAGCACAGCCTAATTAGCACAAGTTGATTGGATCGGCCTCACGACTCTCAGCTGTTTTGCTCTCAGCTGTTTTGCCCTGACCTCTGCTGCTTGCTACAAGGAGGTAAATTGCTGGGAGCAGATTTTTTTTTCTTGTGTTAATCAAGCTATGCTGAAAACGAAAATGAAAGTAAAGCAGGCTATTTGCTGTTTGCTGCAACGAGGCAAAATTGCTGGGAGGCAGAGGCAGATTTCTTTTTCTTGTTTTCCTCACCAAAAAAGGTAGGTGCATCTTATAGTCCGGAGTGTCTTATACTCTGAAAAATACAGTAGATTGATTGATTGATTGATTGATTTGATTGATTGATTGATTGATTGATTGATTGATTGATTGAATAAATCAGGGATGTCAACCTTGGCAATTTTAAGACTTGTGGACTTCAACGTGGCTGGCTGACGAATTCTGGGGATTGAAGTCCACAAGTCTTAAAATTGCCAGTTTTAGACACCTCTGGAATAAATGAATGAATAAAATCTTTGGTGCCAATGCTTTTCCATGAATGAATTTAAGGTCCTGATTTCTGGTGTTTATGAGGACAACTAAGATAGTTCACCATCATAGATTAACAACAGAGGCTAATTTTAAATCATGTAGACTTCCCCCCTTCTTTGTGGACGCCCCTGTATTCATTCATTCATTTATTGATTTTTTTTGCAAGGGATGACTTTTTAAAAAAATATTGTTGCATTGTATGCTGAGAGGCGAGCAATACATCGGAAGGATGGAAGGCTGAGGCAACCTTGAGCTGGTGAGAATCGAACTACTGGCAGTGAGCAGAGTTAACTATAGCAATAGCAATAGCACTTAGACTTATATACCACTTCACAGTGCTTTGCAGCCCTCTCTAAGCGGTTTACAGAGTCAGCATGTTGCCCCCAACAATCTGGGTCCTCATTTTACCCACCTCAGAAGGATGGAAGGCTGAGTCAACCTTGAGCCTGGTGAGATTCGAACTGCCAAATTGCAGGCAGCCGGCAGGCAGCAGAAGTAGCCTGCAGTACTGCATTCTAACCACTAATCCAATTATTTGGATTCAGGTTTCAGCAGTAGTTATACAGTATTAACTCATATATTTGGTCACTTGGTTGAGTTGGGTGGCCATAGAAATTGAATCAGTAAATAAATATTTCTTTGTTTACGGGTGGATGGGAGTGGGCCAAACCTTGCGTGACTCCCAGGAGAAAAAAGACACCCACGCGGAGCTGGGTATGAGGTTGTGTCCCATTGGAAACAGGGTCATTGGCCCATAGGCTGAGCCAGTAGACACGGCAGAACGAGAAAACTTGCTGGCAGGTAAACAGCAGTACGATATAAACGCAGAAGAATGACCCTGCTGTTCTCAGGTATGTCAAGTATATCGAAATCTTTACCTAAATCAAGCGAATGAAATAAGAATAAGGATTGGCATTGACAAAAACACCATCAGTCAATTGCAAAAGGCGGCTTTACTAGGAACAGCTTCCATCCTGCAATGATATCTGTAACACCATCAAACCTCCAGATCTACCTATCCCAGGTCCTTGGTAAGAACTCTAAGGTAAAGGTAAAGGTTCCCCTCGCACATATGTGCTAGTTGTTCCTGACTCTAGAGGGCGGTGCTCATCTATGTTTGAAAGCCGAAGAGCCAGCGCTGTCCGAAGACGTCTCCATGGTCATGTGGCCGGCATGACTCAACGCCAAAGGTGCATTGTTACCTTCGCACCAAAGGCGGTCCCTATTTTTCTACTTGCATTTGTTTTACGTGCTTTTGAACTACTAGGTTGGCAGGAGCTGGGACTAGTAACAGGAGCTCACCCCATTACGCGGCACTAGGGATTCAAACCGCTGAACTGCCGACCTTTCGATTGACAAGCTCAGCGTCTTAGCCACTGAGCCAATGCCTAGACAAAAAATCCAAATCTGGTCTGAACATCTGGCTGACTGTGAAGAATTATAATTGATAATAATATCCAAAGGATGAAAGGCCAAACTGCTTGAAAGTGAAAAGGGCCCCCACTGAGTAAAATGGTGAAATTCATCCTCCCAACAAATCCCATAACATACCGAAAAGGGGAGCAACCCTCCCAGCGAACCGAAGAAGAAGATCCTTTAACTTACCCGTCCAGTCTTCTGCTTCTCATCTTCTGCCATCAGTCTTCTTCCTTCTTCCTGTGTTGGCTTGTAGCTGTCTCTCTTGGCCAAAGGCTCTCTTGATCTTTGTTCAAAGAAAAGAAAGATGCATCATGTGATGACCTGGGGCGTGGCATGAAAGCAACAGAACCAGAGAACAGGTCTAACTCTCCTTACATCCAAGACTGAGTGGCTGTGGTTTCCGACGTCCCGATATAGTCAGTTGACGCCATCACTGACTATTGGGGGCGAATCATTGGCCCCCACGGAGAGGGCTCGCAACTTGGGCGTCCTCTTGGACTCACGGCTGTCTTTAGAAGAGCACTTGACGGCCGTGACCGGGAGGATTTTTCATCAGGTTCGCCTGATTCGCCAGTTGCGTCCCTTTCTGGATCGGGACTCTTTACGCACGGTCACTCATGCCCTTGTCACCTCCCGCCTGGACTATTGCAACGCTCTCTACATGGGGCTCCCCTTGAGGAGCACCCGGAGGCTCCAACTGGCGCAGAGTGCGGCCGCGCGGGTGGTAATGGGAGCGACATGGCGTTCCCATGTAACACCTCTCCTGCGCGAGCTGCACTGGCTCCCGGTGGTCTTCCGGGTGCGCTTCAAGGTTTTGGTTACCACCTTTAAAGCGCTCCATGGCTTAGGACCCGGGTACTTGCGGGACCGCCTACTACCACCAATAGCCTCCCACCGGCCGGTACGCTCCCATAGAGAGGGGCTCCTCCGGGTGCCGTCAGCCAAACAATGCCGACTGGCGGCCCCCAGGGGGAGAGCCTTCTCTGTGGGGGCACCTACTATCTGGAACGAGCTCCCCCCAGAGATACGGAGGATCCCGGATCTGCGCACCTTCCGCCGCGCCTTAAAGACCTTACTATTTCACCAGGCCGGCCTGGCCTAATTTTCCCCCTCTTTTATAAAAGATTTTTAAAATTTTAAATATTTTTTAGTATTTATATATTCAATTTTAAATTGGTTTTAAAAGTTTGGGGTTTTAAATTTGTCGGGGCCAAAATTATTTAATTTGATTTTATTCTATTTTTTAAATTTTGTATTGTATGTGTTTTTATTGTTTGGCTGTGCACCGCCCTGAGTCCTTCGGGAGTAGGGCGGTATAGAAATCTAATAAATAATAATAAAATAATAATAATAATAATATTGCTCCAACTGTGCCCCCAAATGTCTCCACATTCACTACAAGTGCTGGAGCAAAGCTCTCACATGCACCTTCAGAAGCCTCTGGCTGCAAGTAGTCCAATAAGCCAGGTTAGCCCAAACAATAACTAGGGCCAGCAGTCCAATAAGCCAGGTTAGCCAAACAGTAACCAGAGTTCAGCGACGGTCAGTTTTTCCAGTTAGAATAATATATATATGGAAAGAACCGTGGGGGATGTGGTTTCTACCACGAGAACCAATTTGGTCTAGTAAAGCGGGAGGCCGTGAGTTCAAATCCTGCCTTAGGCATGAAAGCCCTACCCCCAAAATAAGCCCCAGTTAAGATTGTCAGCAAGATGGAGGCATTTAGTACTGTATTTCCCCGAAAATAAGACCTAACCAGAAAATAAGCCCTAATGCGTCTTTTGGAGCAAAAAAACAATATAAGACTTGGTCTTATTTTTGGGGAAACACAGTATTTTATATTATTATTTTATTTTAATCTCACCTTGATTATTTTTTTATAAATAACACAAGGTAGTGAACGTTACTGATGTAATGGAATGTGGGAACGACCTTGGGAGACAGGATGAATGGAAGCTGTCAAGGAATGGTCAAATAAGAGACAGCATAGCCTGCAGCTAGACAGTGAGTGGGGCAAGAAGTTCGAAAGAGACTCTCCCTAGTTTCTCAGGCTATAAAGGAGATGTTGGGGGGGGAATGGTACTTTCAGACTTGCAAGACTGTTGTTGGCTTCGCTTGGCTAACCAGATAGGAATCTGATAGGATAGATGGAGAACCAATTTGGTTCAGTGGTTAAGGCACCAGTCTAGAAAGCAGGACATTGTGAATTCTAGTCCCGCCTTAGCCATGAAAGTCAGCTGGGTGACTTTGGGCCAACCACCAGGAGACTGAGAGTTCTAGTCCCGCCTTAGCCATGAAAGTCAGCTGGGTAACTTTGGGCCAATCACCAGGACTTTCTAGTTCTGCTTTAGCCATGAAAGCTAATTGGGTGACTTTGGGCCAATCACCAGGAGACTATGAGTTCTAGTCCGGCCTTAGGCATGAAAGCCAGCTGGATGACTTTGGGCCAGTCCTTATCTCTCTCTCAGCCCAGCTGTCCTCACAAGGTTGTTGTTGTGGGGAAATAGGAAGAGGAACGTGTGTTGAATATGTTCTCTGCCTTGATTTATTTGAAAAAATAATAATAAAATTGGGATACAAAGAAAGAAACAAACCACTTACTTTCCAGGGGTTTCCTGGTGGGTCACAGGAGTTGTGGATATCCTCTTAATCTTTCCTGCATCTGTGGAGTCAAGGTAGACCAAAGTCTCAGAAGAGACATGATAAGAGAGACAATAGAAGAATAATCCACAGATGCTGAGAAAATGCACTGATTTGGGAGCTGTAAATAGTAAATCATAGAGGATTATGTCTCTCAAATAAAGCCACTTGCTAAATCATCTGGTTCAAACCTGTCTTACAAAATCATCCAATTAAAGAAATATGGAATTGTAATCAAGTACAAAGGGACGCGGTGGCTCAGTGGCTAAGACGTTGAGCTTGTCGATCGAAAGGTCGGCAGTTCAGTGGTTCGAATCCCTAGTCCCGTGTAACGGGGTGAGCTCCTGTTACTTGTCCCAGCTTCTGCCAACCTAGCAGTTCGAAAGCACATAAAAAATGCAAGTAGAATAAGAGGGGCCACCTTTGGTGGGAAGGTAACAGTGCAACAGCCCTTTGAAGAATACTGGAATAAATTGTGTGAATGGTTTTGTCAGAATCCCCAAAGAATGCATGAAGTGGCTGCAATTCTAATGAGTCTATTCATGGATAATAATACTCAGTTGTATCAACCATCAAGTATAGATGACCTTTGGGAGGAACAGTAGTAATTTGCAAATCCTGATCTTCTTTTTCTTCAGGGTTCTGGGACCTCAAGAAGTCTGCAAATGCCCCTTGTTTTTGCATCAGTTCTTGCCAAGAGCCCATCTCAGAGACTTCTCCGTTCACCATCATAATGATGTTGTCCACCTTGGGTAGAATGTGGATGGTGTTGGTCACCAGGACACGAGTCTGGAAAGCAAGAGGAAGCAAGACGAGGAAGATAAGTGCTGGCTGGACCCTCGACAGAAGCGCAGGGAGAAGCGTGCACAGCAGAGGGGAAGGCGTGCCAGAGATTAGCTGAGTCACTGGACCACACCCCACAGGGTATAAATGTGGGTGTGGTGACCGGTTCAGTTTGTGACGAGCAAAAACTGGAAATACTCCATGATCTCTGCGTTACTGGACTTTGCCTGCTTTATCGGACTGCATTTGGATTAATCCTTTTATTGACACTCTGCCTGTTTTATCGGAATGCTTGCAGTCTAATCTTTGTTTTGTGTGAGTAAAGTCTGAATTGGCAGCTAGCCACTGGGTTGCTGCCAGCTTTATCTTCAAAGAGTTTTGTCATGTGGCTTATTAACTCCGGGCCGTCTGTGGGGGTGCGTGTGGGGTACGGGGACAGAACAGGGGGATGGAATTCACTTAACAACTGTCTTGCTTAGCAACAGAAATGTTGGGCTCAGTTGTGGGAGGAGTCTCTGTACTGCATCAGATCCTGTTCCGATAATTTAGGAGAGTTTGGAACACCCAGTACCTTTTCCTTCAACAAGCCATTTGGTCCGAGAACTTGGTTGAAAATGTGCTGTCCAACTGGAACGTCCACAGCAGAGAGGGGATCATCCAGGAGGTAAACTGAGGCCTTCGTATAAACTGCACGAGCCAGGCTGAGCCTCTGCTTCTGTCCTCCAGAAAGATTGATCCCCTACGGCAGCATAAAAACAGTCCTCAGTCACCTGCCGATATCCCTCTCCCTGTAGATCATGCTAAAGCTAAAGCTTCTGGGGACAGAATTAGCAACCTTTGGAGGGTCCCAGGTCCTCTTCCCCAATCTACGCTGATTGGGAAAAGAGCTCAAAGGTTTATTTAAAATAAACAGAAGTTGTGTTTGTCCTGTGGAGAACGTGGAACTCTTTGGGTGCAAAGCAGATGTCCTATGAGTTACAAGTCCACCATTTAGGGGAGTTCCTTTATTTCATTCGGGGGGGGGAGAGGAGGAGGAGGAGGAGAAGTAGTAGTAGTAGTAGTAGTAGTAGTGGAGGATGATGATGATGAGGAGGTGAAGTAGTAGTAGTAGTGGAGGAGGAGAAGAAGTAGTAATAGTAGTGGAGGAGGAGGAGACAAAGAAGAAGAAGTGGTAGTAGTGGTAGTAGTAGTAGTGGAGAAGGAGGAGGCAAAGAAGTAGTAGTAGTAGTAGTAGTTGTAGTAGTAGTAGTGGAGGAGGAGAAGTAGTAGTAGTAATAGTAGTGGAGGAGGAGGAAAAGAAGAAGAAGTGGAGGAAGAGGAGGAGGAGAAGGAGAAGAAGAGGAAGAGGAAGAGGAAGAAGGAGGAGGAGAAGGAGAAGGAGAAGAACAAGAAGAAGAAGTGGAGGAGGAGGAGGAGGAAAAGAAGAAGAAGAGGAGGAGGAGAAGGAGAAGGAGAAGAAGAGGAAGAGGAAGAGGAAGTGGAAGAAGGAGGAGGAGAAGGAGAAGGAGAAGAAGAAGAAGAAGTGGAGGAGGAGGAAGAAAAGAAGAAGTGGAGGAGGAGGAGGAGGAGAAGGAGAAGGAGGAGAAGAAGAGGAAGAGGAAGGAGGAGGAGGAAGAGGAGAAGAAGAAGGAGAAGGAGAAGGAGAAGGAGAAGGAGAAGGAGAAGAAGAAGAAGAAGAAGAAGAAGAAGAAGAAGAAGAAGAAGAAGACCAACTAGATAAATTGGCTAGATAAATAATACAGTAATGATCCAAGAACCTTCTCTCCAATTTCTGTCTGGCTTCCAGCTGGAAAACCGTCTATGTCAGGTTGCAGGGCGCAGGCTTTGACCACCTGGTTGTACCACGTCCTCTCCATTTTCCTCCCAAATATGACATTGTCTTCCACAGAAGCATTTTGTATCCAGGCTATCTGGGGAACAAATGCTATGGTGCCCTTTGAAAAGAAAAGTAGTGAAGCTCACTAAATTGTCACCAGAACTGGAAAGTGGATTTTGGTAAGGAGAGAGAGAGAGAGAGAGAGAGATGGACGTCAACTTCCATCTGCTGAAGTCAAAGTTTATCTGTTTCCCAAAAGAGGTCCTACAACAAGCCATTCTTGAGTTCCAACAGAGATGATAACGTCTTAAGGACGTCCCCCCCCAAAAGCCCAGTTTTGAAAATGGTGGATTCCCCCGACAGAAAGCCACCACTGAAGTGACTCAAACTACTAAAACTATGACATGAAACATTAGAATTACCACACACTCACACAAATAAACTAAATCCTAAAGCAGATTGCACCAGTCTGGTTGACCTTCCAAAATGGTCCTCAGTTCCCAGAGTTCCTGAGTCAAGGAGACCATCGCTGAGAATTCTGGGAGTTGAAGTCCACCCATCTTCATCCTACCAAGGTTGAGAAACACTGAGATAGAGCTTGGGTTGCAGAAGGCGGACCACACCTTGAATAAATTCTGTTTTAAAGTGCTTTTACCTTCATTACTACAGAACCTTCAATCCTTTGCAGCTCACCAAGTAATGCGGAGAGCAGGGAGGATTTCCCAGCCCCCACTTGACCCACCACGGCACACAGGCTGCCCTGAGGTACAGACAGATTTATCCTGTTAAGGTAAAAATGGGTACATCTTAGTTATCTTCAAGCCGTATTGTGGGATGGAAAGATCCTGGCACCAGCCAGACTAAATTCAAGGTGGAGATCTGGAAATAATAGCAACAGTAATAGCACTTAGACTTATGTACCGCTTCATAGTGCCTGTACAGCCCTCTCTAAGCGGTTTACAGAGTCAGCCTATTTTCCCCCAAAATAAGATAAGAGACAGCATAGCCCATAACTGGATAATAGGCAAAGCAAAAGACTTAGATGGAACCAGGGGTGGGATTCAGCCGGTTCAGACAGGTTCGGGCAAACCGGCAGCTCCGACGATCAGCTGAGAGTGAACCAGTTCTCTCCGACAATCAGCTGGGTCCGCCCACCCACCCCTGCGTTATACTGACCTATGTTTCCTTTGTTTGAAGCCCAGCTGATAAGCACGGTAGAGCTGAGCATGCGCTCAGCGAACTGGTTGTTACACCAGTTGAATCCCACCACTGGACGGGACCCTCCCTAGTTTCTTCAGCTGTAAAGGAGGGGGAGAAAATTGTACTCCCATTGAACCACCAAATTTTACCTATTTAGGCATGGACTGCCTTCTCTGCACCAGCTGAAAGTTCCATTTGTGACAATGATGGGATTTGGATCTAGCAGAAAAATGCATCAATCAGCACATGTTCTGGGATGATGGTTTACTTTCTATATTAGTCAGAAAAGAACAGGTGTTTTCATATATAATCACGTGAATTGTATGTATATGTTTAATTCTCTTTTGTCAAGTTCTCATCATGTGCTCAACAACAATAATGGCAGTTCTTGATGTAGGAACATTCATTTTACAAGCATTCAAAGTTAGGATGACACTGAAAAAAGTGACTTAAGCAAATCCTCACATGTACAACGGTCATAATGTCCTCCCAGTCACATGACCTAAATTCAGGCAGTTGGCAACCAACATGTGTTTAGGATAGTTGCAGTCTCCCAGGATCACATGAATGTTTGTCAAACACGACAAACCATCTGACTTGAACTCTAAAGGTTCCTTTATTACGAATGCCGGCAGCCTTGGCAATAAGTTTCTCTCACAGGCTAACAAGTCTGTCTGGCAGGGAGATGAATAGTCGTCTGCCACACCTATTTATCTCTGCCCCCTGCCTTTTATCCCAGAGCTAGGTGTTGTGGCCCCGCCCTCTGAGCCTGTCCCATCGGAGGAAGAAAGCTCCGAGCATGAGGAAGAAGAGTCAGCCAGGCCTCCCTTTCCAGGCCCCTCCCCTCTGGCACTGTCTCAGGTGCCGGCCGAGGGAGAGGAGATTAGCAGGGAGACAGGTGGCTCGGATGAGAGCGACGGAGAAACATCATTCCTGGACGCACACCTCCAAAGGCGTGATAAACGATTGCAGCAGCTCAGGAGGCGTGCTAGGGATTAGAACTGAGTCACTGGACCACACCCCAGAGACTATATAATAGAGGGTGGTGGCCAGTGATCCTTGTGACGAACAAAACTAACCTTGGATAGTCACTAAAGCCTCGTTCGGAACTGCTGGGAGGAATATTTATTGTTGTTGGACATTTGGAAGCTGAGTATTTATCTTTCTGTTTTCTGTGGAAATAAAAGCACTTGGCAGATGGCATGTATATCGCTGCCAAGTTGGAGATAAAGAGCTGGGTGTGTTCCAAGTGCTTCCTTAACCCTCGGCTGGCTGTGTTTGTGTGTGTGTGTGGACGGGGACAGATCACTAGGGTGGGGACTTGCTAGCAGTGGTAGTTCTTCCTTCCCAAGGACCGGCCCATAGATTTCCATTGCTCTCCTCTCTTCTGCACATCCGCACGTCAGGCACAGGACTCAGCTGCTCCTCCTCTACTTCATTAGCCATCTCCAGACCTGGGGGCTGTTGACTCTCCATCTGAGGGCTCATGGACGACCCAGGCTCTGCCTCTGTCTCTCTCTCTGTCAGCTCCACTCCCTCTTCCTCCTCGGAGCTCCCAGGTTGCCCTGATGTTGACCTTGACTCCCACGCTGCCTCCTCTAATTCAGCTGTTGGAGGGGCCGATGGCTAACAGACCACATTAGTTATTCAGCTTTCTTTGAAGCTCTCACATCTATTCACAAAGGTTAGTCCCTTGAAATATTGCAGTGGCTAATCTGGTCCCACCCAATTTGCATGACGTATCGATGAACAGGCTTTAATTCTCAGGATAATCAGTCGTGTTTACACTGATTGGAAATTCTAGACCATCCATTGGGAGGATATACAAAGCTGATACTTACTGCGGTCCGAAGACTCAACATCCACCTGAGCGTGATCTAATTCTTCAAGAGAAAGAAAGGTAGCTATGCGATGGATGGAAACTTTTGCCTAGAACAAAATACATGTTGACACCATGCAATTCAGGAAAGGTTTGGACGTGATTCTCCAAAGTTGACCCAAGGATCAACGAGACCATTCAAGTGGTCAATAAATAATTGGAGGTCAAAAGGAAGCCAGTAAATGTCTAGGAGGTCAGTAGGTGGTCTATAAAACATAAAAGGTCAACTGAGATCAATTAAGTTCTTGGGGTTTCTGTAGAAGTCCAACCCAGTCTGTAGACCTAGAGATGAGATGATTAATGGCGAGACAGTAATACTCAAAGTTGGATGATCATCTGCCAACAAGAGTGGCCTTTAGTTGTCTCCATCAGCCACATGATGTTACTGGCCTTATTTATTTATTATGTTGTTGTTGTTTGTAGTACTATCAGTTAAAGTAGTATTTATTAAATTATTTTCCAAAGCAAATGCTTAGGGAGGAGGTCTATGGACAATCTTAAACTTCATGAAGGGGTCAATGACCTGAAGAATTTGGTGAGTTCTGGTCTAGGAAAAAAACCAAGGTGCCCTCAAGCATTTAGATCATTTTTGGACGGTAGTTCTAGATCCTCCTTCCTTTGCTCTGGGATCTCCAGGCCAACCATCAGGAAGAAGAACATGGAGAAAGAGCAAGATGATTTATTCGGGGGTGACAACATGCTTGAAACAATTGCCTAACAGGAAGACCACTTGGAAATGCAGAACTGGAGTACCCGGAATGATGGTGTGGCTTGGTGGGCATGGCATGGCTTGGTGGGCGTGGCTTGGTTGGCGTGGCAGGGGAAGGATATTGTAAAATCTCCGTTCCCACCCCACTCCAGGGGAAGGTTACTGAAAAATCCCCATTTCCTCCCGATCAGCTGGGACTCAGGAGGCGGAGAATAGATGGGCGCGGGGTCAGTGGTATTTACCGGTTCTCCGAACTACTCAAAATTTCCGCTACCGGTTCTCCAGAACTGGTCAGAACCTGCTGAAACCCACCTCTGATGACCCACCACTTAAACAGACGCAACGTAGCCAAAGAGCAACTCACCTGCACAACAGCATTAATGGAAAAGGGAAGGAAGGAATGAGCAGTATTGAGAATGTTGATCAAGCTAAGAGAAACAAAAGCTTTCTTAGCATCCAAGACATTTGTCTCATCTGACAACGTGTAGACCGCAAAGCTGATGAATGAAATCTGTAGAGAAGCAACCAGAAAAGAGGTGAAACCAGGGGTGAAATCCATTTTTTTTATACCAGTTCTATGGGCGTGCCTTGGTGGGCGTGGTGTGTGCCTTGGTGGGCGTGGCAGGGGAAGGATATTGCAAAAACTCCATTCCCTCCCCACTCCTGGGGGCAGGATATTGAAAAATCTCCATTCCCACCCCACTCTGAGGCCAGCCAAAGGTGGCATTTGCCGGTTCTCCAAACTACTCAAAATTTCCGCTACCGGTTCTCCAGAACCTGTTTAGAACCTGCTGGATTTCAACCCTGGATGAAACCCTCTCAAAACCATATGCCATTTTTGGGGAGGTCAATCTGCAATGGCTCACCAGAAAAGTAGATGACTGGAAAGACGCAAGAGAAGCGGAGAAGAGGAACTGAGACATCTTGAGAGCTTGAAGTTCTTGAGTTCGGATGCCCAGCACTTTGCTTATGAATGTCTTTTCCCAGCCATGAAGTTTGAGGACCTTCATGTCACTGAGGATGGTGCTGGTCAGCCTTGCACGGCTGTCCTTGTACTTTATCTGAGCTTCCTGAAAGATGGAATTTTAAGTTTGTAGCACCAACAGGAAAATTGGAATTGTAATGCTTAGTAGTACTTCTAATCTTCACAATATTACACACAGACCAAAACGCACATGGAGCTCTGCTCAGCCCTGACCATTTTTTGCATTTCACAAGTTCTGAAGATGACCCCCCCCCCGAGCATGTGTTTGATCTTGGTTGGTTGTGTAGGAAGTTAACACCCACCCCTCTCCTAGAAGAATGAAATATTTTAGGAAATATTGAAAGGGGCAGAATATTATGTTTCCCTGGTTGAGAAATGGAGAAACATGTTTTAAAGACAAAGCAGCTTTCTGCGTCCCCCCACCTTTGTCAATGGGCCATTAAGGCCTCAGCCAAGCTCACTCATTCCCCCCACCTTTGTCAATGGACCATCATCTGCAACACAATAGGACCCATCTAGCAACAGAAACTCCCCATATGGCACTTGGGAAGATTACATCAGCCAGCAAGGCTAGCTAAGACCCCCACCCCCTGGGAGTCTGAGAACCAATCAGGATACTCTTTCTGTGCCCCAGGAAGTTCAAAGCTCAGAGAGGGCATAAAACCAAGGCACACTCAGCATCTCAGCCCTTTTCTGTTCAGGAACTCAAACCATGTGAGCTTGCAGAGGCTGTTTTCGTCCTCCCGGATGCTCGAGGAAAGCCTCCGGAGCCTGGGGAGGGCAAAAACGCACTCCCCTGCTGTGGTGCAGGAGGCCAATTAGGCCACACCCACCATAGCCATGCCCACCCAGCAACCGGGCAGAGAACTCCTTGCTAAAATTTTTGAAGCCCACCCCTGCTTAGAACCCAAAGCAAAATTTCATAATCACCACAAATGATATGAAATTAAAGATGTGTGTCCATCAACAACTTTTTTTCAGTCATTTCTGATTCTCCTCTGCTCACAGAGAACAATGAAACAAACAATGTTCTGAGGTAGGAATTGTGGTCTTTTGTCAACGTTTCCCCCCATCTGGAAGTCCTTCAGATGTGTCAGACTACAACTCCCAAGATGTCTGACTAGGGTGGCTTTTAGTTACCATTTGTAGGAATTCTTGGCCAACATCTTTGTTAAGTCACCAGAGGATACAAGGTCAAACTAAGGAGGAGGAATTAAATTCAGAGGTGGGCTGCTGTGGGTGCTTAGGGGTTTGGGAGAACCTTTAGCTAAGAATCTGTGCAGTTCGGAGAACCCCCAAATCCCACTTCTGGCTGGCCCCACCCACCCTGCCTCTCCCAGGAGTCCCCACGTGGTCCGTTTTGGATGCAGATAAGTGCAAGGCGAAGCTTGGGGAGGGTGAAAAATGGGCCTACCAGACATTCGGGAAGAGGGCCTCCGGAGCCTGGGGAGGCCATTTTCACCCTTCCGGAGGCTTGACGAAAGCTTCTGGAGCCCGGGGAGGGCAAACACCACCACCCCCGTGGTGCAGGAGGCTGACTAAGCCATGCCCACCATGCTCACAACCGGGCAGAGAACCCCTTGCTAAAATTTTTGAAGCCCACTCTGATTAAATTTACTTGTCAACTTGCAAAGCTTTCAAGTTGCCATGAGCAGGAGGGACGGAGAACTGAAGTGAATTCCATACATTCTTTCTGACCGCAATCAGAAGGAGGGTGTTAGGTTTCACAGCCAGCCAAAGTGGTTAATTGGAGAATGTGATTTATGACATGGCCAGAGAGGAGGGGAGAGACAGGGTCATAGGGGAACGTAAATCTACGTGGGATCAGTCGTAACTGCATCCCAGTATTGCCGGAATGTTGCTCCTAATAAATGACTATATTTCCTTTGAAGTTTGGATCATGGCTCATGAATTAATTAGGGCATCTTTCGGAAACTTGACATTACTTATTTTCCAGAAAACCAAAGATTTTTAGGCCCCATACCTGGAGCTGCCTTCTCTTCTTGCTGATCCCAAAGTTCAGAGGTAAGAGAACTAAAAATATGATAACAGCAGACAAGGCAGAGGGTCCGAGGAGCTAATGGATGCAGAAACCAGAATGTTAAATGAAGAGAAGGCAGATTATTTTTGTGCATCTCTTTCTACTGAACAGTAAGAAAATGGCATCGGAGTTGAAATATTCATGAAAAAGATGATTAACGACCCAAATCTGTTCCTTTGGCTGAGCTTTTCACCATTTTTAATGAGCTAATGGAGACATCTAGTGGCCAGGTGAAGCAGACCCCAGAAGTAATTCAATTATTTGAATATCAATATAAGAGCTGTGGTGGCACAGTGGTTACAATGCAGTACTGCAGGCTACTTCTGCTGACTGCCGGCAGCCAGCAGTTCGGCAGTTCGATTCTCACCAGGCTCAAGGTTGACTCAGCTTTCCATCCTTCCAAGGTGGGTAAAATGAGGACTCAGATTGCTGGGGGCAATATGCCCGACTCTGTAAATCACTTAGAGAGGGTGGTAAAGCACTGTGAAGTGGTATATAAGTGCTATTGCTATTGCTGTAGTTGATTGGATGTTGCATTAGGAGCCCTGGTGGCACAGTGGTTAGAATGTAATATTGCAGGCTGACTCTGCCTGCAGTCTGGAGTTCGATCCTGACTGGCTCAAGGTCACCTCAGCCTTCTATCCTTCTGAGGTGGGTAAAATGAGTACCCAGATTGTTGGGGGCAAGACGCTTAGAGAGGGCTGTAAAGCACTGTGAAGCGGTATGTAAGTCTAAGTCCTATTGCTATTGCTCTTCCTTTTCTCCTTCCTTCCTTCCTTCCTTTCTTCCTTCCTTCCTTCCTTCCTTCTTTCCTTCCTTGGTGGTGCAGCGGTTAGAATGCAGTATTGTAGGCTGACTCTGCCAACTGCCAGCAGTTTGATCCTGACCAGCTCAAAGTTGACTCAGCCTTCCATCCTTCTGAGGTTGGTAAAATGAGGAGCCAGATTGCTGGGGGCAATATGCTCGACTCTGTAAACCGCTTAGAGACGGCGGTAAAGCACTGTGAAGTGATATATAAGTCTAAGTGCTATTGCTATTTCTGTAGTTGATTGGATGTTGCATTAGGAACCCTGGTGGCACAGTGGTTAGAATGTGGTATTGCAGGCTGACTCTGCCTGCAGTCTGGAGTTCGATCCTGACTGGCTCAAGGTCAACTCAGCCTTCTGTCCTTCTGAGGTGGGTAAAATGAGGACCCAGATTATTGGGGGCAAGAGGCTGACTCTGTAAACCGCTTAGAGCGGGCTGTAAAAGCACTATAAAGCGGTATATAAGTCTAAGTGCTATTGTTGTCGCTATTTCACATCTGAAGGAGGAAAACTCCTCCAGATCTGTGAGTGATATATAAAAAATGACTGTATACTATATGGAGGATATCAAGATATGGCTTATGTAATGATGAATAGGCTTCACGACAGTGTGTGAACTGCATCGTTATGGATTAAAAAGGCATTTGGGAGGGCAATGTTCAAACCCAACTGCACTACAGGTAAGTCCTTGACATACGACCCACAATGGGCACCAAAATTTCCCTTGCTAAGTGTGGCAGTTGTGGAGTGACTTGTGTCCAATTTTATGACTGTTTTTTTTGCATGGTTATTTTTTTTTTTTTTTTAATTTGATTTATATGCCGCCCTTCTCCGGAGACTCAGGGCGGCTTACAATGCATTAAGCAATAGTCTTCATACTTTTGTATATTTTATACAAAGTCAGTTTATTGCCCCCACAAACTGGGTCCTCATTTCACCTACCTTAGAAAGGATGGAAGGCTGAGTCAACCTTGAGCCTTGGAGAGATTCGAACCAGCAGTAATTGCAGGCAGCTGTGTTAATAACAGGGTGCTTAGACCACTGTACCATCAAGGCTCCTATTATTAAGCGAATCGCTGCAGTTGGTAAGTGAATTGTGCAGTCGCTAAGCAAATCCGGCTGTGCCTCATTGACTTTGCTTGTCGGGAACCATCTGGAGAGGATGGAAATGGCCCTAGGACTCTACAACTGTCCTAAATTCATGCCTGTTGCCAAACACTCACATTTTGATCACATGACTATGGGGAGGCTGCAATAGTTTTAATTGTGAGGACTGGTACTAAGTCACTTTTTTTCAGTGCTGTTATAAAACGAATGACTATCGGTATTCTAATACTGGTGGCAAACATCTTCAAGGAAAAACAAAGACAGTCCAGTTGCCTCTTGAATAAGCACCTTTGGGACAATCATGACCTGGATGACTGAGAATCTCCATAGACAATCAGAGTTGTGTTTTTTTTTTTACCTGCCAAAGGAAGACAAAGCAGATGACGATCCGGATAGGAGCAAGCCAAGTCCCATTAAAATAAATAATTAGGTCCATCAGCTTCTGCACGTCAACAGATACCAGGTTGACAATCTCACCCACAGATGTTGAATTTTTTGCTGCACTGGACAGGACCAAGATCTACAGGACGAAAACCAAATCTTCTTTTTAATAGGAATCTCTTCTCCTAAAACAGACATTTAATACAAGTAATCATGTCATAGAGCTGATGTCTTGGTTGGGTCTATCTAGTATGTCTGATATCAATCTGGAAGAGCTGGTCTTCTGTTTTCCAGCGTGCGCATGCGCGGCAGTAACCGGAAGCCTTGCTGGATGGCGCACATGTGCGTGCTGGAAAACGGAAGTATCTTATCCGGCGTGCACATGTCTCCTGGGCAGCTTCTCTTCCTGGTTGTGGCCCTAATGAGCGGGTGTGCACATTCCCTTTTTGGCACTCGGTGCCGAAAAGGTTGGCCATCACTGGCCTAGATTGTTATGACTCTGACTCCAGAGCCTGTCCTCATGGAGGAAGAGGACTCAGGTGAGGAGGAGGAACTGACAAGGCCTCCCTCTCCAGGACCTTCCTCTCTGGCAATGCCTCGGGTTCCATCCGAAGGCCAGGAGGAACAGCCTCGGATGGGCCAGGAGGAAGGCATTTCGGAGCACCCATTGATAGAAAGTGATAATGATGAATCCTGGCTTGATCCCAGGCAGCGTCGGAGGGAGAAGCGTGCGCAGCAAAGGAAGAGGCATGGGAGGGCCAGGGATTGAGCTGAGTCACTGAGCCACGCCCTACAAGGGATAAAAGGGGGCGTGATTGCTCAGCAGGCTTTGTGACGGACAAAAGTTTAAACTCTAAAGAGTCACATTGTGAATCCTGCACTTTGGCTCAGATATATTTTGGACTAAACTCTTGTGGATAATTTGTCGATCTGGAAACGGATTGCAGATAAGGCCTCTCCTGCTTTTTGGTAGTACTAATTGGACTGGGCAGGCGTTTTACAGTTAGCTGCCAGAACTTTCATCTGCCAGGAATTCTGGTCTGTTTATACAATAAATTATTGGTAGGCGTGTTTGATATTGCATTTGTCTGTGTGAGGACGGGGGACAAAACATAGGTGTACTTCCCAGAAGCACCACAGAGTTAAAAAAAAAAATAGGTCGACAAAGAGCAGGATTTACCTTCCGATAAACAAGGCCTGTGATGGCTGTTTTTAATCTCATGCCCAGAATGAAACACATATACATGTACCGCTGCTCAAACAGTGTCTGCAGACAAGCCAAAAGGAACATCGCAGCAGCATAGAAATAACCTATCCAAACAGGAGCTTCTTGGTCATTGATAAAATCTAGGAAAAGACTGCAAGAAGAATCAAAGTAATTCTACTATCCAAGAACGAGAACTGCAACAACAACCCATAAACCTTTAGGACAATGGTGTGCCGTTAGGATCTTAAAAAGTTCTCTTCTTCCAAGTTAAATTATGGCTTTATCTGACTTGATTTGACTAGCAAAATATGACCTAACAGTGGCGTCTACGTAAAATTACAAAACGTGGCACATTTAATTTTGGTTAGCTTGGAAATTTGTGTATGGTTCAATGAATCGTCAAAGCCAAGGCAATGTGTTAAATTAGCCACCAGGTTAATCGTGTTAGGTGAATGTAATTTATTTTTAGAACATAATGCAGGCCAGGGATCTCTAAATGTAGGAAAAGAACAGATAGAAGTGGGGGGCAGAGTTAAGTGAGTCATCAGCCTAGAATCAGCATGTTCCCACAAACTCCAAGTCCAATCCATCTTGAATTCTGCTGAGTCTCATCTAGTGCCAATTTAGTGATGATTATTAGTTGACTAGATTGTTCTATATAGGCTTGAGCAATAAACCTTCTTAACTGCCACTTAACCTATAGTCCTGATTCTTTATGCCTGACCCTAAAATCTGTCAGAGTGTGCACAGTGTGACAATGTGAGACAACCCAGGAGCAAATACAGTAAACAGAGGGTTGTATTTAAATAATGGTTTTTTCTACAAAGAATATATACCGTATTTTTCGGAGTATAAGACACACCTTTTTCTCCCCTAAAAGGGGGTGAAAATTTAGGTGTGCCTTATACACAGAATGTAGCCCCGCCCACCCACTGGCCCCCACCCTTTGGCCTCTGCCTCCCAGCAATTTGCCTCCTTGCAGCAAACAGCCCATTTCAGTTTTAGCACAACCTGATTAGCACAAGCAGCTGATTGTCGGTTGGATTTTTCTTATCAGGATTATCATCACGTAAAAGTGAGATGGGCGGCTATATACTGTATTTTTCGTAGTATAAGACACACCTTCCCCCCCCCTAAAAAGGGGTGAAAATTTAGGTGCACCTTATACACCGAATGTAGCCCTGCCCACCCACTGGCCCCCACCCTTTGGCCTCTGCCTCCCAGCAGTTTACCTCCTTGCAGCAAACAGCAAGAAGAAACAGCTCATTTCAGCTTCAGCACAGCCTAATTAGCACAAGTTGATTGGATCGGCCTCACGACTCTCAGCTGTTTTGCTCTCAGCTGTTTTGCCCTGACCTCTGCTGCTTGCTACAAGGAGGTAAATTGCTGGGAGCAGGGTTTTTTTTCTTGTGCTAATCAAGCTATGCTGAAAATGAAAATGAAAGTAAAGCAGGCTGTTTGCTGTTTGCTGCAACGAGGCAAAATTGCTGGGAGGCAGAGGCAGAGGCAGATTTCTTTTTCTTGTTTTCCTCACCAAAAAAGGTAGGTGTATCTTAAAGTCCGGACGTCTTATACTCCAAAAATTATGGTACATATATGTACTTTACACAAATAGCAATCAGCAATTAAAGGATGGAAGCACACACATAGAGAGAGATACGTCCCAACAGGGCTTCTTCTTATTACAGGCTCTTAAAGTGCTATTAGCCCAAAAACCTTGCTGACTCATTCCCAGCATTACATCATTGTAGCAACTGGTCAGCTCTTAAATCATTACCCTGACAAAATCCCAAATAGAGACTTATCTTTTCCAACCTTCGTTACCTGATCCTTTCAACTGAAGATGTCATGATCCTGTTTGCCAAGGTGTGTCTGGTATGTGACTATTTTCTCATCCATTATTTACTCTGATAGCAGCTAGTTTCCTGGGTAAACTCTAGACCAGACAGAAGATGGGACTAGATGACCTGCAAAGAACTTTATTAATCCACCTTTGGGGAAAAAAAGTTTAATGTCCACATACCTCAGTGTCTTTGGAACCAAAAACAAGAAGACATCACAGGTGATCAAACAGAGGGTCGCCAGAAGAAAATAAGTTCCAAAAGCAGTCCAGAAAGTTTTTAGAAGTTCTTTGCTCTTGCTAGCTTCCGGTTGGAGCAAGATGGCAGTCTCATCTGCATTTTCTCTCTGGGTTGGCCTTCTTTTAAGTCTCGCAAATTTGGTCATTCTACAGGAAATACATAACAGCGAGCATCTTTGAGTGTCATTCTCAGCATTTTGCCAAATGTTAAGTCTCTCCACATAAGAAAAATCCGATTAAAAAAGGAATAGGAAGAAACCTAGAGCCAAAAAGCTGCCCAGAATCACCTTATAGGAGAGAGGGGCAGCATAAAAATTTAATAAACAAACAAAAAAATAAATACAACTTTAAAAAACAGGGGAAAAACACCCCATGAATGTAGCATGAAAAACCACTGGATTCACTACTGTTCTTTTGCGAGGCGTATCAGGGTGCTAATTAATCCCATTCTGCTTTTGGGTAATCGCACCTTGATTTAGAGACGTGGATCGTGGCATTTTCCTTGTGTATACTTTTGTAAGAAAATAAACCCCGAAGGTATATTTTTCTAATTAAACTCATTTATTTGTTATAAAGAAAATAAAACATCTAACTATCTAAATAATTACATTTTGGCAACGTTCCTGCCGGCCACCTCTCTGCAGCCGGACCTCTCCTGGCAAGAGAACAAAGAAAAGTGAGAAGTAGAAAGAAAAGAATGCGGACACGCGTAGTATCAGTTACTGATAAGGACTTGGCAAGCTACGGAAAGTCTGACAGTCCAGAAATATGAGCTCAGCTGGTAAATACAAAAACGCAGTGACAAGGCCGGCTTTCTTATATTTCATTATATTTTTCGTTGGGTTTCAAACTGCTGGTTGCCAAGAATCTGAATTTTATTGATGATGGAGATGCTGCAACGGTTGTAAGTGCAAGGACCAGTCGTAAGTCACTTGTTCAGTGCCATTGTAATTTCAAACGGTCGCTCTACAAATGGTTGTAAGTTGAGGATTACCTGCAGATTTCCTAAATAGATAGGGGAAGCAAGAAAAATGGACATAAACTCGAGGAACTTACTGTTCAGTTTTTGGACAACGTTTATCCCAAGCATCTTTGACCTTGTCCATGATTTCTTCAGAGGAGTTCTCTTTTGCTAGTGACCACAGGTCTTCTGGCTGTAATGGAGCCCAGTAGCCTTTCCAGATCAGCCTGTAGAAAATAAAAAATAAATCACAAAACAGGAAAAAATGCAGGGGTGAAATGCTACCAGTTTGCTCCGGTTCGGGCAGCCAAAGACAGGAGTACATTTCAGACATATCTTTCTCAAGGCTGTCTCCCAGGGTTACCTACGGTGGCTGGAGGGGAGTGATCTCTATAAGCCTCGAAATTGCTCCGTTGGTGAATGTGATTGATGACACACTCTGAGTGGAGGGGGGAAACAGGGTCATGATTGGGGCTGTAAATTAAGTGGGGTCAGAGCTGGCTTCATTTGGGAACGTGCGGAGATGAAGCTCCTAATAAATAACTGGATTTCTTTTGAAGCTTGGCTTGAGGCTCATGATTTAATTAGGGCATCCACTGGAACCCTGACAATTGCAATGCTTTGGTTATCAAAAGTGCAAGATGCATTGGAGTACCATGGAACATTTCTCTTGTTTACCTTCGGTCAAATGTTGAAATTATATCTGCACCGTGTTCTTGGGCTCTTTCGGCCATAAAAAGAAAAAAAATAAAAACCGTAGTTTTTTTGGCTGCAGCTCCTTAATTTAAGGCCCAGATTTCTCTGCAAACTGCCTCTCTGCAGAGGCATAATATTAACTGTCAACTCCCCGTAATGATGTTGGGTTCCGAGAGCAGCTTTGATTAACAGCAGAAGGCAGCCTGGCTTTAACTTGGAGAGGGGAAAAGGCTCGGCAAAATATCTTGCTCAGTCGAACAGATGGATCAGACAGCCATCGCTTGTCGTTTAAAAGCCAGGGGCAATATTGTTTGAATTCTTACCGAGCAAACCACCAGAATGTGATTTTGGAAACAAAAGAGGCTCCGGATTCAGGACAAGGATTCTGCGAATGTTGAAAGAAAAGGACAATTGTCAAATCTGCATTCATCAATGCAGAGAACAATGGCTGTAAACAGTTGGATAAAGCAAATTCTTGGATATTTTAGGCAATCTCTTGAATTACCAAGAGATTCAATAGAAATTTCAATGGCTCTTCAAACCTATCTTCAAAATTCATCTTCAAAGCAGTCTATGATATCCCTTCAGATTGGATTCAATCAATCAATCAATCAATCAATCAATCAATCAATCAACAAGAAGGCCTTGGAGGACTTCTAATCCAACCCTCTGCTCAAGCAAGAGACCCTATATTATTTCAGACAAGTGACTATCTAGTCTCTTCTTAAAACCTCCAGTGTTGAAGTACCAACAACTTCTGGAGGCAAGCTGTTCCACTGGTTAATTGTCCTCACTGGTAGGAAGTTTCTCATTAATTCCAGGTTGCTTCTCTCCTTGATTAGTTTCCATCCATTGTTTCTTGTCTTGCCTTCTGGTGCTCTGGAAAATAGGTTAACCTCCTCTTCTTTGTAGTAGCCCCTCAAATACTGGAATACTGCTATCATGTCACTCCTAGTCCTTCTTTTCACTAGACTAAAGGTAAAGGTTCCCCTCACACATATGTGCTAGTCGTTCCTGAGTCTAGGGGGTGGTGCTCATCTCCGTTTCAAAGCCGAAGAGCCAGTGCTGTCCGAAGATGTCTCCATGGTCATGTGGCCGGCATGACTCAACGCCAAAGGTGCACGGAACGCTGTTCCCTTCCCACCAAAGGTGGTCTCTATTTTTCTACTTGCATTATTTACGTGCTTTCGAACTGCTAGGTTGGCAGAAGCTGGGACAAGTAATGGGAGCTCACCCCATTACGCGGCGCTAGGGATTCAAACCGCTGATCTGCCGACCTTTCAATCGACAAGCTCAGCGTCTTAGCCACTGAGCCACCATGTCCCACTAGACTAGCCCAATTTCTGCAACTGTTCTTCATATGCCTTAGCCTCCAGGCCTTTAATCTTCTTAGCTGTTATTCTCTGCATTTTTTTTCTAAAGTCCCAACATCTTTTTTGTAATGCGTTGATTCAACATAACTTTGAACAGACTTAATGCAATCTGAATAGTCAATGGACTGCTAGCTGTGTGCGTTTAAGATGAATCTTGCTTTGACTGGAATTTTCAAACCACCCTGAGCTCAGCATTTACTCCACAGTCATTTTTACACATTTTTGTTGTATAAGGAATGGATGTTAAGATGATGAGCTTTGGAAATACTGAAAACAACAACAAATTCAAACTTTTAAAATCTATTGGGGGGGAGAGGGAGAGGGGGGAGAGAGGGAGGGAAAGAGAAAACTCGGAAAGAACTCATCAGTCCTTCTGTTATAAGTGCTAAGGTTTAGAACAGTGATGGCGAACCCGCGCGGAAACGTCTAGCACATGTGCGAGTGCTCCTATCGACACTGCGCTCCGGGAAAGCCAAACTTCCGGGTTCTCGCGCGCATACGTACCTGACAATCCGTTGGCTGGTGCACATGTGTACACCAGTTTTCGGCACTGCCGCGTGCGCGAAGGACAGCTGATTGTCACGTGCGCATGTGGGCCAGAAACCCAGAAGACAAACAGGCAAGGCTGCGCGTGCCGAGCAACATGGCTTTGCGTGCCGCTTTGGGCACGCGTGCCCTAGGTTCGTCATCACGGGTCTAGAATCTTTCAAATGTACCAACGAGACTAAAATCTATTCCAAGCTCTATAAAGGAACAATTCAAAATTCATCTACTTACTGAGTCACTGCTAATTTTGGAAAAGAAAGGTGGGGGATCCGTAAAACAGCACAACACCAGTTCCGATAAAACCAGAGCAAAGTAAATGTATGAAGTCAGATGCTGAAAAGGCTGTTTGTGGAATCCCTGTGTTAAAAAAAAAAAGTTTAAATTGAAAGTCTGCCACCGTTCCTATTTTTGTAATGACCACCAATTGCATATATCTCTCTGTTAATAACCCTGTTGTCAGTGGTGGGTTGCTCCCGGTTCGCACCGGTTCACAAGAACCGGTAATAAAAATTTGTAGTAGTTCGGAGAACCGGTAATAACATTGGCTGGCCATGCCCCTGAACCAATCCCCGGCCCGGTCGCCACTCACTTACCCCACCTACGTCATCAGAGGCTTTTTTTTTAACTTTTAAAAGCATTTTTTCTACAACCTCTTCAGCTGAAAAAATGCTTTTAAAAGTAAAAAAAAAAGCCTCTGATGATCGCGTGGCTCAGCTGGGATCGTCAGAGGCTTCCAAAAGCATTTTTTTCTGCAACCACTTCAGCCGAAGAGGTTGTAGGAAAAAAAAATGCCTTTAAAAGCCTCTGGCGATCCCAGCTGAGTTGCCTGATCGTCAGAGGCTTTTAAAAGCATTTTTTCTGCAACCTCTTAAGGTTGTACAAAAAATGGTTTTAAAAGTAAAATAAAAAAAAAAGTTGGCCATGCCTACCCAGTCACATTACCCCCCCACCAAGCTATGCCCACAAAATAAGCCATGCCCACAGAACCGGTAGTAAAAAATTTTAGGACCCACCCCTGCCTGTAGTGATCTATGGCCATGACTTTGGGTACACAGAAGGAAGAGCTGCAGACTAGTCAATGGTTAGATAAGAGGCAGCTGAGCCTTCAGAAGGAATGGGAAGTGGTAAACATCTCAAAAGAAACCCTCCCTAGTTTCTTGGACTGTAAAGGGGAGAGGGGAGAGACATACAGGTAGTCCTCGATTTACAACAGTTCATTTTTAGTGACCACTCAAAGTTACGATGGCACTGAAAAATGTGACTTACGACCATTTTTCACACTTACGTCCGTTGCGGCATCTCCGTGGGCATGTGATTTACATTCGGATGCTTGACAACTGATTCATACTTATAATGGTTGCCGTGTCCCTGGGGTCACCTGATCCCCTTTTGTGACAATCAAAGTCAACGAGGAAACCAGATTGACTTACAGGAACAACCGTGCGACTGATTTAACAACTGCAACGATTCACTGAACAGCTGTGCTTAGAAAGGTCGTAAAATGGGGGCAAACCTCACTTAACAAATGTTCCACTTAACGACTTACATTTTGGGCTTGATTGCGGTCATAAGTCGAGGACCACCTGCACTTTCAAACTCTTAAGATTTTGTTGCTATAAACTTAGGTATGGCTCATTTAACAACCGCTTTGCTTAAGAATGGAAATCCTGGCCTCAATTCTGGTCGTAAGTCGAGGACCACCTGTGTTGTTGTGCTTCTTTCTGGACTACCTCCCAAGGTAGACTTACGCCTTCCATTGCTTGGTGCAATTTGAAGCTGGAAGAGACACTAGAAGAGAGGAGAGACAGGAGCCAAAAGACCATCAAGACGCCCGAAGATTGGACCCCTTTCATCCGTTCCATCTGGGTGAGAAAAACCACGAGGACCTAAAATGGAAGAGAAATATTAAATATAAAGCCTATGTGAAATACGATTGGATTCCAATCGGTTTTTGAGGAACCAGAGATCAACCATGGAGAATGCAGGGCTCCAGAATATTCCCCAACGAAGGTATTTCACATAAAGTCAAGCGGTTTCTCTTACAACAATTAATCAGTGGAACAATTTGCCTCCAGAACTTGTGAATGCATCAACACTGGAAGTTTTTAAGAAGAGGTAGGATAACCATTTGTCTGTAGTGGTGTAGGGTTTCCTGCCTAAGCAGGGGGTTGGACTAGAAGATCTCCAAGGTCCCTTCCAACTCTGTTATTCTATTCTATTTCTGTTCTGTTCTATTCTGTTCTGTTTCTATTCTGTTCTATTCTATTCTAATTCTATTCTATTCTATTCCTATTCTATTCTATTCTATTCTATTCTATTCTATTTATTCTTGTTTTATTTTATTTATTTTATTTATTTTATTTTATTTTATTTATTTTATTTTATTCTATTTTATTTTATTTTATTTACTCTACTCTACTCTACTCTACTCTACTCTACTCTACTCTACTCTACTCTACTCTACTCTATACTCTACTCTACTCTACTCTACTCTACTCTACTCTACTCTACTCTATTATTCTATTCTATGAAACTTCAGATGGTTTTCTACCTTTTAAAGGTTTTTTTTTTGCTCGCTTATTATTTGTGGAGTGCCTCTCCTTGTTTACGCATAAATAAAGAGATATTCAACCACCTTTCTGGCTTGGATTCTTTTTTTTAAACTCCGTTTTTTTATTTGTTTATAATATAAAATACAAAAGCAAATAGGAAAAATAAAAGAGGGAAAGGGGAGAGGAGAAGGAAAGAAAAAAGGAGGGGAAAAAAGGTATTGACTTCTGACTCTGGTGCAGTAAAATAAAATAATAACACCAAGCCTCAACTTTTTACTTTTACAAAATAGTATAAACTAGCCATTTGTATAACAACAAATTCTATCTAGTCAGTAAAATCCCAAATCAAAGTTTCATTTTTTTTCCGCCTCAAGCACAAAGTCCAGAAACGGTTTCCAAGTAAAAACGGAAGTAGTCCTTTCTGGCTTGGATTCTAATTGGGCAAGGCGCACCGGGGTAACGGAAATTGCCGGCATTATGGTTAATAATATCAAGTTTCTCCTTCAGGTGATCATAAGTTCTAAAGCAAAGAAGCGTGTGGGACAAATAGAGACAAACGAATTGTTCTCACCATGGTGACCAGTTGAATTGTAGGGCTAATGATGAGCCCGGGTGCTGGTGAAACCCCTCGGTTAGCTTCCCACAGGAGGTACAAGATGATGGAGAAACACAGCACTAACAAGACGAAGCCAAGAATCTAACAAAACAGAAAAGGGCACAGTCAGAAAAATTTGAGATCCAATTGTTTCCAACGTTGTTACATAGTTATCATTACAGAGAGTCCTTAACTTACAATCATTCGTTTAGCGACCGCTGGAAACTACAATGGCACTGGGGAAAGTGACTTACAACCAATCCTCAAACTTAACAACCATTGTAGCATCCCAATGGCCATGTAATCAAAATTCACGTGTTTGGGAACCATCACGTCAGGGGTGAAATGCTACCGGTTTGCTCCGGTTCGGGTAAACCGGTAGTGATAAAAACGACCGGTTCGGGCGAACTTGTAGTAAAAAAAACCTACCGGTTCAGTTGAACCGATAGTTTAAAAAGCTACCGGTTCAGTTGAACCGGTAGTTAAAAAAAGCTACTGGTTCCTCTGAACCGGTATTTCTGATGATCAGCTGGGCCGCGCGGTTTAGCTTTGCTAGAAAGCAGGAAATTCTGCTTTCTAGCAAAGCTAAATCATGCGGCACAGCTGATCCCCCGCTCGCTGTTCTACTTACCTTCCCAAGCCTCCTTTTGGCCCATACCGCAAATGCATGTGTGCAGTGTGTGTTTGGTGTGCAGTGTGCACATTTGGCATGCATCGTGCATGCGTGGCCAGCAAACCAGTAGCAAACCGGTTCAGATTTCACCACTGCATCACGTATTTATAAACAGTTGTAGGGTTTCAGGAGTCATCCAATTGCCATTTGTGACTTTCCATCTTGCTTCCAACAAACAAGTAAATCCAGATTCACTTAATTGCCACATGATTCACTTAGCAACGGCAGTGGTTTGCTCAACGACTGCGGCCAAGAGGTTGTGAAGTCCGACGCGAGTCACTGAGCAACTGCCTTGCTTAAGCAATGGAAATTCTGGTCCCAATTCGTAAGTCAAGGACTAGCTGTATTTTAAACTATACTTCTACCGCTTTATCATTCTTATTTGTGCTTGACCACTCTAGGTGGAAAGAGAACAGAATAAGGATAATAACCACAAATGGATTCATTGGATGTTTAACAGGGGTGAAATTCAGCAGGTTCTGACAGGTTCTGGAGAACCGGTAGTGGAAATTTTGAGTAGTTCAGAGAACCGGCAAATACCACCTCTGGCTGGCGCCAGAGGGAGTGGGAATGGAGATTTTGCAATATCCTTCCCCCAGGAGGAGGGAGGGAATGGGGATTTTGCAATATCCTTCCCCCAGGAGGAGGGAGGGAATGGGGATTTTGCAATATCCTTCCCCAGGAGGAGGGAGGGAATGGAGATTTTGCAATATCCTTCCCCCAGGAGGAGGGAGGGAATGGGGATTTTGCAATATCCTTCTGCTGGAGTGGGGTGGGAATGGAGATTTTGCAATATCCTTCCCCCAGGAGTAGGGAGGGAATGGGGATTTTGCAATATTCTTCCCTAGCCACGCCCACCAAGCCACACCACACCCACCAAGCCACGCCCACAGAATTGGTAGTAAAAAAAATTGAATTCCACCACTGATGTTTAACCACAATTAGATTGAATTAGATGTTTTTACCAGTTTCACTGTTTATGTTTTAAAATGTTTTTTTTTTTAAAAAAATTTAATTGTAATATATTTTATGAACGGTAAGCCATCCAGACTCATTGACTGAAATGGGAACCCCTTGAAATGGAACAAACAAACAAAGAATCCGTCATTGTTTATTTTATGGATGGCTGGAATCCTTCTTCCGGATTTGAACCTTACCATTTTTGCTTTGAAGACAGCCGACATCCTGATATATCCCCTGCGGTTTTTCTGAAGGTAAAAATAATAGAAGGGGAAAGAAATCCATAGATAGATGCAAGGGATCCAAACTGCAACGGTGTTTTGGAAACAGGCTGCTAACCATGGGAGATCCATCCCCCGTGTCTGATTCCCGTTCTACGAAAACACAAGATCACAAACTGCAAAATCACAACTGCTGAGCTCCAAACGTGTACTCTGTATTTGTCTAGCTAGCTTCCACCCACAAAGGCTATTAATAAAGCAGTTCAACCAGTTCAACCAATTTCAAAACACCAACGGACTTAAAACCCAAAGAAGGACATTTCTTAACAGAAAAGTTCAAAAGCAATGCGGGAAAATTACACTTTTTTTTTTTTCAGATAAGACCTACGGAGTACATTTAAATGGTCAAACATCCAGGCTCTTTTCTCCTAATTTTCTTGGTTAAGGAACTATTAGGTCCCCTTTTTATTACAACATTTGCAGTTTCCATCTGTTTCCTGTTTTTGTTCACCGCAGGAATCCTTCTGAGTTCTGTCTCTCTTAATAATGTCCTCCTCTTTCCCAGTTTTAGCCAAAAAGCATTTTTGAAGAACGTCCAGAAGTCCAAAGTTTCTTGATTTTTTATTATTTTTCCACTCCTCTCTTGCATCCAGTCTCAAAGGCACAGTTTCACCATTCCCCAGATCGGTTTTCCGTTCTGTTAAAGGTAAAGGTTCCCCTCGCACATATGTGCTCGTCGTTCCCAACTCTAGAGGGCGGTACACATCTCCGTTTCAAAGCTGAAGAGCCAGCGCTGTCCGAAGACATCTCCGTGGTCATGTGGCGGGCATGACTCAATGCCAAAGGCGCACGGAACGCTGTTCCCTTCCCACCAAAGGTGGTCCCTATTTTTTCTACTTGCATTTTTTACTTGCTTTCGAACTGCTAGGTTGGCAGAAGCTGGGACAAGGAACAGGCGCTCACCCCATTACGCGGCACTAGGGATTCGAACTGCTGAACTGCCGACCTTTCGATCAACAAGCTCAGCGTCTTAGCCACTGAGCCACCGCGTCCCTTCTGTTCTGTTACTTACCTCCAAATCTGACATGAGGAAGGAACTAGGAAATAAGAATTGAAAGAAGAAAAAAATAAGCTTGAATAAAGAAAGAGAAACAGATGGACGGAGTCTCTTACCGGTGAGTGGGCACGCATAAATTTGTACGTGAAAAATGAACAGGGCAGAATCCTCATTGCCCGTCGCTTGGGCCAGACTTATCCAGTGTCTACGCATGTTCAATTTACCCACAATGAAACCCATATATATCTATCAACAGCCAGAAAGGAGAACTGCTTTCTGCTCACCCCCAATCCAGCTGTTGGGTTCTGCTGAGAACGACATAACCCATGCACCCAGGTCATCGTATCAGTGGATGAGGCTTCTGTCTTGTGCAGATCTGATTTCTGCCTGTTGTCATTCTGTGATATTTATCTTCTTTGGTTCCATGTGGAGTTCTGCCCCTTCCAGGGGGTGGGGATTTAGAACATAGAATAACAGGGTTGGGAAAGGATCTTAGAGGTCTTCTAGTCCAACCCCCCTACTTGAGCAGACGAACCCATTCCGTTCTGGACAAATGGTTGTCCAATCTCTTATTTAAAAAGACCTCTGGTGATGGGAGCATCCATAACTTCTGGAGGCAAGCTGTTCCACTGATTAATTGTTCTCGTTAGGATATTTCTCCTTAGTTCCAGGTTGGGTGTCTCTTTGATATGCTTCCATCCGTTACTTCTTGTCCTGCCCTCAGCTTCTTTGGAGAATAAGTCTACCCTATCTTCACTGTCTAATGCTTCCCGCAAATACCATCTCTGGCTGGTCCCAGGAGTGGGGTGGGAACGATGGAGGGCAAAAGAAGAAGGGGACGGCAGAGAACGAGGTGGCTGGATGGAGTCACTGAAGCAGTCGGCGTGAGCTTAAATGGACTCCAGAGGATGGTAGAGGACAGGAAGGCCTGGGGGAACGTTGTCCATGGAGTCACGACGGGTCGGACACGACTTTGCAACTAACAACAACAATCTTCACTCTCACAGCCTCTCAAGTATCAGAAGACTGCTGTCATATCACCCCTCATCCTTTTCTACATTAGATTAAACATACTCAGTTCCCACAACCGTTCATCGTATGGTTTAGCCTCCAGGCCCCTAATCATCTTTTGTTGATCTTCTCCGCACCCTTTTTGGTGTCTCGGCATCCAGAGTTCCTCCTCTACCACAGGTAAAAAAACAAATCCATAGATCAAATATGGAGGAAAGCATGACCAGTTGCAGCTGGTCTACAAAATAGATGTTCATGCTAAATTCACTATGGGCAGAGTTCTATTAACGCTGTTTCTGAAGCCTATGGCAAGAATGTCAACTAGAACTTGAAAAATCCAGTTCACCTTGGAATAGAATAGAATAGAATAGAATAGAATAGAATAGAATAGAATAGAATAGAATAGAATAGAATAGAATAGAATAGAATAACAGAGTTGGAAGGGACCTTGGAGGTCTTCTAGTCCAACCCCCTGCTTAGGCAGGAAACCCTACACCACTTCAGACAAATGGTTATCCAACATCTTCTTAAAAACTTCCAGTGTTGGAGCATTCACAACTTCTGGAGGCAAGTTGTTCCACTGATTAATTGTTCTGACTGTCAGGAAATTTCTGTTCTAAGTTGCTTCTCTCCTTGATTAGTTTCCACCCATTGCTTCTTGTCCTGCCCTCAGGTGCTTTGGAGAATAGCTTGACTTAGTGGTGAAATCCACATTTTATTATTACCGGTTCTCTGGGCATGGTGTGGCTTGGTGGGCATGGCAGGAGAAGGATACTGCAAAATCTCCGTTCCCACCCCACTCCTGAGAGAAGGATATTGCAAAATCTCCATTCCCACCCCACTCCTGAGAAAAGGATATTGCAAAATCTCCATTCCCACCCCACTCTAGGGCCAGCCAGAGGTGGTATTTGCCAGTTCTCCGAACTACTCAAAATTTCCACTACCGGTTCCCTGAACTGCTCAAAATTTCCACTACTGGTTCTCCAGAACCTGTCAGAACCTGCTGGATTTCATCCCTGGCTTGACTCCCTCTTGTTTGGGCCAACCCCTGAGATATCGGAAGACTGCTATCATGTCTCCCCTAGTCCTTCTTTTCATCAAACTAGACCTACCCAGTTCCTGCAACCGTTCTTCATATGTTTTAGCCTCCAGTCCCCTAATCATCTTCTCTGCACCTTAGACAGATTCCCTCACTGTAAGGAGGCCTGATTTCTCTAATCATGTTTTGTTAAATAAACCACAATGGTTCAGTTCTAAATCTTGGCTTACAATATACAGGGAGTGGGGTGGTGGTGGTATTATTGGAAACCAGAAACACAAATTAAATAAAGCACACTGAAGGGCATTTGTGGGGATGGGCTGTTTTAAACAAAGAGTGCTTCGGGAATTTAGTAGTAAAGTCCACTGAAGGTTAGAGATGCCTGGCTTGGTATAAACTAATCAATAAACCAGACTGGTAAATGATTCTCTTAAATTGAAAAGCAGCCTAGGATCGATGCCAGGGCTTAGATACCTGCTTTAGTTGATAAATCAACCATGTGTGCTGAGAATGTAAATCCTGTTAGAGTCAGCATCTGGCTGAGACATTGGAAGGTCTGAAAAAGGACAAGGAGGTTCCCCATTTTTCTTTCTGTTGAACTGAACATCGATAAGAAATGGTGGTTGTACCAAAACTATGGCAGGAAAACCCAGATTCAAATAAGTTTGTGCTAGTAAATCTCTCTCAGCCATGTGTGTGGCTATTAAGAACCAGTTTGGTCTCGTGGTGAAGGCACTAAACTAGACTAGAAACCAGGAGAAGGTGAGTTCTAGTCCCATCTAAGGCATGAAAGCCAGCTGGGTGACCTTGGGCCAATCACCAGGAGATGGTGAGTTCTAGTCCCGCCTTAGGCATGAAAGCCAGCTGGGTGATCTTGGGCCAATCACCAGGAGAAGGTGAGTTCTAGTCCCATCTAAGGCATGAAAGCCAGCTGGGTGACCTTGGGCCAATCACCAGGAGATGGTGAGTTCTAGTCCCATCTAAGGCATGAAAGCCAGCTGGGTGACCTTGGGCCAATCACCAGGAGATGGTGAGTTCTAGTCCCGCCTTAGGCATGAAAGCCAGCTGGGTGATCTTGGGCCAATCACCAGGAGAAGGTGAGTTCTAGTCCCATCTAAGGCATGAAAGCCAGCTGGGTGACCTTGGGCCAATCACCAGGAGATGGTGAGTTCTAGTCCCATCTAAGGCATGAAAGCCAGCTGGGTGACCTTGGGCCAATCACCAGGAGATGGTGAGTTCTAGTCCCATCTAAGGCATGAAAGCCAGCTGGGTGACCTTGGGCCAATCACCAGGAGATGGTGAGTTCTAGTCCCATCTAAGGCATGAAAGCCAGCTGGGTGATCTTGAGCCAATCACCAGGAGATGGTGAGTTCTAGTCCCGCCTTAGGCATGAAAGCCAGCTGGGTGATCTTGAGCCAATCACCAGGAGAAGGTGAGTTCTAGTCCCATCTAAGGCATGAAAGCCAGCTGGGTGATCTTGAGCCAATCACCAGGAGATGGTGAGTTCTAGTCCCATCTAAGGCATGAAAGCCAGCTGGGTGACCTTGGGCCAATCACCAGGAGATGGTGAGTTCTAGTCCCATCTAAGGCATGAAAGCCAGCTGGGTGATCTTGGGCCAATCACCAGGAGATGGTGAGTTCTAGTCCCATCTAAGGCATGAAAGCCAGCTGGGTGATCTTGAGCCAATCACCAGGAGATGGTGAGTTCTAGTCCCATCTAAGGCATGAAAGCCAGCTGGGTGATCTTGGGCCAATCACCAGGAGATGGTGAGTTCTTTATAGAAATAATAAACATGCATAGGTTTGTGTGTGTGTGTGTGTGGTCAATTGTGTTGTGAATTTCACCCAGTAAAGGGCTGTGGATGGTCAAATAACACAACCGTGTAGATGTCATGACAAATATGGGTCACAGGATATATTTGTCATAGATGCAAGGCAGTGGTGAAATCCAATTTTTTTTACTACTGGTTCTGTGGGCGTGACTTGGTGGGTGTGGCAGGGGAAGGATGCTGCAAAATCTCCATTCCCTCCCCACTCCAGGGGAAGGATACTGCAAAATCCCCATTCCCTCCCCACTCCAGGGGAAGGATACTGCAAAATCTCCATTCTCTCCCCACTCTGGAGCCAGCCAGAGGTGGTATTTGCCAGTTCGCCACACTACTTAAAATTTCCACTACCAGTTCTCCAGAACCTGTCAGAACCTGCTGGTTTTAGTACAGTGGACTAAAGCACTGTTATTAACAGATTAACATCTGCTGCTTGCAATTACTGCAATTACTGCAAGTTCAATTCTCACCAGGCTCAAGGTTGACTCAGCCTTCCATCCTTTCAAAGGTAGGTGAAATGAGGACCCGGATTGTGGGGGCAATAAGCTGACTTTGTATAAATATACAAAAGTATGAAGGCTATTGCTTAACGCCTTGTAAGCCGCCCTGAGTCTCCGGAGAAGGGCGGCATATAAATTAAAAAAAGCAAGCAAGCAAAGCAAGCAAGCAAGCAAAGCAAGCACCCCTGATGCAAGGACTTCAGAACCACAATGCAACCTTTGTGGTGTTGACATCATGAAGCTTCACATCATCCTAGGGATCAGTTTGTTGCAATGCCAACACAATTCATTGGATTACAACATCCCCGTTGTGAACACAACTTACTTGATTATCAGGAGCCTAAGTGGAGTAGGAGGCTAATGCCTCCTAAAAAGGCACCATTTAACATCCAGCTGTCTGCAATTACTGTAAGTTCGAATCTCACCAGGCTCAAGGTCGACTCAGCCTTCCATCCTTTCTAAGGTGGGTAAATAGAGGACCCAGTTTGTGGGGGCAATAAGCTGACTTTGTATAAATATACAAAAGTATGAAGGCTATTGCTTAGCGCATTGTAAGCCGCCCTGAGTCTCCGGAGAAGGGCAGCATATAAATCAAATTAAAATAAATAAATAAATAAATAAATTCTAGTTTACCACACTCTGCAAATTGACAAAATGGGCTGCTTGTATGAACCCAGCCTACTTGCACAGTGCGGTCTTTTTAGCAACCCCGCGTTCAGAAATCCTTCCGCATTTGATGTGCATTTCCCCACAAACACTGTGTCATTATTATCTGCTCCTGCACATCCAGCTATTGATCGGCCCTGCCCATCGATTCTCTTCAGGAACAGCTAGCTGGAAGTAAGCCATGTTCAACTGATAATCTAGCTCAGGTGTCAGCAATCTGCAGCTCCGGAGCCGCATGTGGCTCTTTGGGCCCTCTGCTGTGGCTCCCTGTCGGGTGATCCCACCACTGGCTGGCTCTGCCCCTCGCCTTCCCCTCCGTCAGTCCTCGCCTGGCCTGAGAAGGTAAGGGCGATGGCGGGTGATGGAGAAGCGGCCGGGGCAGAGACAGAGAGATACAGAGAGAGGGGGAGACAGAGAGACATAGAGAGATACAGAGAGAGAGGTGGGGAGAGCGGGAAGAGGGAGGGAGAGAGAGATGTTAAAAGGGTTTTGTGATTCCCAGTGATTTTTAACAACTGGTTCTCTGCCCTAATGACCGGCTGGGTAGGTGTGGCTGGGGGTGTGTGTCATGTGACTGGTGGGAGTGAGTGACATCGAGTTGGCTGCGCCCACCCAAGTTTTGTGGCTCCCGGTGTTTTCTTTTCTGTGGGAAATGGGTCCAAATGGCTCTTCGAGTGTTTAAGGTTGCTGATCCCTGAATCTAGCTGAATGCTCTGCAATTTCATTCATCGGCAGTTATTTCAACAGTAAGCCATGATTAAGCAAACAATGATATTATGCGGAGGGGAGCAATTGCACCCTATTCAGTATAAATTTGAAGGGCGCAAACTCAAGACAGGACGTGAGCAAAGCTGCAAAACTGCGGGTCCTCCTTTTGCTTGTTTAACTTTTTCATGCCTCACGTTTGTTTGTTTTTAACTCTAATTTATTTAGAGTTCGTTACATTTAACTCAGAAATTAAAAAACAATGAAAAGCATCAATTTATGCTTTTTATTCTTTTTATTGTATGCAACGAAATTTCATTTTTATGCATGCCGATTGGTGTACATTCAAAGTGACAATAAAGATATTCTAAATCGGTAAAGCGCCCAGAGTCGCTTAGATGTGATGAGAGGTGTAGAAATATAATAAACAGTCAGATAAACAAACAAATAAATTGCAAAAGCCCAACACTTTGTAGAAATATAATAAACAAATAAACAGATAAACAAACAAATAAATTGCAAAAGCCCAACACTTTGTAGAAATATAATAAATAAACATAAACAAATACATAAATTGCAAAAGCCCAACACTTTGTAGAAAAATAAATAAATAGATAAACAAATACATAAATTGCAAAAGCCCAATGCTTTGTAGAAATATAATAAACAAATAAACAGACAAATAAATATATAAATTGCAAAAGCCCAACACTTTGTAGAAATATAATAAATAAACAGATAAACAAATACATAAATTGCAAAAGCCCAACACTTTGAAGCAAAACAAATAAATAGATAAACAAATACATAAATTGCAAAAGCCCAATGCTTTGTAGAAATATAATAAACAAATAAACAGACAAATAAATAAATTGCAAAAGCCCAATGCTTTGTAGAAATATAATAAACAAATAAACAGACAAACAAATACATAAATTGCAAAAGCCCAATGCTTTGTAGAAATATAATAAAGAAATACATAAATTGCAAAAGCCCAACGCTTTCCCCTCTGTAAATCTTTCTTTCTTTCTTTTTTTAAAGTTCCCTTCTCTTGAAGCCTCCGAAGCAACCGAGACGAAAAGCGCCTCCTGCCTAGCACGGCCCTAAAAAGTAAACCTCCTGCTTTCCTGGCCGGCGCGCTCACTTCCGTCTCGCCGCTCTGTCCCCCTCTGAGAAGGAACCATCGAGCGCGGGCGGACGGGCGCATGCGCCTCGCCTCTTCCTGAGTCAGCGCTTGGCCGGCCCTTCTGTGGCTGCTCCGCGTGTTACGACGGGCGGCTCGGCGATGCTGCGGCGGCGGTGGTCGTCGCCGGCGTGGGGTTGCTGGTGGTGGGCGCTGTGCGGAGCCCTCTGGGCCGGGGCCGGGGCTCCGAGGACATCGTGGTGGGCTGCGGGGGCTTCGTCAGGTCCGACGTCGAGATCAATTACTCCCTGATCGAGGTGAGCGCCCGCCCTGCTAGGTAGGACAGTGGGGGGGGTCTTGGACGGAGGGAGCAAAGGAAAGATGAAGGGTATTTTTTAAAAAAAATGTTAAAAAATAATATTAAAAGGTAAATTAGAAGTAATATAAGTACATATATATATATATATATATATATATATTATATATATATATATATATATATATATATAATATATATATATATATATATATATAATTAATTTATTATTTCAACTTGTATGCCACCTTTCTCCGAAGACTCAAGGCGGCTTACAATGCATTTAAAAACCATATATAAAAACATTAAAAGTTAAAACGTTAAAAACAATTATAATTAACATTAAAAACAATAAATATAATATATATAAACAGATATATAAATAGATATATAATATATATACTTATATAAAATGTAATATATATATATATATATATATATATATATATATATATATATATATATATATATATATGTAGGTCTTTGGTTATTCGGGTCTTCTCCCACGTAAAATTGGAAGTGTCTTGGCGACGTTTCGACGAAGTCTCATTCGTCATCTTCAGGCTGGTGTTCTCGGCTTCGTGCTTCCAGGAGCAAGCTTCCTTCTTACGTGGGAGAAGACCCGAATAACCAAAGACCTACATACAAACACCCGCGAAAACCTGAGAAAACATATATATATTTATATATATATATATATATATATTTATATATATATATATATATATATATATAATATATATATATATAAAAATATATATATATATTTATTTTATTTATTTTATTAAATTTCTATACCGCCCTTCTTCCGAAGGACTCAGGGCGGTGAACAGCCACGAGATAAAACACATAAATACAAAAAATTTAAAAGGAATTAAAAAGGAATTAAATAATTTGGCTGAATTTAAAATACCCCATAATTTAAAACAAATTAAAATTTACATTTAAAAAGGGGAGAAGATTTAGGCCAGGCCAGCTTGCTGGAATAGAAAAGTCTTAAGTCTTAATATTTATAAAAATATAAATAGGAGGAGGAAAGTATATTGGATATGTCTTGAGTTATTTGTAAAGATAATAAAGGGGAGATACAAATAAACGAGTAATATACATTTTGCATATGCCTGTTGACAATTGTCTTAAGGTAGGCCATAAATAATAATAATAATAATAATAATAATAATAATAATAATAATAATAATAATAATAATAATAATACAGAAGGATCATCATTTGGAACATAACATGCCAGATATCACTGTTGTTGAGGGCCAAAGCGTAGAAGTTTATTGACATCGCTGTACCAGGAGACGTAAAGAGTCGAAGGAAAAGAACTGGGAAAAAAAAATCACAAAATATCGCAACCTAGCCATCGAAACTACACGGCTATGGACGAAACATGTAACAGTGACATCCATTGTCATCGGGGCACTTGGTACCAAGAATTTGGATTTCACCACTGCTTCGAACATTCACTAAATGAAAGGTGGTAAGTCAAGGACTACCTGTAATGCAAAGGGATTATTAAATCCTGGGTTTTTTTTCTTTTTTCTTTCTCCAAACCACACTGGCTGGTTTGCACAAGAGTTCAAATGCAACAGGACTTGGCACAACCCAAGACCTCTTCCGTTTACGGCAAAAGAAACCGGTAGCCTCCTTTGAGATGAGAGCCTCCGGTTAATTGGAGTGGAATAGCTTTTAAGACGTTTTGGGATGGGTTTCCAACTGCAGAAAAAACAATAGCTACCAACCTGCCTTCCATTGAGGACCTGTATACTGCAGGAGTCAAAAAGAGGGCTGTGAAAATATCTACAGACCCCTCACATCCTGGACATTAACTGTTTCAACTCCTACCCTCAAAACGACGCTATAGAGCACTGCACACCAGAACAACTAGATACAAGGACAGTTTTTTCCCAAACGCCATCACTCTGCTAAACAAATAATTCCCTCAACACTGTCAAACTATTCACTAAGTCTGCACTACTATTAACCTTCTCATCGTTCCTATCACCCATCTCCTCCCACTTACGACTGCATGACTGTAACCTTGTTGCTGGTATCCTTACGATTTATATTGATATTGATTGTTTCCTGATTGCTTATTTGTACCCTATGACTATCATTAAGTGTTGTATCTTTTTATTCTTGATGAATGTATTTTATTCTCCTTATGTACATTGAGAGCATATGTACCAAAGACAAATACCTTGTGTGTCCAATCACACTTGGCCAACAATGAATTCTATTCTATTCTATTCTATTCTATTCTATTCTATTCTATTCTATTCTATTCTATTCTATTCTATTCTATTCTATTCTATTCTATTCTATTCTATTCTATTCTACTCTACTCTACTCTACTCTACTCTACTACTCTACTCTACTCTTCTATTCTATGAAACTTCAGATGGTTTTCTACCTTTTAAAGGTTTTTTTTTTGCTCGCTTATTATTTGTGGAGTGCCTCTCCTTGTTTACGCATAAATAAAGAGATATTCAACCACCTTTCTGGCTTGGATTCTTTTTTTTTTAACTCCGTTTTTTTATTTTACTATAAAATAGTAAAATATTATTTTGCTATAGATTACTATAGCCTGGCAAGATACTGTCAATTGGCCAGGCCAAGAGTTGTTTTCCATTGCAAGCAGGACTTAAGTATCATAAATCAACAACTTTTCCAGAATAATTAATGTTTTTTCCCCCTCCCTCTCGATGTTTCTTCTGCAGATAAAATTGTACACCAAGCACGGCACTCTGAAGTACCAGACAGACTGCGCTCCAAATAATGGTTACTTTATGATTCCTCTGTATGATAAGGTGAGAGGCTATCTAATCATTTAAATTGGGTGGTGTGATGTTTCATGACTGTCTTTAAAGAAAATCCTACTGGTTTCTTCCATTTTAACATTTTGCCACTCTGCTGGCTGCGGATGAGGGATGAGTCCCTGGGGGCGGTGAAAATCCACCATGAAAGCTATAGATATTTTTTTAAGCAAAGGTTTCTAAAGGCAAATAATAAGATTTTAAAACGGGTTGAAATTTAGAGTTTATGATTGTAGGTAGGTCAGTGACCAAGCAGGGACTCCACTGGGAGTTTTCTTTGCCCCCGTCCAACATCTTAACCAACAATATTGCCTGTCAGTATTTACTCAAATTCAATTCAGATTCAAACCTTTATTGTCAGTGCACAACATGTGTACAATGAGTTTGGTTGAGCTCCCTCAGTGCACCCCCTCCCCAACACAACACAACTCACAGTGAAGACAGAAAATCCCTAACCCAATCATATTAACAAAAAACCCAGTCCTATTGCACCAGCGTGAACATGTTATATGTTGCGCCGGCCCTGCAGTCCATCATACAACGCAGTTGCTTGAACCCTTACGATTTATATTGATACTGTTTGCTGATTACTTATTTGTACCCTATGACTATCATTAAGTGTTGTACCTTATGATTCTTGATGAACGTATCTTTTATGTACACTGAGAGCGTATGCACTGAAGACAAATTCCTTGTGTGTCCAATCACACTTGGCCAATGAAGAATTCTATTCTATTCTATTCTATTCTATTCTATTCTATTCTATTCTATTCTATTCTATCTATTCTATTCTATTCTATTCTATTCTATTCTATTCTATTCTACCTACCCTACCCTACCCTACCCTACCCTACCCTACCCTACCTACCCTACCTACCCTACCCCCTACCCTATTTCTATTCTATTCTATTCTATTCTATTCTATTCTATTCTATTCTATTCTATTCTATTCTATTCTATTCTATTCTATTCTATTCTATTTACTCTACTCTACTCTACTCTACTCTACTCTACTCTACTCTACTCTACTCTACTCTACTCTACTCTACTCATGATGTTATTTCGCGTTCAGGAAGTCAGACAGCCCATGGATAAAAACTGTCCTTCAGCCTGTTTGTGCGGCGGACTATGCTTCTATATCTCCTTCCGGATGGTTGGAGGGTAAAGAAGTGATGACCAGGGCGAGAGTCATCCCTGAGGATTTTCCTCACTCTCCTAAGGCAGCGAGCCCTAGCCGTCTCATCTAGTGGTATCGGGGGACGGCCCACAATGTTTTATGCTGTGCTCACCACCCTCGGTAATATTTTTCTATCCGCGGCTGTCAAACCGGCATGCCCTACCGTGATGCAATTCATGATAAAGGATTGAACCGCAGAACCGTATAACTACATTTTTTTCTCTGTTTTTCTTTTTTCTTTTAGGGGGATTTTGTCCTTAAAATTGAGCCTCCCCTAGGGTGGAGCTTTGGTAAGTTGCTATTTTTATAGAAAACGGTCCAGTCGATTCGAAGCTTATCGCAGTTGTGTTATTTGTTTATAAACTATGTTATAATAAACATAGATGTTCGTTAGTTGCTGTTTACCGAAGCCCATCCCAAGATGCCCAATATCTGAAGTCTAAACCATTTTAGAACCTTTTATTTCATTTTACAAGGGCTGTGATTGTGTATTCACACTTCATTGAAAGTGATCCAGTTGTGAGTTTTTTTGTTTTACTTCCGTGTTACCATTTCTGAATCTTTGCGTAGCTCAGGGTTAAACTCTGGAATTCTTGGTGTTTTGTTTGCAGATGTTTCATTTATGGATGAATAGATATTTATAGACGTTTCATTTATTGACCTTTGCTTGCAGATAGTTCATGCATATAAACAGGGAGCAAACTCCATCCTCCCACACACTGATGATGTTACCTAGTTGGGTAATGAAATGTTTGCAAGCAAAAAGCCAAGCTCAGAGCACCAAGGATCCCACAGTCCTCCTCCCCCCGCCCCCTCCTTTTCCTCCTCCTCCTCCTACGTACAAATCCCACTCCCTTCTAACACTGATGATGTTACTTAGTTGGGTAATGAAACGTCTGCAGGCAAATAGCCAGGTTCAGAGAGTATTGTGGACTGCCAGCAGCCCGCGGAGCTGGCAGTGGAGTCAAACAGTGAGGAGGCTGGGGAGGAATATGGGCCAGTCCTGGAGTCTGGGGAAGGCCCGGACGAGGGCTCTGTGTCGGAGGCAGAGATGGGGCCAGGGCCATTTGGGAGTGATGTGCGGACTCCGGATCCCCCAGAGTCGGACAGCAGAGAGGCAGAGGAACAGGAGGAGCCTGTTCCTAGTGCATGCATGCGCAGAGCTGCCAGAAGGCAAGAGCAGCTAAAGCAAAAGGGACGACTCTGGAGTAAGGCCAGGAGATGATTGGCCCCTCCCATAAGGCTTAAAAGAGAAACAGAGGCACTTGGGCCTTTTGCAGGAAAGCAACGTTGCTAACTCTGTTTCCAGTCGGCATCTTTTGTTTGTTTCTGAACTTTGTGGGGCTTTGCCAAGTAAGGCCTTTGGCAGGGTGTCAAAGGAGATAAAGGTTGGTGACTATCCCGAAGGACTAATTCCAAAGGACTTGTTTTGGAACTAATTGGGACTCAGCTGAGAATGAACGTAATTCTCAGCTGTTACAATAAATAGGTTTGTTTGGGACTAATTGTGTCTTGTAATGACTCAGTGAGCCTAGGTCATAACAGAGAGTGCCAAGGCCTGAACCGATTAGAAGTATTTATGCTCAGAACCTAAATCTGCTTTCTATGCTCATTTGCTTCCAAGAGGGAATTCTAATGCCTTCTTATCAGTTGACAAGCTATAATGAATCTAGTGAGAGTTACTTTAAGTAGACATGGATTGGATTGCGCTGTAGGTCAGTGGTTCCCAATCTTTGCGGCTTGGAGTCTTTGGGGTGGAGAGGGGAACCGGGCCACGTGGACAGCGGCCTGGCAGGCACATGTGCACACGCATCTCAAGTGTGCACGCATATGCACACGCCGCTAGACTTGTGCAAGTTGAGCACGCACCTGTACACACGTGTGCCGGGCCCACTGCTCGTGCAAATCGAACTCAGGTGCGTACACACCGGCCCACCACTCACGGAGCCTGGTTCCAAACAGGCCATGGCCTGGGGGTTGGGGGACCCCTGCTCTAGGTGGCTGTAAGAATTGGGTTTGGCGAAAACAAGAGTTCAGACCTGAACTCTTTAATTCGATTGTTTGTAAAAAAAAAAACCAAATGGCTAGTCTTAAGATACAGGTTCCCCTCGCACATCTGTGCTAGTCGTTCCTGACTCTAGGGGGCGGTGCTCATCTCCGTTTCAAAGCCGAAGAGCCAGCGCTGTCCGAAGATGTCTCCGTGGTCATGTGGCCGGCATGACTCAACCCCAAAGGCTCACGGAACGCTGTTACCTTCCCACCAAAGGTGGTCCCTATTTTTCTACTTGCATTTTTTTACGTGCTTTTGAACTGCTAGGTTGGCAGAAGCTGGGACAAGTAACGGGAGCTCTCACCCTGTTACGCGGCGCTAGGGATTCGGCTAGTCTTTAGCAGGAAAGAATCACACGTTTGAGGGTTTTGATCTTCCTTTCCAGAGCCAACGAGCGTGGACATCCATGTTGACGGCGTCAACGACATTTGCACCAAAGGAGGCGATATCAATTTTGTTTTCACCGGCTTCTCAGTAAATGGGAAGGTAAGGGCTTCCTTTTTTAAAAATTTTTATCTTTTGACCGTCGCCTGTGTTTAGGTTGCCAATTGTTGGAAGAAATATCCATCTGGGTTCAGTTCCAAGTGGAGGGAAAGACCCAGGAAACATGGAGGCTGATTGGAAAGATGGTTTATTGATGGACAGGACCACATGGGCTTGAAGTCCTGGGCAGCAGACCTCTTGGAGTTGGGAGAGAGAGAGAGGTATTTATACCCTCTCTTGGGCCTTGCCCTTGAGCTTCCTGTTCCTCTGCAAGAAATGTATTTCTATTGGTTGTCAGACTCCCATGGGGTTATGCAGGGGTCATAACTAACTTTTTAGGTTGTCTGAATTAAGTTTGATTGAAGCCTGGTGTCAGCCTCAGACCTCTGACAGTACTTGGGGCTGCCACTCGTGATGGAATTGCACACTTTCGCCAACAACCCTTCATGTGTGCCTGCTGTCCTGGGATGTCAGCCCCGAGGCATGCCTCTCACTTCGATTTCCCAGCCGCATGCTAGATGACGTCAGGGTCATGCACTGAAGCAGTCTATCAACCTTTATCACTTTAAGTGCGGCCGCGCGGGTGGTTATGGGAGCGACGTGGAGTTCCCATGTAACACCTCTCCTGCGCGAGCTGCACTGGCTTCCAGTGGTCTTCCGAGTGCACTTCAAGGTTCTCGTTACCACCTTTAAAGCACTCCATGGCTTAGGACCTGGTTATCTACGGGACCGCCTGCTACCACCAATAGCCTCCCACCGGCCAGTACGCTCCCATAGAGAGGGGCTCCTCCGGGTGCTGTCGGCCAAACAATGTTGACTGGCGGCCTCTAGGGGGAGAGCCTTCTCTGTGGGGGCACCTACGATTTGGAACGAGCTCCCCCTGGAGATATGGAGGATCCCGGATCTGTGCACCTTGCGTCGCGCGCTTAAGACTTTTTTATTTCATCAAGCTGGCCTGGCCTAAATCTTCTCCCCTTTTTAAATGTAAATTTTAATTTGTTTTAAATTATGGGGTATTTTAAATTCAGCCAAATTATTTAATTCGTTTTTAATTTATTTTAAATTTTTGTATTTATGTGTTTTATCTTGTGGGCTGTTCACCGCCCTGAGTCCTTCGGGAGAAGGGCGGTATAGAAATTTAATAAAATAAAATAAATAATAAAATAAGGAAAGACGGAGCAGCGCGGAACAACTGAAGCGGCCTGTGATGGATTGGGGAGGGAAAGGGAGGATACGGCTTAATGGGATAATTGAGTGATTGCACTGGGGTGGAACTGTATGCTGCTTAAAAAGGTGATGGGGAGCACTGAGCCTCCGCTCCAACAAAGATTCCTTTCTGTAACACTTTAAGGTGGTCAGTTAGTACCGATATCAGGATAAACAAACTTGGTTACTGCTTTTGCGTGCTGAGGTTTATTTTTCCAGTCTTTACGGAACCTGACACCTGGGCTCTGACATGATGTATTGAGGAGGCTTGTGTCCTGAAAAGGTGTTGGACCATTCCTGTTGTGTCTTAATGGCTTTCCTGGTTTGGATCTTGTGTGAGGGCTGATCCTACAATTCTACCTAATTCAGCCTTCCTTCAAAATATCCCGCCTTGAAGGGATTACCAAATCTTGTTAGAGTTTGCAGCAATCCAACCAGCACACGAGTAAATAATTCAGCAGGATTCATGTATAAAAGAAACTTCTTTATATACAGTAATATAAAGCATGATGCATGTATACAATACCCATACGGCAGAAGCCAGAACCAGAACTCAGAATCCAGAAGTACAGAATCAATATAATCACAGAAGCTATATAATACAGAGGCTATATTGCAAGGACAAAGCAACAATTATATACAAATCGGTCAAGCTAAGCCACGCTCAGGCTCCGAGCCGTCTGGGTCACTAAACAGTCCCCATTGGCTGACCTGTTACCATGTCTATTCCAATTCATGAACTCTCATACACTGACAAATCTGCATTTCTAAAAGCTGGCCTCAGGTTAGTACCTGCTTGGGGGGCAGGGAACCGTGGCTCTTGAGTTTCCATTTCCTTTAAGATTTCTATTTCTCTTTTTAGGGGAAATATAATATTCTGCCTTTTTAAATATTTCTCAAAGTATTTCATTCTTCTAGGAGAGGGGTGGGTGCTAACTTGCTACACTGTACAGCCCTGCTTGGTTCTTAAGACCGGTTTGTAACTTGTGCTTGAAGATTATCATTAAGTCTTGTAGGAAGTTAGCACCCACCCCGCTCCTAGAAGAATGAAATATTCTGGGAAATATCAAAAGGGCAGAATGTTTCCCCTAAAAGGGAGGCAGAAACTCAGCGCCCCCCCCTACACACCTTTGTCAATGGGCCATTAAGGCCTGGGCCAGTCTGTTCTACATAACAAAGATTTACCTCCTTTAGGCAGAGCCATAGCAGGAATTGCCCAAAGCCTCTTTCATTACATCATCACCCAGCAAGAGTCAACCAAGCCTGGGACTCAGGATAGCCTACAGAGTTGCCCCTGCATGGCCCCATGGGAGTCTGACATCCAATCGGAACACGAGCTCAAATTCAAAAGCCCAGAGAGGGTATAAAAAGGCACTCTCAGCATCTCTTCCCTTTTCCCCCAGGACCTCAAAAACCACGTGATCCTGTCCACCATTAAAAATCATGTTTCCAGTGTCTTTCTTCCCCACTTGGAACTGAACCCAGATGGACGTTTCTTTCAACAGGCTCAATAAGTTTTTTGTGGTGTCTTTCTCTTGGGTGATACGTATTTTGTTTTTTAAAATTTAAACGTGGTTGAACTTACTGCCTTTTTTCTTGAAAGCTGAAAGGTGGTTGATTTCATTCCTTGCAGGTTCTTAGCAAAGGTGAGTCTCTGGGTCCCGCTGGCGTCCTTGTTGTGCTCAGAAGTCCCAGCACAGGAGTTACTTTACAGACCACAACCACTCAACCCGGAGGGAAGTGAGTGTGAATTTTATTGGCGATCTCAGAACTATTTGCAGTAAACCCCATTTCTCAAGAATTGAACAGAAATGAACAGATTAACGCTGGCAATTAAGGAGAAAGAACAAACTGAGTATTACCGTATTTTTCAGAGTATAAGATGCACCTATCTTTTTTGGGGAGGAAAACAAGAAAGAAAAATCTGCCTCTGCCTCTCAGCAATTTGCCTCCTTGCAGCAAACAGCCTGTTTCAGTTTCATTTTCAGCACAACCTGATTAGCACAAGAAAAAAAAATCTGCCTCTGCCTCCCAGCAATTTGCCTCCTTGCAGCAAACAGCGGAGGCTGAAAATGGCAATGGCAGTCCCTGCAGCCTGAAACAGCTGATGGTCGGGAGGCCGATCCAACTGACAGTCAGCTGCTTGTGCTAATCAGGCTGTGCTGAAACGGGCTGTTTGCTGCAAGGAGGCAAATTGCTGGGAGGCAGAGGCCAAAGGGTGGGGGCCGGTGGGTGGGCGGGGCTACATTCAGTGTATAAGATGCACCCAAAATTCATCAGTGGAACAACTTGCCTGCAGAAGTTGTGAATGGTCCAACACTGGAAGTTTTTAAGAAGAGGTTGGATAACCATTTGTCTGAAGTGGTGTAGGGTTTCCTGCCTAAGCAGGGGGTTAGACTAGAAGACCTCCAAGGTCCCTTCCAACTCTGTTATTCTATTCTATATGATATGGGAATTACTTTTATCAATGGTTAGAGAATAAAAATGGAAGTTGGAAATAAAGAAGGAAATTAAAGAAGAGTAGAAAATATGTTAAGATAGAGATGCAAACAATATAATTGTTAGTATGATCATTAGAATTATTATGCTTAACATTATTATTATATTCTTATTAGAAGATATGTTAGGGGAAAATGAATAAGTTTACTATGTTCAATTGTTTAATATATTATAATTGTAAGATTAGAAAATTAGTATCAATGTAGTTAATGATGTAAATTTTGATGGTTAATGCACAAAAGATATTTGTACTCAGATGACACACTGTTTAAGAGAAGATGGAATGTTTATATATATTTTTTAAAATAAAAACTTAAAAAAAAATAAGAATTGAACGGTATCGGCAACCTGTTGCGTTTCCCCCCTTTTCTTTCTTAACCTGGCTGTGAAAATAGCTAAAGGTTTAGGAGATGTGTTCAAGATCAGTATTTCTCTACCTGGTCAACTTTAGGATGTGTGGACTTTAGTTCTCCCAGAATTCCCCAGCCAGAACTCCACGCATCTGAAAAGTTTCCCAGGTTTGAAAAACAATGATTTAGATCAGGGGTGTCAAACTATGCCCACCCCCATTTTAGCGAAGGGGGAAAAAAAAGTCGCGATACGTCATGCGATGATGCGAATTTGACACCCCTGATCTCGATGGAGAAAGGTGTAGGAAAAACATTCGGTAGGAATGCATAGGTAGTAATTTGAGTTCTTCTAGAGAATAGCCAACTGGGAACACGGATTTTATTGTGCTGTTGGTTCCCAAAACTGGAGGAGGAGGAGGTGAATTTTATCCACTGAATTTTATTTCAATGAATAGGAATATTCCACATGGACTATTTTGGTGTCTTTTCTTTTTTTTTTCCAGGTATGCCTTTTTAAAAGTGCTTCCTGGAGAATATGAAGTCTTCGCTTCTCATCCCACCTGGACTCTGAAAGAGGTAATAAGCGGGACTGTTAGCTTCTTCAGCCAATTCCCAAAGGGAAAGTGATTCTTTCCCAGCTCAGTTCTCTCAAGTTGCCTTGAGCAAGATTTAATGAAACGAAAGCAACCGGGGTCACGAGAATTCCCGCAGCTGAAACTCCTTTGCGTATCGAGCCAGTGTATCCCTGTGACTACTGTGTTTCCCCGAAAATAAGCCCAGGTTTTATATTAATTTTTGCTCCAAAAGACGCATTAGGGCTTATTTTCTGGTTAGGTCTTATTTTGGGGGAAATACAGTACTAAATGCACCCATCTGGCTGAGAGTCTTAACTGAGGCTTATTTTGGGGTTAGGGCTTATATTACGAGCATCCTGAAAAATCATGCTAGGATTTATTTTCCGGTTGGGTCTTATTTTGGGGGGAAACAGGGTATCGAGATGGAGATTTTTCAGTTTTGTTCCTAGCTGCCTTCCTGTGGACTAATGCAGTGGTGGATCTCTTCCCTGATAATGGGGAAGTTTGTAGCTGGTTGTTTACACGACAGTCTTCTGGATCTTTATTGGCCTGGAGCTGCTCATTACACTCTGAAGTGAATGGGTTAAGGAGATGCTATCCATATCTTGATTAGATTTAAAAAAACAAAACAAAACTCATAGACCTTCCTTCTGTTCATGTTTTCTTTGAGCAGGCGAATAGCAATAGCGCTTATATATCGCTTCACAGTGCTTTTACAGCCCTTTCTAAATAGTTTACAAAGAGCCTCTTGCCCCCAACAGTCTGGGTCCTCATTTTACCGAGCTCAGAAGGATGGAAATCTGAGTCAACCTTAAGCCCCATCAGGATCGAACTCCTGGCAGTGGGCAGAGTTTGCCTGCAACACTGCATTCTAACCACTGTGCCACCAGGAGTTGATACAGCGATGTATCTTGTATCCAGCGGTGGAATCTACTTATCTTCACTACTGGTTTGGGTGTGCTCATGCACGGGAGCACACGCACACTACCTGCGCATGCTTCTTCTGCACATGCGCAGATGGTTAAAAAGGGGATGTAATGACCAGTGGTGGGTTCCTCCCTGTTCGGCCCAGTTCCACCGAGCTAGTAGCCGTGACAATATGACGTCACCAAATCGGTTCTGCCCTGCCGCCCCCCCGTCCCCCCCACATTCTTACTTTTTATTTGGCGCCACCCCCAATCTATTGCTGCCTCCTGAGTCCCAGCTGATCGGCTAGAAGGAAAAAAATTGTTTAAACTCTTGCTGCAGGGCTTCAATAGGCCGCCCTACAGTTGATCAGTGTTAAAAGGCAGAGTGGTGGTAGACCGGTGCCTCCAAAAACAAATGGGTAGACCGGTGCCTGCAAAAACAAATGAGTAGACCAGTGCCTCCAAAAACAAATGAGTAGACCGGTGCCTCCAAAAACAAATGGGTAGACCGGTGCCTCCAAAAACAAATGTGTAGACGGATGCCTCCAAATATAAATGGGTAGACCGGTGACTCCAAAAACAAATGAGTAGACTAGTGCCTCCAAAAACAAATGGGTAGACCGGTGCCTCCAAAAACAAATGAGTAGACCAGTGCCTCCAAAAACAAATGAGTAGACCAGTGCCTCCAAAAACAAATGAATAGACCAGTGCCTGCAAAAATAAATGGGTAGACCAGTGCCTCCAAAAACAAATGAGTAGACCGGTACAGCTCTGCAAGCAGTTAAAAGCCTGGTAGACCAGTACGTCTACTAAATCCTAAAGAATTGTCACATGACCATCAAGCCACACCCACAAAATAAGCCACGCCCACAGAACCGGTAGTAAAAAATTTTAGAACCCCTCCCCTGGTAATGACGTCCTGGTGGGTGGGCGGAGCCTCACGCTGCGGCCGCTACCGGTTTGGTGGACCGGATAGAACAAGGGGGATTTCACCGCTGCTTGTATCGTTTTGGGTTCTCACCTGTTGCCCTTGATATTTCAGGCCACCACCACTGTTCGGGTCACCAGCTCCAATGCGTACGCTTCCAGTCCACTCATTGTGGCCGGGTATAATGTCTCCGGATCTGTCCGAAGTGATGGCGAGCCGATGAAAGGCGTCATGTTTCTCCTTTTCTCCTCTTCGGTGGCAAAGGAGGTCAGTCAAGATGTTACGAATCAGAACTATTAGTATGAATTAGCTCCGTCATCGATCGGTTCCTTTCTCCGCCTTGTGTTCCTGGTAGTACTTGATGAAGGCAGTTCCACGAAAGAAGACTCGTCGGGCTGAGTCTGTTCAGGAACCCATTAATGATGGGCTCCTGTTGCGGCTGGCAGAACGGATTGTACCATTCTGGGTCTGTAGGGATTCATATCGTAACTCGAGGCCTACCCGTAAAGTTTAATGTCATAACTTGAGGATTACCTGTAGGAATTAATGTCGTAACTGGAAGCCTATCTGTAGGGATTAATGTCATAACTTGAGGTCTATCTGTAAGGAATAATGTCATAACTTGAGGACCACCTATAGTGATAAATGTCATAACTCAAGGACCAACTGTAGTGATAAATGTTGTAACTCGAGGATCAAATGTAGGGATTAATGTCGTAATTCAAGGACCAACTGTAGGGATTAATGTTATAACTCAAGGACCATCTGTAGGGATTAATGTCATAACATGAGGACCATCTGTAGGGATTAATGTTGCAATTCAAGGACCAACTGTAGGGATTAATGTCCTAACTCAAGAACCACCTGTAGGGATTAATGTGATGTTCTGTCCCTGTCCCACATGCACACACACCAACAGACGTTCAAGAGTTAAAGACCAAACCAGCCGGCAAAATCCTTTTCCTTATGATAACGGGAACTTGGCAACAACCTAGTGGCTGCCTGCCAAGAGTTTATTACTTACGAAGAGGAGAGATAACTTCTCCCCACTTCTGATACATCAAAAGAAACAGCTCAATAATTACAATCAAGTCCAGAGATAATCCAGCAAAGTCTATAGCAAAAGTCCGGCAATGCAGAATGGCGTGGAAGCTTTCAGCTTTGTTCGTCACAAGGTTTGACTGGCCACCACGCTCCCTTTTATATCCTGTGGGGTGTGGTCCAGTGACTCAGCCTAATCTCAGGCACGCCTTTTCTTCTGTTGCGCACGCTTATCTCTGCGATGCTGGCGTGGATCCAGCCAAGACTCATTACCCTCATCACTGTCCATCTGTGGCTGTGTGGACGTGCTTGGCCCTGGTCCTATCACTTGCCCTTTGGCGGACATCGAAGGCATTGCCAGAGAGGAGGGTCCTTGAGAGGGAGGCCTTGCCAACTCCTCCCCTTCACTCTCAGAGTCCTCTCCTGACGATGACACAGGCTCCGGTAACGGAGCCACAACATGTCCTAACTCAAGGACCACCTGTAGGGATTAATGTCCTAACTCGAGGACCATCTGGAGGGATTAATGTCATAACCCAAGGACCACCTGGAAGGATTAATGTCATAACTCAAGGACCACCTGTAGGGATTAATGTCCTAACTCGAGGACCATCTGTACCATCTGTAGGGAGTATTGTCATAACTTGAGGACTACCTTTGAGATTAATGTCATAATTTGAGGCCTCCCTGTAGAGATTAGTGTTCTACCTGTAGGGATTAATGTCGTAACTCGAAGATCCCCTTTGGGATTAATGCCATAACTCGAGGGGCAACCTATAGGGATTAATACTATCTCTTTGCACAGGACATTATGGGCTGCAATTCTTCCCCAGTTGATGGTTTTCCGGCAAGAGATGATTCTCTCGCCTACCTTTGCAATGTCATTTCCAAAGAGGACGGTACCTTTACCTTCCAGTCTCTGCCGAGTGGCAAATACGCCGTGGTGAGTAAGCTACCAGATTTTCCTCAACAGCTCAGCGGCTTCCGATTGTGCTTCCGGCATGCAGTCCGCTCTAAATCCTGCCTTGTAGCGGGGAAAGCATCGATTGATTCCCTTCCAGAATTAGCGGAGGATTTTAGAAACTTTAATTTGGAGAGGATTTTTTTTCTCTCCCCCAGCAGGACTCCTCTGACGTGCAATATTGATAATAATGCTGAAATCAAACGGAAATAATCTGCTGGGGGTGGGGTGTCAGGCATCAGACGCATTATTTCCACCTAGGAAATACATTTCTGCGTTAATGTAGCCGCGTCGAGCTCAGCAAGAAATCTGTTAGCCGTGCTTATAGTTATTAAAACTGATGGAATGTTTTCAGCTGGGGTTTTTTTTCCCTCCCCTCTAGTTTTGGACGCCGCCCAGAATCCGCTGGAGTTGGAAGGCTAATAAATTTTGAATAATAAACTGGCAATTGGTCCCAGTGGTAATATATATAAAAAATCCTGAACTGCTTATATCCGCAGACTCTTGCCTTAATCATTCTGAGGTCTCGGTTAGGATGGTTAGGGCTTGAATTATTTAGTTTCCATCAGTCTGTGAATCTGATTATAATACATTAGTGAGAAAGGCTCCCCCCACTCCCTCCTTTGATAGTAAATTTTACTCGGTGTGGAACTAATCAGTTCTCTCCAGACAGATTCACTCAGAAAGCTGGAGTGTTGACAGCACAGTAAACTAATTTTATTCCAGACTAGCTGTTAAACCGGCGTTGCCCGGGTATTTATTTATCCCAATCGGGTGAAATGCTCCCGGATCGGACTGGATCGCCTGATCTGGTAGTGATCTTGGCCGGTGGTTCAGCAATCTGGTAGCGATGGCGAAGCGAACCTCCGCTCACCCACCTGTGTGACATTACTTCCTGGTTTTAACCAGGAAATAATGTATTTTTTACCTTCTGTGCATGCATTAGACAGGAAGAGCAACTTCACCCTGAGCCCTGATTTCGGCGACAATTAAATTAAATTAATCACCATGGTCATACATTTGTCCTCAAGAATAATCAAAGCCTTGTTGAAAATGTCTGGACCAATTTCTAATGTTGGATTTTCCCCATTACCAGAGGGAGCCTCTTTGTGGAGTACTGTGAAGCTGTTACCATGGCAACTCCACTGTGCTGCACAGTAGAAGCCATTTTCAGGCAGTACAGTAGAAGTCATTTTAAGGCACAACAGGCTGTATCTTAACAGAACCGCCCTCCCCCCCGGAGGGGTGTTAGGGGTGTCTTACCCCCACAGTATTTTTTTTCCAGAGAGTAAGTCATCTGTGTACCAAGTTTGGTTGAAATTGCTCGAGGCGTTCCAGAGTTATGCTGGAGCATACACACACAGACATATATATATATATCTTTCTTCTTTTATATATATATATATATATAAGAAAAGAAGAAAGATAAGATAGTCATGGACCAAGAAACCCAAAAACCAACCAACCAACCAACCCTAAAACCTAGATTTTCTAGCCCAGGTACTAACTATGCATAGGAAAGGATTCTGGTTTGGCCATATATACAGATGTATATCCAATAGGATGGGGAGGAACTAGATTGGATTTGAACATTAAAAGACATTTTAAGCTCTGGATTGCTGTCTCCTTCCAGATACCCTTTTACAGGGGGGAGAGAATTACGTTCGACGTCGCTCCTTCCAAATTGGATTTTGTCGTGGAGCACGATAGTCTCAAAATTGAGGTAGGTTCTGCCAGAAAGATGTATTAGTGCCCTTTCATAAATTCCATTGCAAAGGCCCTCCTTTGGGAAAATGGATGTTTGGAACTCTTTCGGAAAGGGGAGAGACGATAAAAGTCCAACAGGATGTTGTGGCTCGCAGCGGCCAGTGGAGCTGGCAGCAGATTTGGACAGTGAGGAGGTTGGGGAGGAACATGGGCCAGTCCTGGAGTCTGGGGAAGGCTCTGATGAGGGATCTGCGGCGGAGGCAGAGGGGGCCAGGGCCATCTGACAGTTAACAGCTGCCTTTGGAGTCTGACATCAGTGAGGCAGAGGAACAGCTGGAGCCTGTTCCCAGTGTGTGCATGTGCAGAGTTGCCAGACGAAGGGAACAGCTAAAGAACAAGGATCGACTTGGGAGTAAGGCCACAGGTGGACGATGAATGGCCCCTCCCAGAGGGAATAAAAGAGGAGCGAAAGGGGAGTGGAGTTTGCAGGAGACAATTAGTTCCCTTAATTGGTTCGTGACTCTCCGAGACTCCTTGCCAAGTTTTGAAGATATCGGCCTGGCAGCTCTCCAAGCCAGATGAGGTTTGTGACTGTAAATTCTCCCTTGAAAGACTTTGCTGAGCGTGAATGAGAGAAATTCACAGTAACTTAATAAAAAGGGATTTTTTTGTTGGGATAAGGAGTCTGCTTCGTGGTTTGGGAACACCTAGGTCAGAACGCAAGGTTCGAATTCTGTTCATCCTTTTCAGCCGGTCTTCCACGTCATGGGCTTCTCAGTCACGGGCAGGATTTTGAACAGCCCCGAGGGTGAAGGGGTAGCAGATGCCACCGTGATCCTGAATAGCCAGATTAAAGGTGGGTACCAGTTTCGATATTGACCTGGATCAGGGATCTTCAACTTTGGCAACTTTTGGCAACTTGTGGACTTGAATAGAATAGAGCTGGAAGGGACCTTGGAGGTCTTCTAGTCCAGCCCCCTGCTTAAGCAGGAGAACCTATACTATTTCCGATAAACATGTACCGGCTGGGGAATTCTGGGAGTTGAAGTCCACAAGTCTTCAAGTTGCCAAGGTTGGACACCCCAGAAAGATTTTGTACAGCAGCAACAGTTGTATAAAAGGCAATGCAGTGTTGTTGCAAAGACTTAGAAGAAATTGGGGGGTTTAAAGGCTTTAAGAGGTGCTTACTACCGTGTTTCCCCAAAAATAAAACCGGGTCTTACATTAATTTTTGCTCCAAAAGACACATTAGGGCTTATTTTCTGGTTAGGTCTTATTTTTGAGGAAATACGTTATTAAATGCACCCATCTGGCTGACAATCTTAACTGGGGCTTATTTTGGGGGGGGGGGATAGGGCTTATATTACAAGCATCCTGAAAAATCACGCTAGAGTTTATTTTCTGGTTGGGTCTTATTTTTGGGGAAATTGGGTATCATTTGGAATTCTCGACCTGTAGCCAACAAAGTCAATAAGACTTCTGAAAGTTTTAAGTCCCCGTTTCGTTGGAGATGGATAGATTACTTTTATTTTTCTCACGCTTGCCTGCTTGTTCCTTTTTTCTGATTCCAGTTACGACCCGATCGGATGGTTCTTTCCGCCTTGAAAATATCACCACCGGCACGTACACCATCCAGGCTCACAAAGACCATCTCTTCTTCGATACCATCACGGTGAAGATCGCTCCCAACACCCCACAGCTGGCTGATATCATAGTAACGGAGTGAGTGTCCCTTAAGAGTCTCCTTGCTTAAACTGAATTTTTCAGGCCACCATGTGAATTTTGCATTTGTTTCTCCTTTGGTTTTTTAAAAAAACAAACAAACACAGATTCAGCGTCTGTGGGCAGATCTCCGTGACCCGCTTCCCAGATTCGATCAAGCAGATCACCAAATACAAAGTGAACATGTGGCCGCAGGATAAAGAGAAGGCTGTGCTGATGACTACCGAAACAGATGCTCGTGGTGGGTTTTGTTTCAAGGCGAGACCAGGGTTATATGTTCTCCAGGTATTTACAGTCTCTGTTGTTTTCTTTGCTTACGATTGCTTTTCTGTTCTTTTTTTTTTTTTCTGTTACAAACGCATTTGCTCTTGTTTCCTTGGGATTTTTATACTAGAAACAGGGAAGGTTTTTTTAGCTTAAGAATTGCTTGTTTCTACTTTGCAAATGGATATTTTTGCTGTCGGTCTTTTATTTTCTCATTGTTCTGTCCCCGTCCCACACACGCACCCCCACAGATGGCCTGGAGTTAATAAGCCACACGACAAAGTCTTTGAAGATAAAGCTGGCAGCAACCCAGTGGCTAGCTGCCAATTCAGACTTTACTCACACAAAACAAAGATTAGACTGCAAGCATTCCGATAAAGCAGGCAAAGTTTCAGCAATACAAGGATTAGTCCAAATGCAGTCCGACAAGGCAGGCAGAAGTGCAGTAACGCAGAGATCATGGATTATTTCTAGTTTTTGCTCGTCACAAACTGAACCGGCCACCACACCCACATTTATACCCTGTGGGGTGTGGTCCAGTGACTCAGCTAATCTCTGGCACGCCTTCCCCTCTGCTGCGCACGCTTCTCCCTGCGCCTCTGCCGAGGGTCCAGCCAGCACTTAACTCCTTCGTTGCTGTCCACCTGTGGCTGCGGGGACGTGCTTGGCTCTGAGCCTATCTCTTGGCCTTCGTTGTCCTCCAGAGGCATTGCCAGAGAGGAGGGTCCTGGAGAGGGAGGCCTTGCCAACTCCTCTCCCTCACTCTCAGAGTCTGCATCTGTCGATAGCCCAGGCTCAGGCAACGGAGCCACAACACTCATCTATCTGATGTTGTCGGTTTCTCTGTTGCAATTTTACCACTCTAAATACAATTAACATCAATATATACTTTTTTAAACTAAAAAACAAAAAAAAAAAAAACCCAGGGAAACTGAGGCTTTTAATCTTTTGGACCATGTTCCTTTCTTCGTTTCATCTAGATTTTATTGTTGTTATTCCATTTGTTTTTGCACCATCGACAGTCAAAATGTTTTCTGATTCTGGATTCCTCCAGAGGGGAAAGGGGTAGATAGGCAATTATGCATCGTTTGGACTGCAGTTCCCACAATCTCTTAGTAGGGTCTGGGACTAAAGAGGATTGAGGTTTGGAGGGCTCCGGGGAATTCACTGTGCATCCTTCCTGATTTGTTTACCAGCTTTTTCTGAATATAGAAATCAATGGGCTGCGTGCAATTTCTTAAGCCAGGATTCCTTGTCTATCATACGTGAGGGTCTGCTATGTTGAAGTGAGTGGGAGTCTTGCTATTTGCATTTGATTGCAGTAACAGAAGATGGAAAATCATCTGCGGTCCTAAGACAATAGGTAAAAAAAGTAGAATAGATTGCAGTGTTTGTGGCAAACATCACCAAAAAGAGCTATTGGCTGATAGGAAAGGCCTAGAACTGTGATGGTGAACCTATGGCATGGATGCCATCTCTCTTGGCACGTGAGCCATCGCCCATTACTCTTCTGGGTTCCAGTGTGCTGCCCAGCTGGTTTTCACTTGCACGAGAGTGCCAGGAACCGTAAGAACAGCCTCCCGGTGCGCATCTAAGATGATCTTCCAGTTTCTGGTGCGCGTATGCACACCAGCCAGCTGATCTTCGTGTGTGCATGCTCACCAGAAGACCAAGTGGCAGGTGCGCATGCGTGCGCTGGAAACCAGAAGATCATCTTCCTGGCGCACCGGGCGGCTGCTCTTACATTTTCCGGTGTGTGCACTCCTGTTTCGGCACTCTGTGCTGAAAAGGTTCATCAACACTGGCCTAGAAGTTTTATTTTTGTAATTGGGTGTTTGGTTTTTCCAAAATCTCTCCTGGACTCCTGTGTTGCTTTCTTGCAGGTCATTGTTCCCGACGCAGAAGCGAGAGCAGGACTCGCTTTAAAGCCCAAAGTATTTCCTGTTACGGTGGCTTCCAAGCCAGTGCTGGACGTGATCTTCTCTCAGTTCTTGGCTTCCGTTTCCGGGAAGATCACTTGTTTGGGTAAGCTATTTTTCCCTCCTGGTCCATGAAAAACACAGAGTGTGACCTGTCCTTCCATACGACTTATAACTTTGTTGCATGTATCTTTACGATTTATATTGTTTTATTTAGTTTTGTCAGGGTAATGATTTAAGAGCTGATCAGCTGCTACAATGATGTAATGCTAGGAATGAGTCAGCAAGGTTTTTGGGCTGATATCACTTTAAGAGGCTGTAATAAGCAGCGGCCCTGTTGGGGCGTATCTCTTTCTCCGTGTGTGCTTCCGTGCTGTAATTGCTGATTGCTGTTTGTTTGAGGTCTGACTAAAGTACATGTATGTATATATTCTTTATAGATAAAACCACTATTTAAATACAAACTTCTGTTTACTGTATTTGCTCCTGGGTTGTCTCACATAGTCAACACTGTATGCACTCTGAAAGTTTCCTAGTACAATTTATGTTGATTCTATCACTGTGTGGTATCTTATGATTTATGATGAATGTATTTTTATGATGACTATGATCATGATTTATCATTTACAGGTTTTATGTACAATGAGAGTTTAAGCACCGAAGAACAATTCCTTGTGTGTCCAATCACAGTTGGCCAATAAAGAATTCTATTCTATTCTATTCTATTCTATTCTATTCTATTCTATTTCTATTCTATTCTATTCTACTACCCTACCCTACCCTACCCTACCCTACCCTACCCTACCCTACACCCTACCCTACCCTACCCTACCCTACCCTACCCTACCCTACCCTACTCTAGGTTTCTGTTGTGTTGGGTTCACTATCTTGATGGTCACCTTCTGATGGTCCAAGAAGTTGGAATCCAAAGGTAGCCAGAATTCACCTGGCCATCTGTTTTATGACTCATCTGTTCTGATTCCTAATTTCTCTTTCCCGCAGATGCTTGCGGGGAATTGATGGTGATACTTCAGTCCATCCTTCGGCCAGGAGAAAAACGAAGCCTCCAACTTACAGCCAAGTCAACCTCCTTGGCCTTTACCTTTGAAAATGTCCTGCCGGGCAAATACAAAAGTAAGAATCTTGCATGTCCTTACATCTTTTTGGCACAGTGATTATATCAGACTCCTTTTCTGTTTATTTCCAGCATGAGGTTCTTCTCCAGCGAGTCCTTCCTTTTCATTAGGTGGCCAAAGCATTTGAGTTTCACCTTCAGGATCTGACCTCCTAAAGAGCAGTCAGGGTTGATCTCCTCTAGGACAGACCGGTTTGATCACCTTGCAGTCCAAGGGACTCGCAGGAGTCTTCTCCAGCACCAGAGTTCAAAGGCCTCAATTCTTTGGCGCTCGGCCTTCCTTATGGTCCAACTTTCACAGCCAGACATTGCAACTGGGAAAACCATCGCCTTGACTATACGCACTTTTGTGGGCAGGTGTTGTTTTCAGCATTACTCTCTTTCAAATGGCTGATCTTTGGGTGTGCATGATTAAGCAATGTTGGTTATTTAGAAACCAAGTTGATTCGTGAGGCTTCCCTTTCCATGATCCATTTTTCCCCCCTTAATTTCAAGTGAGCATCATCCAAGAAGACTGGTGTTGGAAGAATAAATCCTTGGAGATAGAAGTTGTGGAGGAAGATGTATCGGGCATCGAATTCCGCCAAACCGGTTACATGCTGCGATGTTCTCTTTCCCACGCCATTACCTTGGTAGGTAACCAAATCAAATTCATTAAACGTTTGTAACTATTCATGAGCCTTGGTGGAGCAGTGGTTAGCGTACAGTACTGCAGGCTTCTTCTGCTGACTGCTGGCTGCCTGCGATTTGGCAGTTCAAATCTCACCAGGTTCAACGTTGGACTCAGCCTTCCACCCTTCCGAGGTGGATAAAATGAGGACCCAGATTGTTGGGGGAAAATAGGCTGACTCTGTAAATCGCTTAGAGAGGGCTGTAAAGCACTGTGAAGTGGTATGTAAGTCGAAGTGCTATTGCTATTAGGAGCCCTGGTGGCACAGTAGTTAGAATATAATATTGCAGGCTGATTCTGCCCACAGCCAGCAGTTCGAACAGGAAGTTTGGGCTCGATCGTAAGTCGAGGACTACCTGTTCACGAATGTCTTCTGGGCTTAGGCCTTCAAGCTTATTTCTCTCTCCATCTTTTGACTGGGATTCTAATGCTCTTTAGGAATTCTACCAAGATGGAAACGGACCGGAAAATGTTGGTGTTTACAACCTGTCCAAAGGTGTGAACAGGTTCTGCCTCTCCAAACCAGGTAGGAATCCTTGAGAGACAAGTTGAAAACGAAAGCAGTTTCTTTGCAGCGCATTTTGGAGCTCAAGATGAACAGGAGAAGATATTTTTGGAGGCAAAAATATGTCAAGGGATTGTCGTAAAAATGAGAGGCACACGTTTTGTGCTTCTAAAGCACAGGTTTTGGATTGTGACATTTTGACTGTGCGTTGTGAGGGCCGGCCATTCCTGATTAATTCAGCAGATAACCCTGGTTTAGGCGATACCTGAACCAGATCAGAGGAAAAAAAAAAAAAACGAGTTGATCCATACGTTGTTGAAGTTGACTTGATGCCTTCTGTTTAAGATGACAGTTGAGCAGAAAGGAGTGGAGGTCAAGAAGAAGAAAAGGCAGAAGACCAGCGGTGAAATGCAGCTGGATCTATCCGGTTCGCGCGAACTGGTAGCGCTGGCAGCGGGAGGCTCTGTCCTCCCGCCGGGATGTCATTACGTCCCGTTTTTGATCCTCTGCGCATGTATAGAAGCCTCTGCGCATGCACAGAAGAGGTGCGTGTGCAGAAGACCTTCTGTTTTTCTTAACTGTAAAGAAATAGGAACATTTTGCAGGTTTTCGGGCAAAGCTAGATTAGACTAACTATAGTTTGATGCAATATCTGGATGAACAAGTCATATTTAATAATCAGAGAACAGCAGAAGAACCTGTGGGTTGAAATAGTTTGGAAATAGTGATGAACCGCTTGGCTTCTTTTCAAAACCTAATGCTTTCAAGTTGCAATGAACTAGAGGGAAGGAAAGGGGAAATGGAATGCCGAGATGGTATGCGGAGACCGTGGGAGCATGGAAGCCATCAAGGTCACCGCTGTAGGTGCTTGAGAAGGAGATGGACTGTTCCCATAACAAAAGGACGTCTCATTATTGGACAATGTCATCACCCAGGGATGGGGAGAAGGGGAAACTTCTGTTTAACCAGGCAAGGATTTGCACGGGAAAACCAGAGCTGGTTTTTTTTCTTCAGTACCCAAATGGTGTACCCAAGAATGTGTTCCTTTTGGGAATTCAAACCTCCCGAGAGTGTTTGCTTGTTAGTCGGACCATTGACCCTGTCTATGTGTAGCTGACAAAACTCAAAACTTGTGTAACTGACAAAACTTTTCTGGATTTTAGAAAAAGTTAAGGTAAAAAGATAAACCTTGAAAAAGGCTGGGGGGAAAAAAGGAGGTGTGGACACAAACAAGGGACATTCTACCACATGTGGTGGACTTGTCCTAAGATTAGGAAATTTTGGGGCAAGATTAAAAAATGGCTGGATGAAATAACAGGGCAGAAGATTTTAAGGAAGCCGGAATTTTTCTTGTGGGTATTCTGGAAGGGAAAATGCAGAAAAGTATACAATATATCATCTTACACATACTAACGGCAAGTAGAATTGTGATAGCACAAAATTGGAAACAATCAAACACCTCTCCGGATCAAATCATAATAAAAAAATATATATACAAATGTGCAGAGATGGACAGATTATCTATGGAAATGAAGGAGAGGGAGGACACCGAATATAATATGGAATAAATGGTATTCCTGGTTGGAGAGTAAACATAAAACTTAAGGGATGTTTTTGTTAGGAGATCGAATTGTAAATAGAAGTCAAGATAATTTAGATAAAGATGTAAGTTTAAGATAGAGATATTTAGAAGTAGAATTTGTGTAAAGAGATTAAATAGGCTAGAGATACCGATGCAGAAAAGTAGTTATTAGTATTGAAATTTTGATATGTTTGTTTTTGGTTGTTTATATATTTTGTGTGTGTGTGTGTGTGTGTGTTTTTCTTGCTTTTTTTGTGTATTATGTTTCTTTTTGTACTGTGTATTTTAATCTTTGGAAATTTAATCAATATTATTTAAAAAAAAATAAGTTCCCAGGCAGACTTAACATCATGCCAGTTAAGGCAGAATCTCTGAAGAATTTCCTTCCCACGGCCTCTACCTCTGCTGGATTTTTTTTAAAACTAGTCCAACTCCTTTGCCAGCTTCGCGCAGGCTGGAACGATTTTGAAATATGAGGCAATGTTTTTCTTCATCCTCTCTCCAGGTGTGTATGAAGTTACACCCCGCTCCTGCCACCGATTTGAACACGAATATTACACCTATGACACGTAAGCATGGTTGATGGGGAAATATTTGGGACGGTGTCCCCATCATGAGTCGTCCGAAGGAAGCGGTTTGAGGGTTGCTTTGATGCGTGTGAAGTTGTGGGCCGATTGCTTCTTTGTGGGTTCTAAAAACAGTGATGGCGAACCTTTTCGGGAAGCGAATGCCCAAACTGGAACGTGTATGCATGTGCGTGTACTGGAGCACTGGAAACCTGAAGACCAGCTGGCCGGTGCATACATGCCTGGTTTTTTTGCCGTTTTTCAGGCTGTTTCGAAAAACGGTCTGAAAATGGCCTGGGAAATGGCCCAGGAAACGGCCCCAAAAACGGCCTGAAAAATGGCCCTGAAAACATCCTGAAAAATGGCCCGAAAAATGGCCTGGGTTTTGGCCATTTTCAGGCCGTTTTCTGGCGCTCCGGCACCCGTGAAGACCAGCTGGTCGGCGCGCACATGCCTGGTTTTTTGCCGTTTTTCAGGCTGTTTCGAAAAACAGTCTGAAAATGGCCTGGAAAATGGCCCAAAAAACAGCCTGAAAATGGCCTGGGTTTTGGCCGTTTTCTGGCGCTCCGGCACCCCTGAAAACCAGCTGGCTGGCGCGCCAGAAGTCAGAAGAGCAGCTGGCGACAGTGCGTGTGCCCACAGAGAGGGCTCTGCGTACCATCTCTGGCACACCTGCCACAGATTCGCCATCACACAGTTCTAAAACATTTCACCCTCAGAAGATGGGGGAGGCCATCTTGCCTTGTGGGGAAATGGGCCATGCTCACCTTGGCCACAATTTTTGTGAACAACGTAGCTCCACCCTGGCTGACATTTTATGGATAAGGATGAGCCTCCCTGTAGTAGCCATTTTATGAGAATTGCCCTAACCTCATCCGTCTCCAAATGTTCCTTTGGGTTAGACAAGGTGACCCAACTTCAGAAATAGTTTCTTTTACTATAAAACGACTTCGATAAGCTTTATCAGTCTCTTTCCATAGTTTTAGACTTGAAACCCAACTGGAGCGAAATAACGTTTTCCTTTCTAAATTTCTGTAACCTGTAGGGGTTGTTGTGACCCACTTAGGCCTACAGAGGTTTCCAAAGGTTTCCTGCCAATAAGGCCATGGCTTCTTGTATCCAAAGTCTGATGTGAGGTAACTCTTGAGTAAGTTTTTCTTGTAATTCCACTTTTTGGTTGGGTTATTGATCCAGGTCTGCTCCAAGTATCTTGACCTTGACTGCAATTCGTCACCATGTGCTTGGGACAATTACCACGGACAAACTGATGGATGTGATGGTTACCATTCGGTAAGAGTCGACCCCCGTTCCTTAGCTGTTCCCTTCTCCTGGCAGCTCTGTGCATGCGCACACCGGGAACAGGCTCCAGCTGTTCTTCTGCCTCACTGATGTCCGACTCCGAAGGCAGTTGACAACAGTCAGACGGCCCTGGCCCCCTCTCTGCCTCCGACGCAGAGCCCTCATCAGAGCCTTCCCCAGACTCCAGGACTGGCCCATGTTCCTCCCCAACCTCCTCACTGTCTGAGTCTGCCACCAGCTCTGCTGGCCGCTGGCGGGCCACAACAGTTCCGTTTAGTCCTTGATGCGTCAAGATGAAACAGTTGAGTTCAAGGATTGAAGAAGCTGCAGTGGCTTTTCACAAGGCAACATTTCCCCCCCCCTCTTAGGTCTTCAATTGACAGTGAACCTGATCTGGTGCTTGGGCCATTGAAATCCCAACAAGAGCTACGTCAGGAGCAGCAGCGGGCTGAAATAGAGGCTCGCCGGCAGGAGAGAGAGAAGAAAGGACTAGAGGAAGAAGGATCTAAGCCACCAGTGCAGGAAGTGGTGGAGGAGCTCTTGGGGCCATTCCACTATGACTTTTCCTATTGGGCAAGGTACGCGGACCGTGTGTTGATGAAAACCCTTTTGTGTGTGTGTGTGTGTTTGTTTACATTCTGCCTTTATGGTTTTTTACAAATAATATATTGAACATATCCAACAGAATGTCTTTCTCCTATTGTCGCCACAACAACAACCCTGTGAGTGAGTTGGGCTGAGAGAGAGAGGGGGAGAGAGAGAGAGTGACTGGTCCAAGGTCTCCTCAATTGGTTTAGGGATGGGACTAGAACTCACAGTCTCCTGGTGATTGGCCCAAAGTCATCCAGCTAGTTTTCATGGCTAAGGTTGGGACTAGAACTCACAGTCTCCTGGTGATTGGCCCAAAGTCACCCAGCTAACTTTCATGGCTAAGGTTGGGACTAGAACTCACCGTCTTCTGGTGATTGGCCCAAAGTCACCCAACTAATTTTCATGGCTAAGGTTGGGACTAGAACTCACAGGCTCCTGGTGATTGGCCCAAAGTCGCTCAGCTGGCTTTCATGGCCAAGGTGGGACTAGAACTCACCGTCTTCTGGTGATTGGCCCAAAGTCACCCAACTAATTTTCATGGCTAAGGTTGGGACTAGAACTCACCGTCTCCTGGTGATTGGCCCAAAGTCACCCAGCTAACTTTCATGGCTAAGGTTGGGACTAGAACTCACCGTCTTCTGGTGATTGGCCCAAAGTCACCCAACTAATTTTCATGGCTAAGTTTGGGACTAGAACTCACCGTCTTCTGGTGATTGGCCCAAAGTCACCCAACTAATTTTCATGGCTAAGGTTGGGACTAGAACTCACAGGCTCCTGGTGATTGGCCCAAAGTCGCTCACTGGCTTTCATGGCAAGGTGGGACTAGAACTCACCGTCTTCTGGTGATTGGCCCAAAGTCACCCAACTAATTTTCATGGCTAAGGTTGGGACTAGAACTCACTGTCTCCTGGTGATTGGCCCAAAGTCACCCAGCTAACTTTCATGGCTAAGGTTGGGACTAGAACTCACCGTCTCCTGGTGATTGGCCCAAAGTCACCCAGCTAACTTTCATGGCTAAGGTTGGGACTAGAACTCACCGTCTTCTGGTGATTGGCCCAAAGTCACCCAGCTAACTTTCATTGCTAAGGTTGGGACTAGAACTCACCATCTTCTGGTGATTGGCCCAAAGTTGCTCAGCTGGCTTTCATGGCCAATGTGGGACTAGAATTCATGGTCTCTTATATTCACAGTCTCTGTTGATTGTGAAGGAGCTTCCCTAGAGTAGTTGAAAGGGGGTTTCTTCAAATTGCCTTGTTTCTGACAGTTTAGACTAAACCAGGTATGTGGCTTCGGATGCTGTTGCCATTTTTTGGACTTCGTAATTTAAAATGTAATAAATAAACATTCACTAGCTATGAATTTAGAGCTACTAGGAGTTGTACAACAAGTCTTTTGGAAATTTTGGACTAAATAGTCTTAAGGTCCAACCCTCTTATTGTGTGATTTGTAGATCTGGGGAGAAAATCACGGTGACACCATCATCTAAAGAACTTCTTTTCTACCCTCCTTCCATCGAAACGGTGGTCAGCGGTGGTAAGTCTTGACAGTTATTCCGCAGTATTTTCAAGGCTTCTCTCAAGTGGGACAGCAGGGAATCAGGAAAAATACAATTCCTTCTGCTAGAAATCTGAAAGAATGATCACTGGTTAAAAGTGGACAGTGTCATTCTCCCAAACCCAAGAAAGACAAAGAGTTACTTCTAAGCAGCTTCTTTTATTGTTCCTACCTGTAGACAGATTCTTGCCAAAGTAAAGCAGATTATTTGCACCATTAAAGATATATTCCAGTGTTGTGGTCCGCCAGCAATCTGCGTAGCTGGCAGAAGAGTCAGACAGTGAGGAGGCTGGGGAGGAACATGGGCCAGTCCTGAGTCTGGGGAAGGCCCGAATGAGGGCTCTGTGTCGGAGGCAGAGATGGGGCCAGAGCCATCTGGGAGTGATGCGCGGACTCCGGAGCCTCCAGAGTCGGACAGCAGAGAGGCAGAGGAACTATTATGTTGGATATCATCTCCTGGCCTTACTCCCGAGTTGTCCTTTTTGCTTTAGCTGCTCTTGCCTTCTGGCAGCTCTTCGCTTGCGTGCACTAGGAACAGGCTCCTCCTGTTCCTCGGCCTCTCTGCTATCCGCTTCTGGAGGCTCCGGAGTCCGTGCATCGCTCCCAGATGACCCTGGCTCCATCTCTGCCTCCGACGCACAGCCCTCATCCGGGCCTTCCCCAGACTCCAGGACTGGCCCATGTTCCTCCCCAGCCTCCTCACTGTCCGACTCCACTGCCAGCTCCACAGGCTGCTGGCGGACCACAACATTTTCAAACCATCTCTGTTGCTTTCTCCTCTCACTAGATAATGCATGTACTGTCCATTAACCACAGGATCTCTCCTATTTGGAAGTGATCCCCTTTCATCTTCTGTAGCCTTTAAGGCAAATCAGAACATCCTGGATTGTTGAGTAAGAGCAATGTGTGGGGGAGTAAATAGTGCATCGTTGATGCAACATGTGTCAGGCCTGGAAGCCATCTTTTGCATTGGATCTTCAGGCCTGCCACATTTACTACTGTGGGAAACTGGGAGGGGGGATTGTATGGAGCAAGGGTGATATGTAGTCATAATAACATTCCTTTCTCAGAGAGTCAAGGCCATCTTGCCCTGCACCTGGAGGGCTGGAACTGGGAGGCATCTCCAGTTGAGACAGTGCTTTGATTGGACCTTGTGATGGACATGTGGGTGTTGGGCAGGGACCTGGATTTTCCTTTGGGTGGGGAAAACCTGGGAGCTTTCAGATTCGGGTTTTCCCAGATGTGCCAATGTGACATCTCTAATAAAATGGAACTTTGAGGAAACTCAAGCCTCGGAGTCTTCTTTCGTTGGGGGTGTCACTTGGAACCCTGACATTAACCCGAATCTCCTTTAAAAAATTCAACCAGCTCCCCCTAACTCCGGGGTGCTGTAAGGGGTCCTGAGCCCCGAACGTCGACCCAAAACTGGGCGGCGTGAAGACTCAGGGAAGATGGAGGGACAACGTGCTTTACACAGATCAAGATTTCTCACCTGTGAAATGATCCGAATTTATCTCTTTGGATGAGCCATAGTATAATTTGAATGGACGTTCCCTTGCAACAAATCCCCCCTCTCCTCCCCAATTAATTTTCAGTGTGTTTCATTAATAGTGAAGCTTGCAGGATTGCTGGCAATTCCTATTAACACTCCTGTTCGCGCCTAAATTTTTGCAACTTCTTCACCACCATCGTACTCCCTGCCTTTGTTTCAGAAAGCTGTCCTGGGAAGCTGATAGAGATATACGGCAAAGCGGGTCTCTTCCTGGAAGGACAGATTCACCCCGAATTGGAAGGGGTTGAGATCGTAATTTCTGAAAAAGGAGCGCCTTCCCCCTTGATCACGGTTTTCACAGATGATAAAGGTTCCTACAGGTAAATTCTAGTCCAGGGGGTTCGACTAGAAGACCTCCAAGGTCCTTCCCAACCCAATTATTCTACGTTCATAGATGGCAGTAGTTGATATTCCTTCCCCTTCAACCATTGCCAAATGTGTCCTTTAGATTAGGGGTCCCCAACCCCCAGTCCGTAAACCGGCACTGGGTCCGCGACATGCCCAGAAATGGGGCCGTGGAAAATATTGGATTGTGCAGAGATGGATAGATTGACATTGAAAATAAAAGATAAAGGAGATACAGAGTATTATTTAACGTGGAATGGGTTTTATCAAGGGTTAGAGATAAAGAGGTAGAAATTAAATGAAGAAAGACCATTGTTGTAAGGATCGCCTCTCCGTCCAATTTAAGAAAGTAAAAACTCTTGAAATGTGGTTGTTCAAAAGAGACCTTTTATTAAGCAGAAGTGACAGCCATCCAGATAAAGCACGATCTGAATAGCCTTAGGCAAGACAAGTAGGATTAAAGCAGTAGAGACCCCTCCCTTTAAGTCAGATTGCAGATTTTAGCCAATACACAAGCGTGAAGCTGTTTCCTTTACTATTTCCTCTGAGAACCCGAACAAACATGCATTCCCACCATTATACTTTAAAGTGAGGCAACCCACATGGCTATCATAAAAATTCCTCCAGGTAAAGGGGATCTCAGGGCTCTTTGGCCCCAGGATATAGGTTGTAAAATATCTGTTGACACAGGCCATGCTAGTAAATCGAATCCAAGTCTCTCCCTTCCTCCAATTGAATGGCAGTATCACTTTTAGGGATCTGACAATTGTTATGTGTAAGTAAAATACGAATGTTGTTTATAACTATGTATGTATGCTAATATAATTAATAGGATCATAAATAAGCTAATATAATTATAAATATGGTTAGAATCATTATGTGTATTATTATTATTACTACTATCAGTATATCTGTTACTTTTTCTTTTTTCCCTTCTGTAAAATGAAATATCAGGACAATACACTGTATTCAAAATACTTACTGTATTTTTCAGAGTATAAGACACACTTTTTTCCCCTCTAAAAGAGGGTGAAAATTTGGGTGCATCTTATACACTGAATGTAGCCCCGCCCACCCGTTGGCCCCCAACCTTTGGCCTCTGCCTGCCAGCAATTTACCTCCTAACAGCAAACAGCCCGTTTCAGCTTCAGCACAGCCTGATTAGCACAAGCAGCTGATTGCCGTTTGGATCGGCCTCCCGACCACCAGCTGTTTCAGGCTGCAGGGATTGCCATTGCCGATTGCCGCGCAGGCCTCCGCTGTTTGCTGCAAGGAGGCAAATTGTTGGGAAGCAGATTTTTTTTTTCTAGTGCTAATCAGGCTGTGATGAAAATGAAAATGAAACTAAAGCAGGAAACTAAAGTTTGCTGTTTGCTGCAAGGAGGCAAATTGCTGGGAAGCAGATTTTTTTTTTCTTGTGCTAATCAGGCTGTGCTGAAAATGAAACTAAAGCAGGCTGTTTGCTGCAAGGAGGCAAATTGCTGGGAGGCAGAGGCAGATTTTTTTTTCTTGGTGCGTCTTATAGTCCGGAGCGTCTTATACTCCGAAAAATAAGGTATATATAAATTTTAAAAGCTTGACTTAAAAAAAGAAAGAAAAGAAACCGGGCTGTGCAAACAAGCGAAGCCCCATCCGTGGGATGCAGGCAGCACATGAAACCCAACCCCCTCCGATCTGCGGAAAAACCTCTTTCCACGGAACCGGTACCTGGTGCCCAAAAAGTTTTGAGGGGGGAAGGAAACCACTGCTTTTGATGAGTTGGCTTTTACAGGTTATGAAGATGAATCTCATCTGGAAGACTTCGGGGGAAATTGTGTTGCCTGCCTCATGATGGGTTGTTTTGGATAGCCGGTTCCTCCCTTGTCAACTGAGATTCTCTGCTTTGTCTTCCTTCTCCCCCCCCCCCCCCCCCAAAAGCGTGGGACCGCTTCACAGCGATTTGGAATACACCGTGACTGCTCAGAAAGAAGGGTTCATTTTGAGCGCCGTGGAGGAGACCGTTGGAGATTTCAAAGCTTTTGCTCTTGCCGGGGTCACTTTTGAGGTAAACCTTCTCCAGATCTTCTGGGAAAAAAACCTTGCTTGCTTTACCCCCCCCCCCCTTCCCCCCCCCCGTTTTTTTAGACTATTTGGGTTGTGTCTTCCGAGCAGGGGGTGGATAATGGATATGTTGTCGGAGACTGTAGTAAAAGTAGTCCTTGATTTATGACCACAATTGGAATCGGATCACAATTTTAGTGTCAAGCAGATGTTTGGGGCTGGATAGGTTCCTTTTCAAACTTCTTAAATTGAGGTAGTACAGTTTTCTTTCAGTCTAAATCTGCAGCGATTTACCGTATTTTTCAGAGTATAAGACGCACCTTTTTCCCCCCTAAAAGGGGGTGAAAATTTAGGTGCATCTTATACACCGAATGTAGCCCCGCCCACCGACTGGCCCCCACCCTTTGCCCTCTGCATCACAGCGGTTTACCTCTTTGCAAGCAAACAGCAAGAAAAAACCGCTCCTTTCAGCTTCAGCACAGCCTAATTAGCACAAGTTGTTTGGATCGGGCCTCCTGACTCTCAGCTGATTTGCTCTCAGCTGTTTTGCGCAGGGCTCTGCTGCTTGCTGCAAAGAGGTAAATTGCTGGAGCAGATTTTCTTTTTCCTTGTGCTAATCAAGCTGTGCTGAAAAGCGAAAATGAAAGTAAAGCAGGCTGTTTGCTGCAATGAGACAAAATTGCTCAGAGGCAGATTTCTTTTTCTTCTTTTCCTCACCAAAAAAGGTAGGTGCGTCTTATACTCCGAAAAATACAGTAGGTAATATCATCAGTGCTAGAAGGGAGTGGGGTTTGAGAGTGAGTGCCACACCCTTACTAGCACTGATGATGCTACTTAGTTGGGTCATGAAACGTCTGCAAGAAAACAATCAAGCTCAGAAAGCACCAAGGACACCACAGTTCAACCCTGACCTACAGATATTCTGATATTCTCCCTTGGTCCAAAGATGCTTTTTCAAGAGGCAACTGGACTTTCTGGTTTGGGACAACCATGACCTGGATGTCTGAGACTCTCCATTTTTTCCTTGGCTTTTCCTTGCCAGAAATGGAGAAGTTAGGTCCTATTTGAAGATCTTCAAATAAGAGCCCACCATACTACGGAGTGGAAGGAGATCTGTTGGGCAGTGCTGGTATTCAGCCTGTCCCTGCCCCCCGCCCTGGTGCTATGCCATCCTATTTAGCCACGTTTTCTAAGCCACATGCATGTGTGCAAGCCACGTGCATGAGCAAAGCACATACACCAAATGCCACATGCGCACGCTCACTTACATTTTCGGCGCGCGGCGAACTGGTGGTAAAATTATGCGAAACCCATCTCTGCTGTTGGGTGAACCCTTGTTCAGTGTCAAGACGTGTGGCTACTATGTTCTTCTCTTCACTCTTTGTTGTCCTACCCAAAGGGGAGAATGTTAGGAAATGAGTATTACCTACCTTGTTGGGTTGGCAATATATAAACCATCGATGTAGCTTTAAGACTGCTGTATTGCATCATACTATGTCCTGATTGGTTAGCTCTGTAGCCAATGTCCTTAAGAGGGAGCTAGAAACATGGTTTGTTCTCTTTGCTGTTCTTGCTCTCTGATATCTCTGCATGCTAATGTTTGCAAATCCAGAAGAACTGTTTATTGTGAATGACTACGACGACTGGTAAGAAGACTTTGTTATTGGATTATCCCCGGACTGTCGTTTTGGCTATCTCCTGCTTTATATGTGTATGACCTGGACTGTTTATTGGACTGTGCCTTACTATTTCCTGAAAGTAAACACAACCCACTGTATCTGTGTGTTGATTGTGTTTATTCGTAACGACTCTCAGTTGCTTTCATGCGCACGCCCTTGCTACTCAAGGGTGACTTTGCGTATTCCTTAACACTCTTCCTTCAAAAAGTCAGATTTAATCCTTTCACCTGGACCACTGAGGCTGCACTGAGCCAGCTTTGATAGCACGTCGCTTACGTTTTTCGTTTGGACAGATTAAATCTGAAGATGGTCATCCCCTTGCAGGAGTTCTCCTTTCGCTCAGCGGTGGTACCTTCCGCTCCAACCTCCTGACTCAGGACAACGGCATGCTGACGTTCGCCAACTTGGTACGGCTTTTATATTTACAGCTTCGGCCAGGTCACCAAAGGTGGGGGGGGGGAGAATTCCACCCAGTTGCTTCTCCTTCCGAAAGGTTGCCCCACAGCGGTCACGACCTCCAGCCAGATAGACTTTTAGGTTAGGAGATGGTGAGAAATAGCAATAACAATAGCATTTAGATTTATGTACTGCTTCACAGGGCTTTACAGCCCTCTCTCAGCAGTTTACAGAGTCAGCCTCTTGTCCCCCAACCATCTGGGTCCTCATTTTAGCAACCTCGGAAGGATGGAAGGCAGAGTCAACCTTGAGCCCGTCAGGATCGAACTGCTGGCAGTCGGCAGAGATAGCCTGCAATACTGCATTCTGACCACTGCACACCATGGATGGATGGATGGATGGATGGATGGATGGATGGATGGATGGATGGATGGAAGGAAGGAAGGGCAATAGCACTTAGACTTATATACCGCTTCACAGTGCTTTACAGCCCTCTCTAAGCGGTTTACAGAGTCAGCCTCTTGTCCCCCAACAATCTGGGTCCTCATTTTAGCGACCTTGGAAGGATGGAAGGCTGAGTCAACCTTGAACCAGTCAGGATCAAACTGCTGGCAGTGAGCAGATTTAGCCTGCAATACTGCATTCTAACCACTGCGCCACCACGACTCTCGGTACAATTTGCAATCTGGATGGCCTCCAAGTCGTGTTTGGATGGAGTAGAGCAGTGATGGCTAACCTTTTCCGGACAGAGTGCGAATGTACGAATACGTGCGTGTGCGCATGCCCTAACCCCCCCAAATGCAATGTGCACATGGTCCCCGAATATGCACTCCACCTCCTTTGTACATGCCCCGACCATATGCACCCCACCCACCCCCATGCGCGGCAGAGACCTGACAACCAGGTGGCTGGCGGGAAGCACATACGCATGCGCGGTAGAGCTGAACTGGGGCGACGGTGCGCGTGCCCACAAAGAGGGCACTGCATGCTACAGGTTCGCCATCACGGGAGTAGAGCCTTAGTGACTCTTGAGACTACAGTACAGGTAATCCTTGATTTACAACCACAATTGGGATCAGGATTTTCATTGAATAATAAATAATTGCTTAATGCATTGTAAGCCGCCCTGAGTCTCCGGAGAAGGGCGGCATATAAATCTAATTAAAATAATAATAATAATAATTAAACCTCTCTGATTCTGGGATGTTAGGAGGGGAATAACAATCAACGAATGGTTCTCCTTTCACAGAGTCCTGGGCAGTACTACTTCAAGCCAATGATGAAAGAATTTCGCTTCGAACCCTCATCCCAGATGATTGAAGTTCAGGAGGGCCAGAATCTTAAAATCGCCATTGTTGGTTACCGTACGGCTTACAGGTCAGTAAATGTGAACTTCTGCCAGTTCAGGGCTCAGGGCTGGAAAATTGGGGCTGAATTTGGTGGAATTATCTGAACCAGAGAGTAGGAATATAGCAATAGCACTTAGACTTATATACCGCTTCATAGTGCCTTCACAGCCCTCTCTGAGCGGTTCGAATCCCTAGTGCCACGTCACGGGGTGAGCTCCTGTTCCTTGTCCCAGCTTCTGCCAATCTAGCAGTTTGAAAGCACATAAAAAATGCAAGCAGGAAAATAGGGACCACCCTTGGTGGGAAGGGAACGGCGTTCCGTGCACCTTTGGCGTTGAGTCATGCTGACCACATGATCACGGAGACATCTTCGGACAGCGCTGGCTCTTCGGCTTTGAAGCGGAGATGAGCACCGCCCCCTAGAGTCGGGAACGACTAGCACGTATGTGCGAGGGGAACCTTTACCGTTACCTTTTAGAAGTTTACCATCTCCTGGTGATTGGCTCACAGTCACCTGACTTTTATGCCTAAGGTGGGACTAGAACTCATCGTCTTCTGGTGATTGGCTCATAGTCACCAGGTTTTCATGCCTAAGGTGGAACTAGAACGCACTGTCTTCTGATGATTGGCCCAAAATCAGCTGGCTTTCGTGTGTAAGGCGGGATTAGAACTCAACATGTCCTGGTGACTGGCCCAAAGTCACCCAGCTGGTTTTTTCAAGGCTCAGGCTGAACTAGAACTCACCATCTCCTGGTTTCTAGGCCAGCAGCTTAACCACCGCACCAAGTTTTAATTCAAGGGTGTCACTTGAGCCTTACCTTCCTCCTCTTCTCTAGCTGCTACGGCACCGTTTCTTCTCTGAACGGGGAACCTGAGCAAGGGATTGCGGTGGAAGCGGTAGGACAGGGGGAGTGTGCCATCTACGGAGAAGACACCATCACGGATGAAGAGGGGAGATTCCGTCTACGGGGTCTGCTGGTGAGTACAGCAGAATTGGTGCAAGCTCCTATTGGGTTTGAGTTAAGCCACCGGCAGTTTTTAAGGGGGGTTGGGGGGTGTTGTAACTCCAAAGCCTGAATTTACTCATCTTACTGAGCCATAATATGCTGGGTAAACTCGCTTCTTTTAATTAGAAAATATGGATTTGTGGATTAGCATCAGGTGAATCCAGCTACTTAACGTCTTCTTCAACAAGTTGTGATTCAGTTAAGTCAGTGGCCTTTGCGAAAGCCGCTGCGTACGTCATAATGACAACGCTTAACCGTGGGAGTGTTAAATCCACGTTGTTTTTCTTAATTTTATACATAAAAAAGCCGTCCTGCCTGTATCACATTCAACTGAAAGCCGAAGGCAACGATCACATCGAAAGAGCTCTTCCGCAGTATTCTGCTATTCAGGTATTCTGTTCTTTTTATAAATTGGATGGATGGATGGATGGATGGATGAACAAATGAATGAATGGATGGATGGATGGATAAACAAATGGATTTAGGAAATCATGACCACTGTTCAAAAGAATGTTCCAGAATAGAACAGAACAGAATAGGAGTTAGAGGGTAGGGTAGGGTAGGGTAGGATACTCCTGTTCTCGTGAGTCTTCTCCTTCTCGACCCGTAATCCTTTCTCCCCTTCCTCCACCCCCAAATTGTAGGTCGGCAGCGATGACGTTGACAATGTGAACATCGTGGCTTTTCGCCAAATCAATCAATTTGATCTGAGCGGAAATGTGATCACCCCTTCCGAGTACCTCCCTACTTTATGGGTGAGTTAAGTACGGGTGGAATTGTCTAGATTTTTTTTTTTTCAGGGTGCAGTAAGGGGTGGGGGGGGGGAAACCACTGCACTAAACTGGGAATACTGTGTTCCAAGATCACCGCAGATGGGGACTGCAGCCAAGAAATTAAAAGAGGCTTGCTCCTGGGGAGGAAAGCTATGGCAAATCTAGACAGCATACTAAAAAGCAGAGACATCACCCTGCCAACAAAAGCGCGTATAGTCAAGGCGATGGTTTTCCCAGTTGCAATGGATGGCTCTGAAAGTTGGACTATAAGGAAGGCTAAGTGCCTGTTGTGGCCCCGCCCTCTGAGCCTGTCCCATCGGAGGAAGAAAGCTCCGAGCATGAGGAAGAGGAGTCAGCCAGGCCTCCCTCTCCAGGCCCCTCCCCTCTGGCATTGTCTCAGGTGCCGGCCGAGGGAGAGGAGATCAGTAGGGAGACAGCTGGCTCGGATCAGAGTGACGAAGAAACATCATTCCTGGACGCACGCCTCCGAAGGCGTGATAAACGTTTGCAGCAGCTTAGGAGGCGTGCTAGGGATTAGAACTGAGTCACTGGACCACACCCCAGAGACTATATAATAGAGGGTAGTGGTCAGTGATCCTTGTGACGAACAAAAGTAAACCTTGGATAGTCACTAAAGCCTCGTCCGGAACTGCGGAGAGAAATATTATTTCTGCTTGGACTTTTTGCACGTTAAGTACCTTATCTTTCTGTTTGTGAAAATAAAGGCATTTGGCAGACGGTGTGTCTATCGCTGCCAAGTGGGAGATAAGACCTGGGTGCGTTCCAAAGTGTTTCCTTAACCCTCGGCTGGCTGTGTTTGTGTGTGTGTGGGTACGGGGACAGATCATCGCCAAAGAATGGAGGCCTTTGAACTCTGGTGCTGGAGAAGACTCCTGCGAGTCCCTTGGACTGCAAGGCGATCCAACCGATCAGTCCTAGAGGAGATCAACCCTGACTGCTCTCTAGAAGGCCAGATCCTGAAGAGGAAACTCAAATGCTTTGGCCACCTAATGAGAAGGAAGGACTCCCTGGAGAAGAGCCTAATGCTGGGAACGACTGAGGGCAAAAGAAGAATGGGACGGCAGAGAAGGAGGTGGCTGGATGGAATCACTGAAGCAGTCAGCATGAGCTTAAATGGTCTCCAGAGGATGGTAGAGGATAGGAAGGCCTAGAGGAATGTTGTCCATGGGGCCACGATGGGTCAGACACGACTTCGCAACTAACAACAACAAAACTGGGAATAAAAATATCCAGCTATTTGCTGTTTCTGATCCAGCACGGGAGCAATCACTGAACTTGCAAATTGCAACTAGACATTGGAGGGAGAAAAAAAATGAAGTTTTTTTAAGGAGTTGCTGATGACTACAGCTAAGCACATCTGTGCCAGATCCCAAAACAGCTAGTTTTTAACTTAACAGCTGTTCATTTAGTGACCGTTTGAAGTTATAACATCACTGGAACAAAAGGTGACATACTGCTTTTCACACTTATGACCATTGCAGCATCCCCAGGGGTCACGTCATCAAAATCCAGACGCTCGGCAACTGGCTCGAGTTTATGACAGTCCCCCCAGGGTTATGTGATCCCCTTTTGGAGAAGCCAAGTCAAGTGGGAAAGTAGATTCGCTTCAGAATTGCAGTGATTCACTTAGACGGTGCAGTGGTTAGAGTGCAGCATAGCAGGCTACTTCAGCTGATGCTAGCTGCAGTTCGACAGTTCAAATCTCACCGGCTCAAGGTTGACCCAGCCTCCAATCCTTCTGAGGTCGGTAAAATGAGGACCCAGATTGTTGGGGGCAAGAAGCTGACTCTGTAAACTGCTTAAGAGAGGGCTGTAAAAGCACTGTAAAGCGGTATAGAAGTCTAAGTGCTATTGCCCTTCCTTCCTTCCTTCCTTCCTTCCTTCCTTCCTTCCTTCCTTCCTTCCTTCCTTCCTTCCTTCCTTCCTTCCATGTTGCGCAGTGGTTAGAATGCAGTATTGCAGGCTAACTCTGCCGACTGGCAGCAGTTCGATCCTGACCGGCTCATGGTTACTCAGCCTTCTGTCCTTCTGAGGTGGGTAAAATGGAGGACCCAGATTGTTGGGGGAACAAGATAGGCTGACTCTGTAAACCACTTAGAGAGGGCTGTAAAAGCACGGTAAAGCGGTATATAAGTCTAAGTGGTATTGCTAGTGCAAATAACCGTGGCAAAAAAGGTCATAAAATGGGACATAAAACACACTTGACTGTCTTCCTTAGCAGCGGAAATCGTGGGCTCAATTGTAGTCACAAGTCAAGGACTATCTGTAGTTGCACATCTCCAACCAAAGCTAATTATATTGTGTTTTATGGATGCGCTGATGCTCATTTCAGCCGATGTATTAATGCATTTGGCTACCCTCTACCTCTCATTTAACAATAACCATGTGTGTGTGTGTGTGTGTGTTCTTTTCTCCCCAGGTGAAACTTTACAAAAGCGAAAATCTGGACAATCCGGTTCATACGGTCTCGCTCGGCCAATCGTTATTCTTTCATTTTCCACCTCTGCTCCGGGATGGAGAGGTAATAATCATCTTTGTACCTAAAGAAGAAGAAGAAGGAAAAAAATCTGTAAGGAATTTTTATTGAGGAATAGGCTCCGTCTTTTGCAGAGGGGAGCAGGAGCATCGTTTCCTTCCGTTTTCACTCCGTTGTCTTTTAAAACATCTGCAGAGGAAGAGGAGTTCTTGGTATGGACCTGGGTGGGTTTCTCCCCATAGGAGAGACCGCAGAAAATCTGGACTTGGGAGCTGCAGATAAGGCAGAGTTTCCCTTTGCTGTCCATTGCAATCCTGAATTTTGGAAAGAAATAGAAATTAGAGCCAGTTTGGTCTAGTGGTTAAAGGCACTGGGCTAGAAAACAACAGACTGTGAATTCAACCTTAGCCATGAAAGCCGGCTGGGTGACTTTGGAATAAACACCAGGAGACTGAGAGTTCTAGTCCCGTTTTAGGCTTGAAAGCCGGCTGGTGTGACTTTGGAATAAACACCAGGAGACTGAGAGTTCTAGTCCCGCCTTAGGCGTGAAAGTTGACTGGATGACTTTGGCCAATCACCAGGAGACTGAGAGTTCTAGTCCCGCCTTAGGCATGAAAGCCGACTGGATGACTTTGGCCAATCACCAGGAGACTGAGAGTTCTAGTCCCGCTTTAGGCGTGAAAGCCGGCTGGGTGACTTTGGAATAAACACCAGGAGACTGAGAGTTCTAGTCCCGTTTTAGGCATGAAAGCTGACTGGGTGACTTTGGAATAAACACCAGAAGACAGAGTTCTAGTCCCGCCTTAGGCGTGAAAACCAACTGGGTGACTGTGGGCCAATCCTTCCCTCTCTCAGCCCAACCCACCTCACAGGACTTGTGGTGGGAAAAATAGGAAGAAGAGGGGGATGTTGGATATGTTCCCTGCCTTGAGGTATTTGTAAAAATTGAATCAAGGCAGGATATAAACAAAACAAACTGACTGACCTGTCGAAATGATGCAAAATCAGCTCGGGTGGTGCAGTAAATGCCCACCTAGAAGAACATCCGAATGTGATTCAGATTCTGTTGTCTTCCTTTCTTTCTTGTTAAGCAGATGTTATTTTGTTTTCATTTTCCCTTTCTCCGTTCCCTCTCTCGTTCTTCTCCTGCTAGAATTACATGGTGCTTTTAGATTCTACCCTGTCCAAGTCGCAGTATGACTACACCCTACCTCAAGTCTCCTTCACCACCATCGGCTACCACAAGCACATCACTTTGGTTTTTAATCCTACGGTAAGGTTCTGCAAATTTCGAGAGAGAGAGAGAGAGAGAGAAGTGGAAGTCAGCCATGATTTGTGGCTCGCCGTGGTTAGATGAACCTAGCCAATGGAGATTCATTCACACCAAACCACGGCGTATCCAGGCAAAGAAAGTCGATATGATATTGTAGGAGAAGGGCAGGCAGAGCTGGGGTGGTGGTGGAGTTAAGCTTGTCATCAGCCTAGAATCATTACGTTCCCACAAGTGATCCAAGTTTAACCCTCTCTTGAATTCCATTGACCCTTATCTGGTGCTAATTTAGTGCTGAACTCTAGTTGAATAGATTCTTGTCTATAGACTTAAGCAATAGATCTTCTGAATTGCACCTTAACGGATGGTCCTGATTCTTTGCACCTAGCAGATATGATGTCTTTTGTTGATTTCTATGGGTAACACCACTGGCAAGGTGGAGATTTTTCTGGGCCCTTAACTACCAAAAGTATTTTAAGACTACAGCTATCTTCCTTTTCAGAGAAAACTGCCAGAGCAGGATATTGCCCAAGGATCCTACATCGCTCTTCCGTTGACTCTGCTGCTTTTGTTAGCTGGCTATAACCATGACAAGGTAATACGGTTTTTTTTGTGACTATGTCAGTGTGGTTGTGGCTGTGCTTTGCGTTGAGTTGCTTCCTTTCCTTGGGGATCCAATGAGCATCATTTTGCTAGGATGGCCTCCCTTTGTTTTGTACCAAGCTACAAACACTTATTGTACGTGGAGGCTCAGTGGCTAAAACGCTGAGCTTGTCGATCGAAAGGTTGGCAATTCAATGGTTTGAATCCCTAGTGCCGCGTAACGGGGTGAGCTCCCGTTACTTGTCCCAGCTTCTGCCAACCTAGTAGTTCGAAAGCACGTTAAAAAATGCAAGTAGGAAAAATAGGGACCACCTTTAGTGGGAAGGTAACAGGGTTCTGTGCGCCTTTGACGTTTAGTCATGCCAGCCACATGACCACAGAGACATCTTCGTACAGTGCTGGCTCTTCGGCTTTGAAACGGAGATGAGTACTGCCCCCTAGAGTCAGGAACGACTAGCACATACGTGCGAGGGGAACCTTTACCTTTACCTTACAAACACTTTGATGCTGGGGTTGAGGTTTGGATAGATGAACTGTGGTTGAGATCATTGTCTTTCGTAGGTTGGGCCAATCAGAGGCACCAGCTAATTCTCAGTGTGCGATACTACTTCATTCCTGGTGCTTTTCAATGCATGTGTTTATTTGCCAAACTTAACAATACATCCTGAAGAAGAAGAGCTGTTTGAAAGTTGGTGAAATCTGTGTTTCTCAACCTCAGTAACTTCAAAATGTGTGGACTTCAACTCCCAGAATTCCTCAGCCAGCAAGCGTGCAGTTGAAGCCCCAACTTCTTGACGTTGTCAAGGTTGAGAAACACTGGCCTAAACCATCTAGTTTGGGTAGCTTTAAAAGGGGGTGAGAAAAACGTGTGGTGGGGAGCTGTCTGGGCCCAACCCTTAATAAAGGGCACCAATGGGGGAAAAAAATAACCTTGATTTTATTCTTGGCTTGCCACACATCCAAGAATTGGGATGGAGAAGATGGGTGACCTTGTGGAGACCTTCCTGAATGGTGGGTCTGTTGGTTGAGTGGTGTGGCCTCCCGGGAATAGATGATTTTGTCTAGGGTAGTGGGATTACTGAGCTAGGGAGCCAGATGGATTGAACCAGTGATGGGTTGCCCCCGGTTCGCACCGGTTCTATAGAACCGGTAGTAAAACCGGCAGGAGGCCCCACCCATCGACCCCGACGTCACCAAAATGCAGATCTTTCATGATTCTGCTAGGTAACATTCTCAGTGCTAGAAGAAAGTGGAGTTTGCTCTGTTTCTTATCCCTTCTTGCACCGATGATGTTATCTACCATATTTTTCGGAGTATAAGACACACCAGAGTATAAGACGCACCTTAGTTTTTGGGGAGGAAAATAAGAAAAAAGCTGATTGGCAGGTAGATCGGCCTCCCGGAATATCCCCAATCAGCTGTTACCAGAGGTGAATTTTAGCAACAGGTTCCTTGGTTGTTAGCTCTGTGCCTTGCTTTTTTTTCTGCCTCTGAAACTTCTGAAATTCTGTTTCAGAAAAAACTTTTTTTCCTGCCTCTGAAAGCCTCCGAAACAGAGCTTCAGAAAAAAAGCCTCTGAAGCTTTGTTTGGGGGCTTTTTTTCTGAAGCTCTTGTTTGGGGGCTTCTTTTCTGAAGCTTCGTTTCTGATGCTTTTTTCAGCCTCTGAAACCTCTGTCTGAGAAGCCGGGCGGGGCTACATTTGGAATATAAGACACACCCAGATTTTCACCCTCTTTTTTGGGGGGAAAAGGTGCGTCTTATACTCCAAAAAAGCCCCCCACCAAGCTCAGAGAGCGGCAAGGACCCCACAAGTGGCCTTCAACCGGGTTACTCAACCTTCCCCAGACTCAGGTCGACTAAAACCCCAAAGTAGCCAGGTTGAGGAAGACAGCGAAATATAAATCGCTGCAGATTTAGACTGCGTCTTATACTCCGAAAAATACGGTAGTTGGGCCATGAAACGTCTGCAAGAAAGCAATCAAGCTCAGAGATCACCAAAGACTTCACATTCTAATGCACGCTTGGTGAACCAGAAGGAGCTCCTCACTGCTTTGTAAACGAGGGTTGATGACTTGCATAATAGTATCATGTTGGTCTTTTGCGTAGAATTCCACTTTCCCTGGACTAAAATGTAGCCTGTTTTTCTGTTCCCTCAGTTGATTCCCTTGCTGCTTCAGTTAACCAGCCGTCTCCAAGGGGTGTGCGCTCTGGGACAGGCGGGGGCCGATACAGGAGGCCTCGAGGATATCAAGAGGCAAGCCAAGAAACAGAAGACGAGACGGACGTGAGAATGGATGTCTGGTTCAGATGCATTGGTTTTACTTACTCCTCCTCCTTTTTTCGCCTGGCTGCTAAAGGGAGACTTCTCCGGGTTACAGCAAAGAAATTCTATGCACTGGACATCTTGACTCAGAGTTGGTTTGTCACTGGTATGGTTTTTTTACATGGAGTATCTTGAATGTCACAGGAGCCCTTTTAAGAGAAAGCCTCTGTCCTAAAAGGCAGTGTTGGGGTCATAATTTATGGTCAGGTTTGAAAGAACGACGACCAATTAAATTTGTTTTCACTCCCAACTCGGTCTGATTTGAGTCTTAATGTTGTGGCCTGCCAGCGGATCTGGCAGCAGATTCGGACAGTGAGGAGGTTGGGGAGGAACATGGGCCAGTCCTGGAGTCTGGGGAAGGCTCTGATGAGGGCTCTGCGTCGGAGGCAGAGAGGGGGCCAGGGCCGTATGCCAGTTATCAGCTGCCTTCGGAGCCAGACATCAGTGAGGCAGATGAACAGCTGGAGCCTGTTCCCAGTGTGCGCATGTGCAGAGTTGCCGGACGAAGGGAACAGCTAAAGAACAAGGGTCGACTTGGGAGTAAGGCCACAGGGGGACGATGAAGGCCTCTCCCAAAGGGAGTGAAAGGGGAGTGGAGTTTGCAGGAGACAATTAGTTCATTCCTGCATTCTTGCCAAGTATTGCGACATCTGAAAGATATCGGCCTGGCCACTCTCCAAGCCTGATAAAGGTCGGTAATTGTGAACTGTCTTGAAAGACTGTGGGAGAGGAAAGATTTTGCTGGAGAGGAATCCACTGTAAATTAAATAAAAGGGATTTATCAGGACGAAGATTCGGCTTCGTGCTGCTGGGGAAGCCTAGGTCAGAACACTTAATTTTCAGGCATTCTTGTTGCTACTTGTTCCTGATTTGCTTTGTTTCCTATTTATAATTTTCTTTCCAAGCTCTGATCTTTTTCAAGTAGCATCCTGGAATGTATGCACAAGAAGAGACCATGGCAATCTTCTGGTCAAGTTCCATACTACAATGCAGGAATCTGGTTCTAGAGCATTTTAGCCCACTATGACCATTTCAGTCCAAACTTCTGCAAGCTGGCCACCATCCAGATGTGGGGATTCTCTCTCCCGTAATTCTCGAACTAGTATGGCTATTACCGAAGATTCTGAAAGTTGGAATCCACACACCATGTAGATTCACTTCTAGATGCTTCAACTTAGTAAAGTCCATGTGTGCTGGCTTCATCTCCCATTGGTTCTACTAGCCATGATGTCCAATGACTCCCTCAATACCGGTATTGGTTGTCCAACAAATCTGGAGGACTTCGAATACAGGAAGGTTGCTCTGTATCTTACAGTGTTGGCCAGCACCAGGTTGTTGAGATGTACTGTAGGTGGTTTGGGTGATACCAAAAGATAGCCTAGACCTAGCTTCTGACAAGAATGAAGGAACCCATAGAAACATGGAGTTAATATCTGTGGAGATTCTCAGTCATCCAGGTCATGGTTGTCCCAAAGGTGCTTTTTCAAGAGGCAACTGGACTTTCTTCGTTTTTCCTTGAAGACGTTTCGCTTCTCATTCAAGAACTGAACTGAAGAACTTTGAACTGTCACTAAAAGTATGATTGTAACTCGAGAATTACCTGTACTGTACAGGTTTTGACTAGGTGGATAGTGTAATATTAGAAACTAGCCACTAGGTGGCATTAGATTCGGTTGCCTAGATTAATAGAGTGGATGAAATGGAGAATTTTTTGGTGGAAAGAAAGCTAGAATAAAGCTTGGCATTTTTGTGCTCACTTTACAATCTTCTAAGGATTAACACGAGCACCATTTTTAACCAGTCTGATTTGAAGAGGATTTGGGGCCAGGTGGGGAGAATTTTGAACAGCCAGAATTGCACGATGCCATGAATGAAGAGTTCATCATGTATCAAGCACAAGGTGGGACTTAACGTGTAGAAAATAAGTTCCGATGGAAGTGGAATTGACAGATCAGCGTGTCTTCTCCCAGCTTTTACATAGTCGCTTTAGTTAATATCCCTTCTTTGATTGCAAAGATGTTTCTTCTTTTACGGAAAAGTGGGCTCATGTGAATTGAACAGGGAAGAGACTGGCTGCATGAGTCATCCTTCCATACCATTAAATGGAAGGCTTAATTGACATCTCCTTAGCCAAATCACTTCAGGGTTGAACAGATCCATAGAAGTGGAAGAAAGCTGTATTTTGCATCTCAATAGGGAGGGGGGAAAATAATTGGCACAAAAAACAAGCACCTATTATGATTTTATTTCCAAATGCCTATTTGCGCTAGTTCTTCTTTTTTAAAAATCTGTTTAAATTTGCATTAATGCTGTGTTGCTTCTTTTGATGAGAATCGGCCATGGGAGTTGAGTGTAATTATTTGTCTAGAACGTCTGTGAAGAGATGGGCAAGCATACCTCCAGGACACCGATGCTAGAGCGGTAGAGAGGCCTAGCTCATCCTGGAGGGGCTAGGTTGCAGGGCAGAGAATCATCTATCATTATTGATAATAGCTAGGAATTCTGGGAACTGTAGTCAAATTCATCTTAATCAGTGCTGGTTCAGAAAAGATGCGCCATGCAAAGCCAACATTTCTAGGTTGGATTCAGAATTAGACTTGGTATACAAAACAGGTCACAATGAACATGGACACATCCATCTTTCTTTGCTCAATGAGGAGTTGACACCTAGCAACAAGTAGAAATTTGCTAATTTCCCATAGTTCCCTTTTGTTAAGAAATTACTGTATGCCGAGAGACCTCAATATTTAACGAAGCAAAGTAGTGAACCCAGTTTGATCTAGTGGTTAAGGCACTACAAACCAGGAGAAGGTGAGTGTCAGGGTTCCGACGGATGCCCTAATTAAATCATGAGCCTCGAGCCAAGCTTCAAAAGAAATCCAGTTATTTATTAGGAGCTTCGTGTCGGCACATTCCCAAGTGAAGCCAGCTCTGACCCTATGTAATTTACACCCAAATCATGACCCTGTTTCCACCCTACCTCCCAGGGTGTGTCATCAATCAACATTCGCCAACGTAGCAGTTTTGCGGGTTGTAGACACCACTCCCCTCCGGCCGTTGTGGGTAACCCTGGGATACATCCTTGAGAGAGATAAGTCTGGAATGTGCATCTGTCTGGCTGCCGTGCCGTTTCGTCGATTTCCCATCCTCCCTTGCTTATGGCAACTTGAGAGCAGACCAGGGATGCTTTGCAAGTTGACAGTGAGTTCTAGTCCTGAATTAGCTATGAAAGGCAGCTAGGTGACTGAGTCAATCACCAAGACCATGGAGAGTTCTAGTCCCACCTTAGGCATGAAAGCTGGCTGGGTGACTTTGGGCCAGCCCATCTCTCAGTCCAACCCACCTCACAGGGCTGTTGTGAAGAAAATAGGAGGAAGGGGGGAGTATTACATATGTTCAAATTGAGTTATTTATAAAAACGATAAAGGCCGGATAATTAATAAAATACCTTTGTTTCTATCTTCCACACTATCTCTTTGCAACACGTTCCGATTTAACAAAAAAAATATGAGATCATATGTAAAGCACCCGCACTTCATGCCTTTCCTAATCTACACAAAATATTTTCACTCTTCCTCTTGATGTTTCCCCTTCTGGAAAATAACTTCATCGAAGAACCACGGAAAAAGGTCAGACGTTCTCTCTCTGCAAATACTACCAGCAGAGAGACTCCTGAGTCTTGTTTTCACTGCTTATTGCTAGTGAAATGGATCCGTCCTATTCCTTTGAAGATGCTGTTTGCAGAGTTTTTTTTTTAAAAAAAATGGTTAGAATTACTCGCTCAAGGCGAGGGTCGTGGACAGAAGTGGGGGAGGGTTTTTACATCCATAATGGAACAGGTCGGAAATGTTTATTAAATTGCCTGTTGTGTGACAATGGTGACAATTATTGTGCCATCTCATGGGGCGGCTGATCTGGCCCCTGAATCTTGTCAAAACAAAAACGCCAATCTGGAGAAGAACCTTATTTTAAAAAAAAAAAAAAAAAAAAACATTTTTTTGCATGATTCTCTCATCCGGTGGCTGTTTGAAAACTTGGACGACACAGGTTGAGATCGTTCAAAACGATGGGCTCTGCAAACTGGAAGCAGACGTCTCGGTCTTTTGTCGCAACTACAATGAGCAGAATGATCCTTACCAGCTTGAAACCGTTTTTGCAAACTTCGAATGAACCGAAACGTGACAGCTTCTCTTGGAGGTTCACAAGACACGGTCTTTGTTTCCGAATCCGTTACGCGTTTTATTCTTCGGGGCCGTTCGGGTTGGCTGCAGCAATTTTTTGGATGAAGTGACACGACGAACTCAAAATTGCTGCCAAGGACAGAATGTGTGGATATATTCAAATGCAGAGAAGTGACATTTTGGATCTAGGCTGGTTTTTGGTTTTTTTTTTTAATCTGGGGAGCTTCTGATAACAAATGAATTCTAGCTCCTGTTTTTCTCCTTTTATGTTTGGTTGGATTTGGAAAGCGTGAAAGGAATATGTCACCTGATCCTAGTCCAACATAACCGTTGGTCGTACTCAAAAAGAGTTTTCCTACACAATTGATCAAACCAAGAGATAAGAAATTTGTTCCCTTCTTTTCTGGACTAGAGGTGTTTAAGGAAAAGGATTGGAGAATATGGGTAATCCTCGACTTATGAGCACAATTGAACCCAAATTTTTTGTTGGTAAAGGTAAAGGTTCCCCTCGCACATATGTGCTAGTTGTTCCAGACTCTAGGGGCTGGTGCTCATCTCCGTTTCAAAGCCGAAGAGCCAGCGCTGTCCGAAGACGTCTCCGTAGTCATGTGGCTGGCATGACTCAATGGCAAAGGTGCACGGAACGCCGTTCCCTTCCCACCAAAGGTGATCCCTATTTTTTCTACTTGCATTTTTTATGTGCTTTTGAACTGCTCAGTTGGCAGAAGCTGGGACAAGTAACAGGAACTCACCCCGTAATGCGGCACTAGGGATTTGAACCTGAACTGCCAACCTTTCAACCGACAAGCTCAGCGTCTTAGCCACTAAGTCATCACGTCCCCCCCATTTTTTGTTGCTAAGTGAGACATTAAATGAGTTTTGCCCCATTTTACCACTTTTTGTGCCACAGCTGATAAGTGAATCACTTGCAGGTGTTGAGTTAGTAACACAGTTGTTAAGTGAGTCTGGTTTCCCCATCGACTTCGCTTGTTGCAAAAGGGGATTGCGTAGCCCAGGCACACTGCAACTGTCATAAATATGAGTCAGTTTTCAAGCATCTGAATTTTGA